TTGCTGCATCTATCTGTCCTGTCAGCGGCAGACATTTCTATAACAAACTCCTGTTGCACAGAACTACCCACATTTTAGCTTGCTAAAGCCTGACTACCAAATCCTCTTATAGATGCATATTACACACATATATCGTGTATCTATTTTTACACAATATATGGGTCTGGAGCGATAGCACAGCGAGTAGGGCATTTGCCTTGCACGCGGCCAATCCGGGTTCAATTCCTCCGTCCCTCTCAGAGAGCTGGCAAGCTACCGAGTATCCCACTCGTACTGCAAAGCCTGGCAGGCTCCCCATGGTGTATTCGATATGCCAAAAACAGTAACAACAAGTCTCACAATGGGGACGTTACTGTTGCCCACTCGAGCAAATTGATGAACGATGGGAGGACAGTGCTACAGTGCTACTGTCTCCTAAATAGTGGTCGAGACTGTGTGGTCGCCTTTTAAGTAAAATGAGGCTATCTAATTCCTCTCAGTCCTATGAGGGGAATCACCTGAGCTCTGGTGGTTTTGTGGCTGCGATCCTGGAGCCACTCCTGGCCGCTCTTGGAGGCCACACAGAAGCATGGTGGGCCCAGAGATGATACCTAACGTCTCACACATGCAGGGCTCATGCTCTGCACTGAGCCATCCGATCCTGTAACTGATCGGTGCTATTTGCCTGCCCGAGAAGGTCAGTGTCTTCGTGCATGTGCAAGATGAACAACGTCTCACTGGTGGCAGATGGCGATGTCCTCTGCGTCGGCCCCTCCTGCTCATCACGTGCATGAACACGCCATTATTGAAGTAGACTCAGATATGCAGGAAGTCCCACAACATTGGCTTTTAATTGTGAACAAAACCTTAGTAAACATTTTAATGAAACTATATTTTTCCTTCCACTTTTGTCACCACTAATTCAGTATTCTCTAAGGTTTTCATTTCATAACTTGTTCAGGTTTACCTGTGTTCTAAAAGAAGGTGTATTCTTTTTCTCTCTGCATATTTTAAACATTGCAAAGTAGTTATAAAACAACAATAAGTACCATAATAATACTAGTAGCAGAAATTAAGTTATGCTTGTTTCAGCTATTTGGGTCCCAACTACTAGTGGAATGTGCATTATATATGCATAACTGCTCTAATTTAATATATACTACAATCCTGTGATTGTCAGTTCAACAATGAAAATAAGACTTATGTTGAAGGAGATTAAAAATTAACTACAGTTGGGGCTGGAGAGATAGCACAGCGGGTAGGGCGTTTGCCTGGCACGCGGCCGACCCGGGTTCGATTCCCAGCATCCCATACGGTCCCCTGAGCACCGCCAGGAGTAACTCCTGGGTGCAGAGCCAGGAGTAACCCCTGTGCATCACCAGGTGTGACCCAAAAAGCAAAAAAATAATAATAATAATTATAGTCATCCAGCTATTAAATGATAGAGTTGGGATTCAAGCTCTTAACTGAATTCAAAGCTCATATTCTACTCACAATGTTCAACTGATGCTCTTTGGGGAGGGACCACACCCAGCGATGCCAAAGGGTTCCTCCTGGCTCTGCACTCAGGAGCCACTCCTCACCGTTCTTGGAGGATCTTATGGGATATGGGGGATCAAGCACCCTACCCACTGTACTATCTCTCCAGTCCCCTCAACTGATGTTCTTAGAAACAAATCTTTCATATTTATTGCTGTTTTCTCATAATTGTGTGTTCATGGAAAGGAGTGCTAAAGAAAAGATCATAATTTTAAATAGAAAACTTGAAAATTATATATTTTCCCTCCTGGTGGGTACTGCTTTCTGTTACTGTTTTTTTTTTTCCAGAATAATGAATATTTTCCTTTCCTTCATGGTTTACAAAGTTTAATTCAGCCACCAGTGAAGTGATTGACATACCAATTTAAGATGAAAAAAAGCAACTGAAACATTTAAGTATGAAAGAGGGAAAAATGTGGTTTCTTCTCACCGGGATTATCATTCTTTCTCATCTAGGATTAGGTGACGCTTAGAAAATCTGCCAGTCAGTTCAAATACAGGATCTGCAGAGTTTTAATACATGCAGTGTCAGGAATGACGCTACAAAGCAATTTACAGACTTTCAGAAATGAATCAGGTTCTGGATATTGAGGTCACCACACACTGAGGCAAGTATGCTTTTCCGGATATTCCAAACATCCCTTCAGAAAGATGTAACTTGATTTTTTTTTTTAAAGAAGATAATTCCTGAAGTTGTCAACAGTTGTTTTCTAACAAACCAGCTAGGGAGGCAGTTCTGTGACTGTGATGGGCCATCCAGGGGTCAGGCTCGGCCCCCAGATTTCCCATTGTGCAGCCCGAGCATTGAGTTCCCTCATGCTAGTCCGGGAAATGGACAGGAGAAAGGGCGCTGTTTTTCGTTGTTGGATATGGCAGACACATGTCCAGGGTGACACTGAGTTCAGTCAGAGGGCTCTGTCTGTGGGACAACGGGGCAGAGTGGCGCCGGCTCTCAGCTCTACGGTCAGTGCGAGGGCCATGGAGCACCTGTCCCACTGATCACTGCAACCTACAAAGCTCCAGTTAAAAACCAGCAAATGGTTTGTAAAACTCTAGCAGAACCTGTGTGAGGGATTGGATGCCATATTAGCAGCAAATTAATGTTGATGCTGTGAAAGTGGAATGCAAATAAAACATTTCAGGATTAGAAATCAATCAGCTGATGTACTAGAGAGGAATTCTATTCCTGAAGTAGGTGTGAAAATACTTCCAAACTGCACAAGTGCTTAAAAGCCAGACTCCAAATATGAATAAGAAATGTATGTGTGTGCACACACATCTGTATTTGCCTGTGTATGTTCATGTGTGCATGCACAAGTCTTCATACATCCTTGCACACCTGTGTATGTGTACATGTATGTGTGAAGCATCCATATGTCTGCACTGCATGCACACATTTGACTATGTGTGCGTACACGCACACATGTGCACAATTCTGTGCCTATATACATGTACACACATCTGTGTGTTTTTGTGTACATCATATATGTCTCCATGTGTGTTTGCATATGTGCACACAGCTGATGAAGTCTATGTACTGTGTACAGGCACACACATCTCTGTAGGCATGATACATATGTGTACATTTGTCCGGGTAAAGGTAAAGGTAAAGGCCCTCCCGTTGATCATCGATTTGCTCGAGCGGGCCCAGTAACGTCTCCATTGGAGACTTTGTTGTTACTGTGTCTGGCATATCGAATACGGCACAGGGAGCTTGCCAGGCTCGGCCGTGCGGGCGAGATACTCTCGGTAGCTTGCCGGGCTCTCCGAGAGGGGCGGAGGAATCGAACTTGGGTCGACCATGTTGGCTGTGTGCAAGGCAAACGCCTTACCGCTGTGCTGTCGCTCCAGCTCTGATTTGTATGTGCACAAAATTCGTGATTATATGTACACATGTATGCATGTGTGCACAGCCCTCTATGTATGCATTTGTATCTGTGTCTGGCACATATATCAACTTCCTTTCTTCATCATTCCTTTGAAACCTAGAGTCAGGGTTCTCACCACCAATTATTCCTGGAATTCAGTGGAAGAGAATTTGGAATCTTGGTTCTGGATTCTGTCCCCCACCCCCACCCCATGTGACCTCTCTTTCTCCTGGCTCCTGGGCAGACAGAAGGTTGCACACACACCCCCACCCCACCCTCGCGTGTTTTACGGACCAGGAAAGTCCAGGAAGGGCAGAGGCGACTGCCTCCGCAGAGCGACCGACCCTCAAGACGCGCTTTCCCGGTGAGGGACGGGTGCGAGCACTGTAATCCCGTTGGTCCTACTCCTCTCTCCTCCCTGGGTTGCCCCGCCCAAGAATAGGCGAATCAAGACCGGGATTCCAGGAGAGAGGGTCCAGCACGTGGACACCAGCCGGACACAGGGCCGGACCGCGTCCTCCCAGTCCCGCGCGTCTTCCCGCCGGGCCGGGCTGGCGTGCCGAGTCCCCATAGCAACGGGCGCGCTGGCGGGGCACGGCTGGGACGGACGCGCGGGGCGGCCGGACTCAGGGCAGCGGCTCAAGCGGTGCCAACAGCCCGGCTCAGCTCCGGAGCACGCGGGGAGCTGGGCGGGGAACGCAGGTGACCTGGGCACGGGGCACGGGGGACCTGGACAAGGGGCAAGGGGCGCAGGAGACCTGGGGAACAAAGGTAACCTGGGCGAGGGGCGCGGGGACCCAGGCGGGAAACACAGGTGACCCGGCGCGGGGGACCAGGGTGCCCTCCCGGCACGGCTGTGGCAGGAGTCGTGGACAGAGGAAATGAGCCCAGCGGGCCAGAACTGCGCATGACCTCCAGAGCCCAGCCCCAGGGCCTCTCCGAGTCGGCTGGCCAGAGTTCTGGTCACTGTAACTTTGGACCTGAGCCTCAGTTTCCCTGACATTGAGGCCAGGGAGGGTGGGCGTGTCAAAGGCCCGGCAGTGTGCGCTGGGCCCCACACTGGTTTCCTGGGAAGATTGGTGGTTCTCGGCTGCTTTGGCCTCGCTGCCCTAAACCGGGTCAGCCCTTGTTGTCATGGGGGGATGGGACAGGTGCCCAGGGACCAAGTCTGAGGGTTCCACTAAGCACCTTTTTGCCTTTTTCTACTAAATCTAATGATGTTTTCACTTTTGAGCCCATGAGAAATGGCCAAAGGTTGGCTCAGGGCAGGCAGCCCTTTCTTTGGGCCTTGGAGCCTTGGGCTGGAACACAGCACTGCCTCAGAGTACTGGGCACTTGGCAGAAGTGAGGGAGCCCTAAGAGTCCCCATCTCCTGCTGAAGGCACACTGGGCCCATCCCAGCCAGCTGGGTCCTCAAAGCACACAGGTTGCTACATTTTGCAGAACCATAAGCTACTAGACTCAAAAGCTCATACCAAGTACTTTTCTAGTAGCAAGAATTCTAAGGCTGTGGATTGTTTCACAGGCTAATGATAGGAGCATTTTCTGCTTCCTTTCCCATCCCAACAGACTGAAAAATCAAGAACTAGAAACTGGAGATAGCACTTTTCTGACATGGAGAATCCAGCCAGTAACACAGCCGGGTCAGTGTCATGTGGTTTCTGGGACCTGGGGCCCGGGGATGGATGCTTGGGTGTGTGAATGGGGATAGTGGACACTCCCCCATGTGGCTGTGCTCAAGCATGTCTGGTTGACTGTGAGCTCGCCTGGGGTGGGGGCTCCAGGCAGTGTCCCCTTCTCCCTGCCAGGGCCCCACTTCGTCCCCCCACTCAGCCGTGAGGCTGCACACTTTGCCGTGGGCTCAGAGCAGATCCAGCATCTCATGTGGCAGTGAGGACTGGGTGTCCTCCCAGAGTTCAGGAATCTCTTATCCAGGAAACCCACTTCCTTTCTGTGGAACCATCTGCACCATGCACAACCTCCCTTCCTGCGCTCCAGGGGCTCCTGGCCAGTGAGGGGGGCACTCAGGGGGGTGTCCTGCACCATCATTTGGATACCGTTCACTCTCCACTGCGGTGATTCTCAGACCATGGTATGGACAGGAGGTCACAGGGCAGCTCTGCTATCTGCCTGCTGGCAGCTGCAGAACAAACACCAACCACTGCCCATCCACCATGGGCAACACCATGTCAGGTCCTTAGCTCGGGACCAGCATGTCATCAGGGGTTGATGCAGCTGCCTCCTTCGAGTCAAGGCTGGTGGAGGTGGGGGTTAGCTCTGTGCTCCATATATGTGACTTCCCGCTGGGCCCAGAGTGTCTGTTTCCCCCTCAACCCAACCCACCACAGCCCCGCCCTGGTATACTTGGTTGAGGAAAAGAATGGTCAGGATGGTCACTTCAGGAGTTGGAGTCTCACTTCTGTTCACTTTCCATGGGCTGGAACCCAAATGCCAGTATGGGCCCCCCATGAGCTTCAAGAATACTGGAAAATGGGGCCTCTGATGGGGACCGCCTTTAGCTTAGAGGCTCTCCGGCAGAGAGCGTGAACGAGTGGTACTGGAGAACCAGCAGCTTTCTGCCACAGTGTAGTTGATGGAGTGGATCCATGTCTGATTCAGATGAAAGTGTGAGCCAGTGGGTCCCTCTGCCACGGGCATCACAGAACCAGGTCCACTTCCAGTGGAGCCCACAGGCAGAGCCCAGGTGGCACCCTGGGAAGGAGTGTGCCTCCAGTGGGGCTGAGGCATGCATGGACAGGAAGGCAGAGGCAGGGCACAGGCCAACCTCACCACGTGACATGTTTGACTTTCCCTGAAGCTAACGCACCCTGAAAACTCTGTCTGTCTGCCTGGCTGACTTGGGAGGAAACTTCCCTTCCTGCGATTTCATTCCCATGCAGTATCCCTGTTTCCCTCAAGGGCTCCCATGCACAAGCCGATGTGTGTGTACCCACCCTCACCTCACTGAGGGAAAGCTTGGTGCTGCTGTATGGCCCGGAAACCTCCTGTGTGTTTCCTCTTTGCCTAGAGCTTCTAGTTTGACTGAGAAAATCAACTTCTGGCTTTCGGGCTTCTCGCATCCAGCAGTTGTCTGAGGAACCATGACCCCCCTGTGTAGAGCAGGCAATAAGTGCCTCCACTGTTCCCTTTATAATTGTACTTTTCTACAATTGCCAGAACTTCTCCTTGTGAGGCTGAGCTTCAGGAGTTAATGGAACAAATTGATATCATGGTAAGCAACAAAAAACTGGACTGGGAAAGGAAAATGCGAGCTCTGGAGACACGATTGGATCTTCGGGATCAAGAGTTGGCAAATGCACAGACTTGCCTGGATCAGAAAGGGCAGGAGGTACTGAAGCTACGTTGCCACCTCGTTGATCTGGCAGAGCACCGTGGACAGCGTTATCCCCTGGCCTTGCCTAGACAGACTTTATCGGGCACGGCAGTGACCTTAGTGGCAGCCCACGGGGCCACACCCGCCCTTTCAAGACAGTCGCCACCAGGGCCTGTGCGCCCGCACATATGTGCTGCCGCAGACTGGCCTGGGCACCCTGTGTCCCTCCCTCAGAGTTCCAGGGCTGTGCAACCTCTGTCATGCTTGGCAAAGCGAGTAGTTGGGGCACAGACCAGAGCAACGCTTCTCTCCAGTCGGCTCAAAATGAGCGAGAATGCCTCAGCTGAGGTGTGCAAGTGTGGCTACTTGGCAGCCAGGGCAGGCCAGGGGAACCAGGTGCTCTCCCCACTGGGCTTGGCATCTGCAGCCGCTTCTCTGGGGGAAGTGTGAGAGTTTCCCACATGCGACTGGGTCCCTGCCCACACTGTAGAGCTCAGCTCCCACGCAGAGATGGGCCTAGGTCTGAGCAGGCTCTGTAAGCCAGGGCTACAAGGCCTCTCTCAGAATGTCCTGAGTGCCCAGTAGATGCCAGCAGAGTCCACTGACCCGTGGAGGCAAGGAGGCATGAGACAGAGACAGAAGCATCAGCACACCTAGTCATGGTGCTGGGATGCCCAGAAAGTTGGTGTTGACTAAACCCGCAGCCAGATGTGGAGTGTTAGGGCCGGTGAGTGGTCAGTAGTCACCTTGCTGTGACTCCCCACCCCGGCACTGAACCGTGGCTGCTGGGGCATGAGGCTCTCCTCAGCCCACCCGTGGGCAGAGCTCACAGCACTAGTGTCTGGTGTGAGCCCTGGGCCACTCCATCAGGGACACAGAATCTGCCCTTGATTTGTGTGAATTGGTGCTCCTCATTTCCATAGTTTCTGGTTTTGTTAAAAAAGAAAAACCTTAAAAAAAAACCTATATAATTTTTTTCCTCTTGCAGGTGGGGTTGCTTCGACAGAAGTTGGACAGTCTGGAAAAATGCAACTTAGCAATGACTCAGAATTACGAAGGACAGCTGCAGAGCCTCAGAGCGCAAGTAAGGAGACGCCGCAGCTTGTGGCCAAGCACACACTCAGGGTCACTTGCGGGCCGTCACTAGCCTCTCTGCAAAGGCCTTTTAGATCCAGGTTTTCACCTAGCCACTGGGGCCCTGGGTGGCTCACATGTGGTAGCTGGAGTTGCTCTCCAGAGCGGACCACAGGCTCCCCTGGCTGGTACCCCAGGAGCTGTGTGTGGCAATCCCTCCTTCTGAATGTTGGGATAATGGGAATTAGCTGCATGAACCACAGCAGGAACAACCTTTCCTTGGTCACTAAAAGGCTATCCTTTTTTCTCCGACAGTTAAGGAAGTTGGTTACAATTAAAGAGGTCACTGTTAAAACTGGTTTTTTTGATGTTGCCACAGTGGGACTTTGACACAGGGCAGCATCTTCTGCCTGTGAGACCTCAGGAACTCTAACTTATTTCTCCTTTCTCCCTCCATTTCTTCACTGTGTGGTCAGCAGAGTCTCTCCCTCTGAGTACTCACATTCTGTCATGATTTGGGCATTGCAGACTCGAGTTAGACGCTGGTTCTTGCTTAGTCAGTGACTAGATCGGTTGGTTTGACCTTGTTCCTTTGGTCATACAAGGGTTTCATCTTAAAGACCTTGAATATTAAGTTTCTGGAACACCTTCTGACCAGGAGTTCAGATTTGTCACCAGGACCCCAGGAGATGAGGAGGGGAGAGGAGGATGAGAAATGTTCAGCAGTGAATTAGGGGAGCCAGAGTGATAGTATAGCAGGGAGGCACTTGCTTTTCACCGGCCAACCAGGTTCCATCTCCAGCACCCCACATGGCCTGAGCCCTACCAGGAATGATCCTTGAGCTCAAAGCCAGGAATTAGCCTTTAGAGCTGCCAGGTATGCCTGCCCCCTATCCCCCCCCAAAAAAACCTATAAGATTTCAAAAAAATATCTTCTGAAAGTTCCAGGAACTTGACACAAGATGTGAACTTATACATTTAAAAGGCTTACTGAACTTGGTGCTGGAGTGATAGCACAGCAGGTAGGGCGTTTGCCTTGCACAAAGCTGACCCGGGTTCGATCCCCAGCATCCCATATGGTCCCCTGAGCACGGCCAGGAGTAACTCCTGAATGTAAAGCTAGGAATAACCCCTGTGCATTGCCGGGTGTGACCCAAAAAAGCAAAAAAAAAAAAAAGCTTACTGAACTCAAAGGTGACAAACCCAAAGAATTCATTACCGAATCAAGAAGTTGAGGAGGTAAGGTGGTGAGGAGGAAGAGTTGAGGGGGAGGTGAGATGGGGAGGAGGAGGAGGTGAGGGGGAGGGGAGGTGGTAAAGAAGGTGAGGAGATGAGGAGAAGGTGAGGGGGAGGGGGGGAGGGAGGTGGGTAGGAGGAAGAGGTTAGGAGGAGGTGAGGTGGTGAGAAAGAGGTGGGAAGGAGAAGGAGGTGAGGTGGGCAGGAGGAGGTGTGAGGGGGAGGGGAGGTGGGGAGGAAGAGGAGATGAGGGGAAAGTGAGGTGGTGAGAAGGAGGTGAGAGGGAGGTGAGGTGGTGGGGAGGAGGAGGTGAGGAGGAGGTGAGGTGGTGCTCACCTTGACTCCCATATGGTTCCCTGAGCAGAGAACAGCCCCTGAAGCCCATAATGTGGCTCAGCAGAAAACACCCCACTCCCACCCCAAAAAAAGAATGTAGTACTAAGACAAATCAGAGTTCAAGTTCAGGAAGGTGGAGAGCTGTCTTGGCAACGCAGAGTTCTTTGCCCAGTGACAATGCCCTCAGGAGAGAAGGTGAAATCAGAACTTTCTCCCAGGAAGGAAAACTGAGTGCCACAAATAACCTATCCAGAAAAAAAAGTGAAGGAAGTTCTCTTAGAAGAAAAGGAAACAATGTATAAGTTCTCTTGAGTCATCCAGGAGGAATTTAAAGAAACGCTGGAAAGAGTAAAAACATCAATCATTTCTCTCAGTTTTCTAAACTGAGGCAGCTGAGCTATACTGTAACAGTACCTAGTGACTCAGTGTCTGAGGATATTTGACAATGGAGCGATAGCACAGCGGGTAGGGCGTTCGCCTTACAAGCGGCCAACATGGCCGACCCGAGTTCGATTCCTCCGCCCCTCTCCGAGAGCCCGGCAGGCTACCGAGAGTATTCGATATGCCAGATACAGTAACAACAAAGTCTCCAATGGGGACGTTACTGGGCCTGCTCGAGCAAATCGACGATCAACGGGAGAGCCTTTTTATGTTGTAAATGGGGAAGCATAAAGAGCATAAAGAGAATTAAAATTTCTACACTTAGCTTAAACTGGCAAAATATCAGCAGTAGACGGGATGCGTTATTTGTATATGATATAATGCCTCAAGCAGCAACTACAAATGCTGTTCAGAGACACCTGCAAAGACATTTCCAGTGAATCAGAATTAAGTTCTTTAATATGTTCAAATAACCTCAAAGGAAGATTGGCAGAGTAAATGCAAAAGTAAAATCACCCAACTATGTACTGTGTTCTATAAACTCACTTTAAATTTAACTGTGTGGTAAGTTGCAAATGAAAATATACCTTGCAACTAGGAGCCAGATGAGAAATCTGTCTCTTCAGAGAGAGTAAGAGTGAATCCCTTTTTGTTCTTGCTTTTGTTTTTGTCCTCACAGTGTGCTTGATGGGGTGAGGTGGGTGTGTGGTTCTCCAGGACCACACCTGAACAGGGTCTGGCCGTGCCTGGTGGTGCTTGGGTACTTGGTGGGACTCAGACACGAACTCACACACCCAAGGCAGTTGCTTGACCATTTGCAACACACCTGGTCCCTGCAGTAAATCTTCATGGCCTTGGACTGGACCCTGGTTTCTTAAGATGTGGTACCAAAATTGTAAGAAAAATCAGAAAATTTGATTTCATAAAAATTTAAAGATTTTTGTGCCTCAAAAATCTGTAAAGCTGATTAGAGGCTGCCTCTCGGAGAGCCTGGCAAGCTACCGAGAGTATCCCGCCTGCATGGCGGAGCCTGGCAAGCTACCCGTGGCGCACTTAATATGCCCAAAACAGTAACAATGATGGTCCTCATTCCCCTGACCCTGAAAGAGCCCCCAATATGCCATCGGGCTACACTAGCACATGACAGGGATGAATGGAGATGTTACTGGTGCCCGCTCGAGCAAATTGATGAACAATGGGGTGATAGTGTGATAGTGATAGTGCTTCAAAAGATAATATCACAAAAACTGAAAAGATGGGGCCAGGAGTGTGACTCTGTGGTCAGGCACTTGTCTTACATGTATGAGGCCCTAGGTTGGGTCCTGGCACCGCTCCATGCCCCAAAGAGAAGGGAGAGGTGTAAAGAACCAACCAAAGGACTGGAGTAGTATCACAGAGTGTAGGACACTTGCCTTGCATGTGCGTGGTCCGGGTTCGATCCCTGGCATCCCGTCTGGTCCTGAGCATCACCCTTGAGCACAGAGCCTAGAGCATTGCTTGAGCATCGCCAGGTGTGACCCAAACAAATCAAAGAGGAACCTGCCTAAAGGGAGAAAGCACCTTCATCAGAAAATCCGCAAGTGCTCTCTCCATGGTGGCTCAGCCCTCCCAGAAAGGGAAGTCCTGGCTATGCTCAGGTGGAGAAGCGAAGTGAGGGAAGCCAGGCTCTGTTTGACTCAACAGAAGCACATCTGTAGGTCTGTGGCAGCCGGGCCAGTGCATGCATGTACAGCCATTGCTAATAAGCTTGAGGCTTCTTTTGGAGAGGATGGAAATACTGTGAGCTCAGATAATAGGGCTCTGGCAACTTGGTGAATATGCCAAGGACCAATGAATGATATCCTTTTTTTTTTTTTTTTTTTTTTTTTGCTTTTTGGGTCACACCCAGCGATGCACAGGGGTTACTCCTGGCTCATGCACTCAGGAATCACTCGTAGCAGTGTTTGGGGGACCATATGGGATGCTGGGAATTGAACCCAGGTCGGCCGCATGTCCTACCCACTGTGCTATCACTCCAGCCCCAGATTAATATCCTTTATTTTTTATTTTTTTAATTTAATTTTTATTAGTGAAACACCATGAGGTACAGATGTAGACTTACAAATTTTTGTGCTTGGGTTTCAATTATACAATGATCAAATACCCATCCCTCCACCAGTGCCCATTTTCCACCACCACGGGTCCCAGTATCCCTCCCAACCCCCATCCCCCCACCCCACCCTGCCCAGAATGATATCCTTTAAAGAGTGGTTGAATTCTGTGTCAGTCAAAAAATTCTATGAGGATAAATATAGAGAGAAAGCAGAGTGCCAAATTACTAGCAGATAAAATAAACACAGCTGTTCATAACTTTGTATTAGCCAGAAACGGGGAACAGCCAGAGTGCTGGAATATGTGAATGGTTAAACAGACTGACAGTGTGCCAGCCTGTGGAATAGCAGTGGGCGATAAAAAGGAATTAGCTCTTGATATGTGCCTGGGTCTCAAGAGGACCCAGCAAGGGTCATTTAAGTATGACTCCATGATTCTATTTTACAGCATTCTCCAAATGTTATAAATTTCAGTAGTGCTAAACGAGGAGATGGAAAATGAGGTAGTGAGGGCGGGGGCTGAGGGGTGGCCCTGGGGACAGTGCTTCTGCTGCCTCAACTGTGCCTCATGAATCTGCATATGAGACTCACGTGATGGCAAGAGGTCTCTGTCGACAATGGTCAGCTTTGGCCACTTCGGTCCCCCAGGTGAAGGAGATGAGAGCCGTGGAGGGCTGGGGGCAGGGGAACATGCCCAGACCTCCTTGTTGGTATCTTTGTTACTGAATCTGTGATTCTTTTCAAACTTAAAAGTATCACTGTATCACTGTCACTGTATCAATGTCATCCTGTTGTTCATCCATGTACTCAAGCAGGCGCCAGTAACGTCTCTATCCCTCCTAGCCCTGAGATTTTAGCAGCCTCTTCTTACTTGTCTTTTCCCAGTGATTGGAGGCTCTTTCAGGGTCAGGGGAATGAGACTTATTACTGTTTTTGGCAATGGAATATGCCACAGGGAGCTTGTGAGGCTCTGTCCGTGCAGGTGGGATACTCTTGGTAGTTTGCCGGGCTCTCCGAGAGCATATATATATATATATATATATATATATATATATATATATATATACACATATATATAAATTTCTCCCTATGATTTGTTGCCTACTGTCTGAACCCCATCAAATATGGTGTAGTAATTATGGGAAATGGGTAGGAAGTGTCTTATGATGTGTTGCGTGGTCCGGAAAGCAGCCTAGAGCGTGGCGGTGGTTGTGTAGTGGAGGTCAGCTGCCGGGGCTGGGTCCCTTGGGGGCAGGGGGGCTCTCACTTGACCCACTCTGGGACACCCTGAGTGAAAACAGCCTGGCGCAGAGTCCTGTGGCATGGTAAAACAGTTTTCAGTATTTTTGGACTGAAAACTCAAAAGTAAAAGCAGAAATATACGTGCTGTGAGCACCTATATAGAAATTTCCTCACAGAATTGATAGTCTGTGCTGTTTTCAATCTGTATAATTAGAGTATAAGCTATGAAAGAATTATTGGTAAGTAGGGACAAATAAATGTTGAGATTCAAATTAAATCAGACATTGCAACATGACTAAGTATAGTATGTTATTTGTAATCTTTGTTGAATAAAGTCTGATTATCTTATTCATTACTGAAATTAAGAATGGCAACAGAAGATGGCACTAAGTAGAAAAAAAGCCTTGCTTTTTTAAAAAAAAATGATAACTTTGCTCAAGAATGGCTAAAACATAACTGAACAAACATTGATTATGTGAGTAATTATTCTACTGTGTAGTTAATGATGTCCCAAATTTACATGAGAGCTGAGTTATGTTTAGATTTAATAATTTAGTTTTAATAACCAACTCTATCCTCACTAATTAAAATGATTTACTGCATTTAGTTAGATTTCCAAAGGAGTACACAGATGAGAACTGCAGTGAACTTGAGTTAGAAACAACCAATTATAATAAAATGTTAGCATTCTTCATTGTTTACAGTTTTCCACGCTAACTAGTAGCTTTGAAAAACTGAGATTACACCAGATGAGACAAAGCAGATTTCGGAGAAGAGAGGTACCACACCTCAAAGAAGACATTCCCTTTGAACCAAGCAACTTGAACCAGAAGTTAGAGGTGAGCTGTGTTTCTGTACTTCCCCTGGGTGTCCGGGAGCCTTACCCAGGTGCCGGGGCTTCTCTCTGCCACAGACTCCAGTGCCACCCACTTCTGGCCAAGCATTGAGCCTGCCCTCTCAGTGACATTCCTGTGGGCACATAGTGAGTCAAAGCAGTTTGGGCATCTTTTATGCATATCAGCAGTTTTTTTGAGAGCCAAAAACTCAGCTGACATCTGGAAATCAAATGACCATGATAAAGGCTATTAGTAACTCCCACTGAACACCACAGTCATCATTAAAATAGGACTTGCAGTTTGGGTTCTTCACAAACGTAGTGTGGTTCTCTGAACACGCTTCCTGTGTGGTGGACACATCCGTTCTATGCCCCTGTTCCAGCTGGGTTCTCCCCTGTGCCCCTGCACTTCCCACAGGCTCTGTCCCATCCTCTGCTCAGGAGACCTCAGGCTGCCCCCAGGGGTCCCCACCTGCAGCCTGTGTCAGCTTCCCTTCTCCCCAGCCCCATTGCCTCTCCCCTTCATTCTGCCAGGCCCCGCCAGGCCCTGCCGTTCGTCCTGTCGTCCCTTCTCTTCCCTCCTGTGCAGCCAGCCTGGCGTGGGTTTCCAGGCCCCTCATCTCCTTCTCAAACGTTTTCTCTAAGATAGCTTTAATTGAAATGTTTCCTGTTTGTCCCTCCACTTTCTTTTAAAGGAATTTAGAGCAAAGTCCAGAGAATGGGATAAGCAAGAGATACTGTACCAGTCACATCTGGTTTCTGTAGATGCACAGCAGAAATTGTTGTCTGAGAAGTGTGATCAATTTCAGGTACATTAGCTACTGCTGTTCTCTGGTTAGGGTCTGAGGGTGACTACTAACCCTGGCACTGAGCAGGGTCAAGGGGCTGGCAGGCCTGGGCTAGGTTCACTCTCCTGAACTCATTCAATAACAGGTTTTGCGTCTGTGTCTGGGTTTTGTGTGTGTGTGTGTGTGTGTGTGTGTGTGTCTGTGTGTCTGTGTGTCTGTGTCTGTGTCTCTATTTGTTACTAGTCAGAATCTGAGATTGCTGGGCACCTCTCCTCAATGCCTAACAGCCAGGATGCAGTAGCTAGTGAGAGGCACCACAATCCCTTTAGAACTCAAAAGAGTGGGGGTTGGAGTGATAGCACAGCGGGTAGGGCGTTTGCCTTGCACACCGCCGAGCCAGGTTCGATTCCCAGCATCCCATATGGTCCCCCAGCACCGCCAGGAGGAATTCCTGAGTGCAGAGCCAGGAGTAATCCCTGAGCATTGCTGGGTGTGACCCAAAGCAAAAATAATAACAATAATAATAAAATAAATTAAAAAAAAACTCAAAAGAGTGAAGGAAACGCACAGCTGCATTAAGCAGGAAATGTCCAGTCGGTGGAGAGTGGAGCTGGTCCCCTGCGGACAGCAGGCAAACATGAGCACTGAGACAGGAGCCAAAAGCTGATTCAGGAGGAGCTGGGGGGGTTGTCTGGGGTCCCTGCAGGATGTGTATGTGGGGGGGCTGTCAGAGGTCCCTGCAGGGTTTATGGGTGGGGGACTGTCTGGGGTCCCTGCAGGGTTTATGGGTGGGGGACTGTCTGGGGTCCCTGCAGGGTATGTATGTGGGGGGCTGTCTGGGGTCCCTGCAGGATTTATGGGTGGGGGGCTGTCTGGGGTCCCTGCAGGGTATATATGTGGGGGGCTATATGGGGTCCCTGCAAGGTTTATGGGTGGGGGGCTGTCTGTGGTCCCTGTGGTGTGTGTGTGTATGTGGGGAGTGTCTTTGATTAGCCTAGAGAGCCGGTCACAGGTTTGTAACCAGCCTTAAAGGCATGGTGAGGTAGGATCGGACAGCACTCTGCTGCCTAGCAACCAAGCAGCACCCCTCAGCCGTGAGAGAAGAGGAAGCCCTGCAATTGGCTGCAGTTTGGATGCACAAGGGCCTCAGTGGGTCAGGAAGGATGACAACCCCAAATGACCGTGCCTCTGTGGAGCAGGAAGAAGCGGGCAGGGCTTCGATGGAAGCCAAGCTACCTGACTGGGCTCTGCAGTGAGTGATGCAGGAGAAGTGGAGACCATGAGAAGGGCATGGGTTGAGCTTGGGGCACCGGAGGGAGGATGCCTCCTCCCTGAACCAGTGGCCTGCACAGTCAGGCCTGGAATGTGGAGCTTACTGACACCAGTGACAAGCTACAGTTTTGATGGACATACTTAATTTTCATTTTTTATTGTTGCCTGAATTATATGTTATACATGTTTGCTGGAGCGATGGTACAGCAGGTAGGGCGTTTGCCTTGCACGCAGCTGACCGGGTTAGATTTTTCTGCCCCTCTCAGAGAGCCGGGCAAGCTACCGAGAGTATCCCACCCAAAAGGCAGAGCCTGAAAAGCTCCTTGTGGAGTATTCATATGCCAAAAACAGTAACAACAAGTCTCGCAATGGAGACATTACTTGTGCCCTTTAGCCAATGATGAACAATGGTAGGACATTGCTGCATGTTTGCTGAACTCAGCACTACAAAGGAAAATTAATGGTCTCAAACCTACCCCACTCACCCATTGTATTTGAGTGCTGTTAACAACTAGGTATTTGTCTTTCCAGATTTTTTTCATTTATTTATAGAAACATATAAACTGAGTTTGTGTGAAAATTGTAAACTTCCCTTTAAAAATTTTTAACTTCCCTTTTTAAATGTGCTTTTCTTAAGCCATCAAAAAACCTTTCAATAGACTGAACATGTTTGCCACTCAATGCCTCTTTTGCAAACCTTAGCAACCAAAAGGAGAGAAAGAACAAAAGGGATGGGGTGGGGGTACGGGAGGGGTGGGAGGGTTACTGGGATCATTGGTGGTGGAGAATGGGCACTAGTGGAGGGATGGGTACTTGATCATTGTATGACTGAAACCCAAGTACAAGAACTTGTAAGGTCAACAACTGTACCACATGGAGTTTCACTAATAAAAAAATTTAAAAACAAAACAAAACAAACAAACAAACAAAGCCTTTCAAATCATATATAAAACTTTTACCTAGTTCTGCATAATATTTCTTCAAAGGTATAAATACGCTATACTGTAGCATATAGGAAATGTATATGGCATGATTCTTTCAATCGTTGATTAAAGCTCATTTTACATGTAGTTTTTTGCTGCTTCAATACGATAAATACTTCTTTAATTTTACTCCTTCCCTTTGGTAGGTAAAAGCCTAGATAGAATTGCTGTGCCAGAGGATGTCCGTTTAGATCCTCACAAACACTAGCAGAGCACTTCCGGGTCAGGTGGGGTCACTTCCCCAGACAGACTGGGCCCTGGCCAAGTGGGCTCCACCCACCCAGACTGTTCCCAGCGGGCACTGAGCTTGGCTTTGCTGCTTTTAGGGCTCTTTGTGCCTCTGAGCTTCTCCTCTGTTTCTTCTTTCTCTTGTGTCTACTCTTTTTTCTTATCCAGGCATAGACATTTTGCAGACAAGAGATGATTACCCTTTGTTATGTATGTTGGCAATTTTTTTTTCACAAACTAATATTTTTTTTTTTTGCTTTTTGGGTCACACCCGGCGATGCTCAGGGGTTACTCCTGGCTAATGCACTCAGGAATTGCTCCTGGCGGTGCTCGGGGGACCATATGGGATGCTGGGAATTGAACCTGTGTCAGCCATGTTGGCTGCGTGCAAGGCAAACGCCCTGCCCGCTGTGCTATCGCTCCAGCCCCTACAAACTAATTTTAAAACTATTTTTTGCTTATCTTGATTTTTTAGCCCCAACAGACATTTGCAACTACATATTATCAAGTGACTCCATAATTTTCTTCTTGAGATAGCTTCTAAACTTTCTTCTTGGGTAATAAAACTTTCTTAGTCTACACCTATGCTCTGAGCTTACACAACATACTTTCCCTTTATGCCATCTAAAATTGAGATTCCAGAATAAACACAAAGGATGAAGCTTTCTTATCTATTAACGTATTTAAAAATATTTCTCCTAATTCTTCTCTATTACTCTTTGATTTATGCCAGCTTAAGTATGACAGTGCCATTTAATTTGGAGTTTTCACATTTCTCAGAAACAGGCACAAAATTTCCAGACCCAAATAAATGGCAAGAAGCAGTTCCCGGAGGGCTGCAACTCTGAAATCCCTCAGATGATCTGTGAGACAGAGCCCAGCTTCGATGCCAGCGAAAAAGACGAGTTCATTATCGAGAAGTTAAAGTCAGCTGTGAGCGAGATTGCGTTCAGCAGGAATAAGTTACAGGATGAAAATCAAAGGCTCTTACAAGAACTGAAAATGTACCAAAGACAGTGTCAGGTGAAGATGATTATTTTGAGGGGGGTGGATTAGGGGACTTGGAGTAACCTCCCCAGAAGTGCTTGAGGGTCCCTGTGGTACTTGAGTCCCACAGGAGATGGGTCCCCAGGGTGGTGCCAGGGACCAGTCTTAGGTCCCAGTGTGTATTTGCAGTGATATTGCCTGTAAGTTGTGTGAGGACTCACAGATATGTGACTTTGAAAGTGAACTTTCTATTGCTGTGTGACTTCTGTTTGTGACGTCTCTTTGTAAGTAGTTCTAGCACCCCAGGTCCTGCAGTGACCAGAGAGTGTAGGACCAGGGCTGGTGACAGCACATAGGGTTCAGACCCTCCATGAAAGGCCTCAGGCAACCCCTTTCACCCCTCCCTGCTCATGAGTAACTTTGCTGTGTGTATGTGCTTCAGAAAATTTCCCCCTTGGCTGCTGGGATTGGTGAATTGTCCAAACATTACTTGCCTTAATCAAAGAATCTTTTCGTTTTTCAGTGTCTCTCTTTCCACATGGTGATGCTAAACAGCACTCATCAAAGTTAGCTGGCAGCCCTTTCTCCCCTGCATAAGCATTCCTTATCCACGGAAAGGAATCGCAAATTCCTTGCCACAACCTGTGTCTTTTCCTCTTCCTACAGACATTCCATCTCTTTCGGGCAAAATATCTCTGGCAGCCTTGGGGTAGGATGTTCTAGTGACACACTGACAAAGCAGGGACCCTAGAAGTGAACTCTCGGTGTGACCCTGGTTGTGATCCTGAGTGTGACCCTAGTTATGACCCTGGTGTGACATCTTTAGGTGTGACCCTGGGTATGACTCTACTGTGACTTCTTTACTTGGGAGAAATATTAGGCTGTGCTAACATCTCATTGACTAGTCTTTATAGTTGCAAACCTGTTTCATGTTTCTTTTCATTTTTCATTTCAGACCTCATCTGAAAGGTCTAAAAATCCAGTCGGTCTAAAACTAGACTAGTTTCAGACTGATCAGTTGATAGATTTTTTTTTATCCAGATTCCCAAATATGAGCACTGAAATGTCTCATTTTCATTTAGGCCATGGAAGCAGGACTCTCGGAGGTGAAAAGCGAGTTGCAGTCCCGCGATGATCTCCTGAGGGTTGTGGAAATGGAGCGGTTGCAGCTGCACAGAGAGTTACTGAAGCTCGGAGAGTGTCAGAATGCACAGGAAACTAAGAGAAGGTATGCACTTTGTTCCAGCCTCACCTGTGAGCAGTCATCTGTCTGTCATTCCTGGGTTTGATTTTCTTCATGTGGTTTAAGGCTTTTGTTGTTGTTGTTTGGGGGCTGGTGACATATTCAGCCTCGCTCAGGGCTTACTCCTGGCTCTGTGTTCAGGGTCTCTCCTGGCAGTTTTTAGGGTCCATGTGGAGTGCTGGGGATTGAACATAGGTCAGCCATGTGCAGGGCAAATGTCTTACCCACTGTGCTCTCTCTCTGGACCCATAAGTGTTTTTATTTTGGAATCTGTTCAGAAGTTCTTGGAAATAGGATGTTGTAACCACATAAATTCTTCAGAACTCCCAGACTGGCTGATATCTTGGGTCCAGTTCGGAAACGAGTGTTTTCTCCCCTGGGCACCTTTTGGTGATGTGGCCTACTAGGTGAATCTCCCTGGCTGGCCTGCTGTGGAAGTGAGCATTTCCGGGCACTTCTCTGGCTCTCTTTGGGAATTGTGCTCTGGGCACTAGTCTCTGCTTTCCCCGCTGGCATCCTTATATGGTCGCTGCTCATTCTGTTGACCCACTGTGAAGAGCAGAGATGTGACCCGCTCTCCAGCTGGGCTGTCAGGGCCAATCACTTTGGATCCCTCTTGAGCAGTAGTTGGTCCCCTCGGATGTCTCCAGAAATGCCATTTCCAAGAAGCTGAGTAAGTCAGCTGAATTTCCTTTTTTTCATTGTTGTTATTTGTTTTATTTTGTGTTTCTTTTGTGGTCACTCCCAGCGATGCTCAGGGCTCACTCCTGGCAGTGCTCAGGGGACAATATGGAATGCCAAGGATCGAACTTAGGTCAGCTGTATGTAAGGCAAACGACCTCCCAAACTATCACTCCAGCCCTGAATTTCCTTTTTTAAGCAGGTTATCATATCATTTTATTATTGGAAGCTGCCTCTTCTGCTTATCCAAGAATTATACCTATGTAGCAAACTCAGTATTCAAACAATTTTAAATATATAGTTGAAATTCCCCCATTACTTGCTGTAGCACTGTAGCACTGTCCTCCCATTGTTCATCTATTTGCTCGAGTGGGCACTAGTAACATCTCCATTGTGAGACTTGTTGTTACTGGTTTTGGCATATTGAATGCGCCACGGGACCTTGCCAGGCTCTGGCATGCAGGTGGGATACTCTCGGTAGCTTGCCTGGCTCTCTGAGAGGGGCGGAGGAATCAAACCCAGATCTGCTGCATGCAAGGCAAATGCCCTACTCCCTGTGCTATCGCTCCATCCCCCATTAATTGCTACCCAGAAGAAAATATCTGCTCTCAGTAATTTTTTTTTCAACAAAGCCATGGCCTATTTCTGCAGCATACAGTGGTCTGAAGTAACAACAAAAGCATAATGACAGATCCAGTTGAACATAATTTTTACTCATTTTAATTTGTAGATTTGAATCGTCTTATTCCCCTTCTGTTAACAGCCCAGAAAAGAAAAAGAAGGAGCTGATCTCAGTGCTCCCAGATCCACAGAGTCGAGAGAAAGACTCAAGCACGGTAGGAGAACGCTGACCCCTCACTCACAGATGGGAGAGGAAACTGCTTCCAAACTTCTCTTCTGCATTTCACCTAGCGCTTGCAAATTGCTGGCAGAGGTGCTTTCACATTAAGTGTCTTACCACAAAGAAAAAAGCACTTTTCTTTTGGTTTGGACCAGACCCCGCGGTGCGTGGAGGCCAGTCCCGAGTTGGTGCTCGGGTTGTCCCCAGCACCACTGGGCAGACCTGGGCTCTAAGCGTGCACCGACCTGGGGGCTCTGTCCAGACCTCAAGGCAGAAACGTTCTCCAGAGCAAGGTCCTTGGGAGGTCAGGAGTGGACATGCCGCTTCCAGGTGGTGGCCACAGGCCAGGCTATTTGGTGTGCCACTCATTTGGGTGGGGGCAGGGCCAAGCTGCACGTAGCAGTCAGTGATGGTGCGTATCCCCTGGAGACAGACAACAGAGCAGAGATTGGGCGGAGGAGAAACCATGGCTCTGGGGAGAGATGTTTCACGCGCACCCCCAAGACTGCTCCAGTGTGGGGGGTTGGAGTGCAGCGTGGGGGTGGGTGCGACTGCAAAGGGCCCCTGTGCTGCAGACCAGAAGCCGGCTATACCCTGAGGAGGAGCCGGAGCGCATGCGGGCCGAGATCTCGGCACTCACGGAGGAGCTGCAGCAGAAGGAGCTCACCATCGCCATGGTCATGAAGAAGGCAGCACTGTTGGAGAGGCAGCTCAAGGCTGAGCTGGAGATCAAGGAGAAGATGCTGGCCAAGCAGCAGGTGTGCTCCGTTGCTCCCACCTGCGGTCACCTGGTCCAGAAGAGGCAGCGGGAAAGTCACAAAGTTTCCCATTTGCTGCTATGAAATTCTTCCCTAAAAAGCCTGACTTTGGCGGCTGGGGAGAGAGGGGAGCAGGAAGGGCTCGTGCATGGCAAGCAGCTGGCCAGATCCAAGCCCTGGCCTCCGGTGAATTGTTCCCCTGAGTTCTCCAGGAGTGATCCCAGAGCACAGAGCCAGGAGGCATGCCTGAGCACTTTCAGGGGTGGCCCCAAAACAAAACCAAGATTTCCTTTGGGGGCCTGAGCACAGGTCAGTGGCAAGGCAGCTGCCTGCAGTCCCCTCACCAGCACCCCTCATGTCCAGTGTGATCCCCAGAGAGACAGGACAGAGGAGGGGCAGCGCCCATAGTGGCCATGTCTGCCTGGTCCCGGCACTGTGGCAGGCCCTGAAGACTTCCCAGTGTGCCCCTAATGAACAGAAGACAAAAAAGAGGGTGGGACTCGTGTTGTACAGGTACCAACACAGCCCCGTGACTATGTGCGTGACCTTTAGTTCTGGCTCCTAAACAAACAAGCCAGCTGGGCTCCATGCCGTGAGAGGGCACCTGGTTTACACTGCTCATGCCCAGCAGCGTTACCCGCCGCGCTGGAACCACCCCCCTGCAGGGTTGAGCTCTTACTCAATCCCCACACAGCTCTTACCTCCCTCAGGTGTTGGATACGCACCGAGCGACCAGGATGGAAAGCACGCACATGAAGGGAATGATGGGCGACTTGGACACCGGGCGGCTCCTGGTAATGTGCTGGGGGAGTGGTCGAGCCAGGAGGGCGTTGGGGCACTGGCTGTGCTGGGCATCTGCCTTTCCCTTCTCACCTCTGTTCTTTTCATGGCCCCGACCCAGCTCTGATCATCTCCTCAAACCTGTGCCTCCCTGCTTTGACCTGCCCTCACCTCCGAGTTCCTCCCTCCCACCTCGCCTTCCTCTGCTGCCCCTCAGAGTAAATGGTCCCTCACCCTGGTTTGGTTTGGGTCTGGCTGGTTGGGGGCCTTGCTGTCCCTGCAGTAGCACCCAGCGTCCACTCACAGTGAGAGCCGTGAGCGCTGGCTGTGCCCGCCTCTGCTTCTAGCCCATGACTCAGCCCAGGCCTTTCAGCCTTGAACGTGAGAACGTAGCGAAATGCCTTGTCACTTGTTAGCATTTACCTGCTCCGAAAGAGTTCCAGGCTTCCCCTCTCCACAGGAGGGACACTTTGCCCACCTGTTTTGACCTTGGTTTCCTCGACCATGGAATGAACTGGAGCTGGGGGACCTTTATTTGAGGCCCTATGGTCAGGCCTCAATGGCCCTCCTTACCCAGCCCCGCTGTCCGACACTCCAGGGTTCTCGGGCCCCAGGTCAGCCTCAGGAGGGATGAGTGGGACCCTCTGCTGATGTGGAGCCAGAGCTCAGGAAGATGTGGACACAGGTAAGTGAAGTGCCTGCTCGCTTGCCACCTGGCCCCTGAGACCCACTGCCTCTGGAAGTAGGAGTGCCCACCGGGACTGGGGGGTTATTGTTGCAAAACCTTCCACCCAAACTCCCAGGGACCTGCATTCTCTCCCCCGTGGGGATCTGGGCTTGTTCATTCAAGAACTAAAACATAAAGATGGATACAGAAGAAGCTAGTCACCCCCGTCCTGGTCCGGCCCCAGTTTGGACTTGCGACCCCAGACCTAAAGGGTTTCCTCTCCACTGGCTGGGCCCCTTCCCACAACTGGGGCTGCCTCCCCACCTGTGGCCAGTGGCTCTCTGACTCTGTGGAGAAACTCCTTTTTATTTTTCCTAATGCCTTAGGAAACACCGTTGTATGTTTCCCAGAAGTTAGGAAAAATAAATTAGGGCTAGAAATTAGGGCTGGAGCGATAGCACAGCAAGTATGGTGTTTGCCTTGCACACGGCCGAACCAGGAGACCCAGGTTCAATTCCTCCACCCCTCTCAGAGAGCCCAGCAAGCTACTGAGAGTATCTCACCTGCACGGCAAAGCCTGGCAAGCTACCCATGATGTGTTCGATATGCCAAACACAGTAACAACAAGTCTCACAATGGAGACGTTACTGGGCCCGCTCGAGCAAATCGATGAACAACGGGAGGACAGTGCTACAGTGCAGTGCAGGAAAAATGAATTTGTATTCATCTAGAATATATATCATTTTAAATAAATTGCATTCTGATGGACATGGTATTTCAAGGCAAACGCTCTGCCCGCTCTGCTATCGCTCCAGTGTTGAACACGTGCATTTACGTAGATCATGTATGGAGTCAGGTGTTCATTTAGGGGCTTCAGTGCTTCAGAACTGGATCTCACTGTCTGCGTGTCTCTTTCCTGTGCGCGTCCTTATGGCAGACAGGCCCTTCATTCTGTGGAATGCCTACTAATGTAAATGTATCAACCTTTATTCAGCTGAGATTTCCCAGTCAATCGAATCATCATTTGCTCCAAACTTTCTGGACCTTTGTTCAAATGACTACCTACCACAGTAAAGAGCATTCTTTCCTTATGTTTGGGAGGGGTTTGGGGATTCAGCTGCTTGTGGGATTAGTGCTAATTAGCTTGTGCTAATCTCAGCACTTTGTTCTGCACTCCGATGGCTGCTGTCAGGAGCCCTGGCTGCTCCCTCCTTTCTGGCAGGTGCCCGAGCCCTTGGTGCTCTCTCAGGGCTTCTCAGGGGTGCATTGATTGACCACTCTGACCACACTTAGCCAATAGTATTGGCAGTGTGGGCTAATGCAAATACAGACCTTCTCCACTTTTCTGCTTCGATGACTTTCTCTTGTCAGTTTATAACAGCACTTTTCTAAAGAGTGCATTGCTTGTTCTAAGCACTGAGCACTACTGGGGTTAGCCCAAAAGCAAAAAAAAAAAAAAATCTTAACTTGTATTTGTCAAATGTGTATACCTTTTTATTCATAGTTTCTGAATGTCATCCGCAAATGATTCTTCTAACTTCTAGACAGTTTCTAGTTTCTTATATTTTCTTTAAAGGCTTTTACATTTTTCATCAGTCATTAATTTATTTAAATTGTGATTTTGTATGCAAGGCAAACGCTCTGCCCGCTGTGCTATCACTCCAACATGGCCGACCCGAGTTCGATTCCTCCGCCCCTCTCGGAGAACCCAGCAAGCTACCGAGAGTATCTCGCTGGCACGGCAAAACCTGGCAAGCTCCCTGTGGCGTATTCGATATGCCAAACACAGTAACAATTGTCACAATGGAGACGTTCCTGGGCCCACTCAAGCAAATTGATGAACAACGGGAGGACAGTAACAGTGTGATTTTGTATAAAATGGCAACCCAATTAAAATTTTATGTGAGAGCCTGAGTGATAGTACAGCGGGTAGGCATTTTGCCTTGCATGTGGCTGACCTAGGTTAAATTCCTGGCACCCTTTATGATCCCCTGAGCACCACCAGGAGTAATTCCTGAGGGCAGAGCCAGGCATAACCCCTGAGCAAAAAAAGCCAAAAAAAATTTATATGAGAAAAATTTTTATAAGAGATAAAAATAGGGGCTGGAGCGATAGCACAGTGGGCAGGGTGTTTGCATTGCACACAGCTGACCTGGGTTCAATTCCCAGCATCCCATATGGTCCCCTGAGCACCACCGGGAGTAATTCCTGAGTGCAAAGCCAGGAGTAACCCCTGTGCATTGCTGGGTGTGACCAAAAAAAGCAAAAAAAAAAGAGAGAGAGAGATAAAAATAGATGGGGCTGGAACGATAGTACAGCGGGTAGGGCATTTGTCTTGCACGCGACTGACCTGGGTTCGATTCCCAGCATTCCTCAAGTACCACCAGGAGTAGTTCCTGAGTGCAGAGTCAGGAGTAACCCCTGTACACCACCGAGTGTGACCCCCCCCAAAAAAAAGAGATAAAAATTGATGAATGTGAAGCTCAGTTTTTCCAGTTTCTCCTGTACATGGTGTGGTATGGGGCGGTGCTCATGTCCTCACATGTCTAGGCCCTCCTGCTTAGTCAGAGGCACGGATGTCCACAAGAACGCGCCACTGTGCTTGAGAGGCAGCCCATGCCTTATCCCGTCCGGAAAGTCCTGGGTCCAGCAGGACCCAGGCATCAGTGCACATTGAGTTCTTTGTTGCAGCAGCATAATTTTACACAGATCCACTTGCTGGATGCCTTTCACACATGGTAGTTCACTGTCTGGTCCCCCGAGCCCACAAGGAGTGATCCCTGCACAGAACTAGGAGTTGGCCCCGAGCACCACAGGGTGTGACTCAAAAACAGAAACAAAAAACTGTAAAGCTCTTCTATTAGCTTTTAGCACTCGATAGTTAAAGATTTCTTGAAAAATATTATGTGTTAATACAGCCCATAACTGGTTAATCCATTCTGAAATAATTGGAACGGTTGAAGTAAACATATGATTAATTGGTGCTGAAATTTTCTGACAATAGTTACAACAGTGACAATAATCATTGATATATGTGGGGGCCAGAGCTATAGTACAGTGGGTAGGGCATTCGCCTTGCACATAGCCAACCTGGGTTCGATCCCCAACATCCCATACGGTTCCTTGAGCACTGCCAGGAGTAATTCCTGAGTGCAGAGCCAGGAGTAACCCCTGAGCATCACCGGGTGCTACCCAAAAAAAGCAAAAAACAAAAACAAAATCCAAAAAATATGTAGTATTTGGATCTTCTCAAAATAATCTGTCTTTCCCCTTCTAGAAAGGTGAAATGTCTCCAAGGTAGATCATTTCTGAGTAACCAGAGCGGCTTCCCAGGGCAGTGGCCCTGCGCACACTCTGCTGTGAGGAGGGGCTGTGGGAAGGGGCTGCAGGAGGCACATCACCAACCCGAACTAAGGGCCAGACCACAAGACCCGTATGGCCGAGAAGCATCTTCTCACAGCCGCTGTTCTGTTCTCTAGAGGATGGACTTCAGCGGGAGTCACTCAGGGCATCCAACTCTTAACAAGCTGGAAAGTGAAAATGAAAGACTCCGGCATGACCTCGCGAAGCTCCATGCCTCTGGGAACCCGGCGTGGGCTCCCCAGAACACCTATGAAGAAGCGGGATACTGTACGTACCCCAGACATGCCAGAATGGACAAGAACGAGAACAGGTATGTCACTTTTGTGCCCACGGACATTGCACTTAACTGTGTGTTCATTGCAAAGTGGACCGTTCTGTGAGGTGACCCAGTGTGGGTGCATTGTTTCATGCGAAAGCCTGTGGATGCTTTTAAACTAGAAAGTTAAGGGCCAAGATCCAGCACAGCAGGGAGGACACCTTCTTGGCACATGGCCGACCTGGGTTCAATCCCTGGCATCCCATGTGGTCCACTGAACCCCACCAGATGTGATCCTTGAACACAGAGCCAGGAGTAAACTGAGGACTTCTGGGTGTGAGCCAAAAACCAAACAGTGAAAATGAAAAATAAAGTAACTGGGCTGAGGATCCCGTGAGGTTTCACTCACCTCACTGTGGTGCAGGAGGGTGTTGCCAGTCTGTGGCACCGGGCTGATCTGGAGGGACAAGAGCAGCCCTCTGGGGTCACTCTGTTCACATGAAGACAGTAGATCTCTTGGGGGTCACTAAGTCACCTCTTCTTGAGAAGAGGGCAGTGGGCACCACATAAATCTGGAGGTGTCTGTGCTGCCCCTTCTAAGAATCTGGTGTGTCACAGAGTCGGCGCTGGTGTGAGCGGGCCACACATGGGCGTGAGTCTGATGTCATTGTTCAGGCTCCCCCATGGGGCTGCGGGCCGCCCTCGAGGTTTCCTGAGGGAGGACTCACATGCTTTCAGATCTTCAGTTTAGAGCTAAGTCACTATTTCAGCATGAGAGTAAACTAATTTAGGGACTGCAGAGATAGTGCAGTGGGTGGGGTGTTTGCCTGACAAGGCCCACAAAGGTCCAATCCTTAGCATCCCAGATGGTCTCCCCAGCTCGTCAAGAGTGATCCCTGAGCACCAAGCCAGAAATATACCCTGAGTACTGCCAGTATGCTCCCCTCCCCCGAAAAGAGTAAACTAATTTATTCAAGTCAGTAAAAATATTTGTGGAGTGAGAACGATTTCCCATTGGTTTTCGACTTGGAATCTGCTCAGCAAACAGGCTGTAATGTGACCCTGTGTGCTGTGCGTGTTCAGGCCAGACCCCACTGCCTGGACTCCCCAGGGCCTGCTCAGAAGCTGTGATTTCCTAGGGACCCTCGACTCTGCTCACAGAGACTGGCATCCATTGAACCACACTGTGTCCCTCAGTTTCTCCTGATGGACAAAGATCATCACGGGGTTTTCTGAGGAATGCAGGAGACCTGGCTTTGACCCCTGGCACCCAAGATGGTCCCCAAGCCTTTCCAGGAGTGATCCCTGAGGACAGAGTCAGGAGTAGACCCTGAGTGTTGCCAGGTGTGGTCCCAGAGTGAAATGGAAAATTCTATCCATACTACAAAATCCAAATGGGTCATTGAGAAAATGGTTCAGATACTTCAGGACCGACAATGCTTTTCCTGCCATCCCTGGATGGCTGAGAGTGCAGGGAGATCCCAAAGTCGCTTCTGCGTCCCCTTTCTCCTGCTGTGTTGAGAAGTCTGGTGTTCCCATACAGCCAACCCTCCCTCCTGCGTATGCGCCTGCAGGATCTGAGGCATTTGCCATCATTATTGTTTGGTGTTACTGTTAACTTCATCTTCATTGTTCTTTGGTGTTTTTGTTTGGGGTCACACCTGGCTCCGCACTCAGGGATCACTGGCAGTACTCGGGGGATGCTATAGGGTGCTGGGAAACAAACCCAGGTCAGCCATGTGCAAAGCAGACACCCTCCCCTCTGTCCTGCTGCCCACTGGACCGTCCATTGTCTCCCTGCACATTACGCGCCCAGAACCTCAGCTCGCTGTGCAGCTTAGTTTCCATGGTGACCAGGGCTTGGGAGAAAGGCCTTGAGGAAGCTATGGCTCGAGATAAGTAAACATACGTAAAAGAATGCTGTGCTTTCTGTCGTGATTCACAGGCGCCTCCCAACTGTCATTGCTGTGTGTATACGTATCTTAGAGAAGGGCTACGCAAGGGCAAGCCTAATGAGCTTTGCACAGAAACAGGAAGAATAATGTGAATGTTTTTGAACTGTGTAAACTTAGAGTATTGAAGCCATTGGAAATAGTTGCTATCTATAAAGAATTTGAATTACTAGAAAGAAGAAATACTTTTGGGGTGCCACACCTAGCAGGGCTCACTCCTGGCTCCGTGCTCAAGCTTCACTCTTGGTGGGACTCAGGGGGACCATATAGGGTTCTGGAGATTGAACACGGGTCAGCTGTGCATAAGATTAGTGTCCTAAGTACTATCCTCCGGCCCCCAGAAGTGTGGTTCTTGAGAAAGGTGAAGTGAGGTCAGGAATGCAGAACGAGGCTGGCAGCCCAGTGGCAGTGGTCTTCACTGTTGGTGAGACTTTTCTCAGGCCCATTTTATGTTGTTCAGTTAAGTAGTGGAGTGATAAATGTCGAGGCCAGGATGGGTAGATCCCATCTGGCAGCAGAGCCGACCAGCGGGGCCAAAGGCTGTCCTGCAGGGTGGAGCCCAGGTCAGGCTCACGAATCTCCCGAGCGGACTAGAATGACTCATCAGGAAGCTGGTGCCTGGTGCCTTGGGTTGTTCCAGTGAAGCCCAAGCTCCAGTGCTCAGGGAGCAGCAACTTCTGTCCCTTCTCTTGTAGACTTAGCCCCAACAGGAGTGCCACGCCTCCACTGTCCCCTCTGCCGTTCCCGTGCAAGGACATGAGCGGTGAGGACGCCTGCTTCTCCCTGGTAAGTGGCCTGTGCTTGGCCTCTGGGGGCTGGCAGTGCTGGCAGCGGTCTCAGGTGGCAGCGGTCTCAGCACAGTCCTTCGAGGAGGGCGGGGGAGCTGGCCTGTATCAGCAGGAAACCAGCCCTTGGGTCTGAGGGAGTCTGCCCTGTCTCTGACTCCCAGGTTCACCCAGACCCTCCAAAGTCAGTGACACGCTGTTGGGCCCATAAGAGTGGGCATACATGCAGAAACTCACGCCTCAGGTGGACAGCACAAGATGGGCTCACAAAGGGGCCAAGCAGTAACTCAGTCCCACACATGCCTTTGTTGTTGTTGTTGCTGGGGGCCCACACCAGAGGCGCTCAGGGCTCTGGCACCATCGTGGTGCTGGGTAGGACGGGGACGCTGCATGCAACACAAGTGCCTACCCACAGCATAAGTGCCCCAGCCCCAGTCCGAGCCCTATTGAGTTCCTGTTTCCAGACACAATCATTGCTTTGCCAGTGCACAGAGCACGCCTCAGACAGGCTCAACAGGAACCCTGGGCCTGGCTGGCATTGCAGCCAGACTCCAGTTTCCTCTCCAGACATTTCTCGGGGGGGGGGGGGGGGAGTTGGTTTCCCCAGCTTAGGACCCTCCTTGTCAGCAAGAGCTGCAGGTCTGGCCGTATCAGGGTGCGGCGCCCGGAAACGGCTGTGTCCCCACCTGGGTTTCTTTCTCTCCCTGTTTGTCTCTAGTCTCCCCCTGAGATCGCCTTCCCAGCCTCTCTGGCCACACAGCATTTCCTTCTGGAGGAAGAAAGGCGAGCGCGAGAGCTTGAGAAACTTCTCAATACACACATCGATGAACTGCAAAGACACACAGAATTCACTCTTAATAAATACACCAAGCTAAAGCAAAATAGACACATCTGAGCTTTTCAACATTTTTTATTTGCTTCCCCCACCCTAAGAAAAAAAAGCTCTGGCCAAATATTTATAAAGCCAACCAAATGAAACAAATTCTGATGTTTTTGTGAGTAAATCATTTCTGTAAGGCAGCTAGAGAATAGCAACTTTTTCTGCATTACTATGACACAAATTGTTCAGCTCAAGGGTGACCACAAAATAAACACAACTACTCCAACAGCAGTGCTCTTCCCATCGAAGGAATATTTTGGAATCCTATGTGCAGTTTTTCTACTTGAATCACATCTGGTGAAAACTCTCCTCTAATACCACAGCCCCCAGCACCCCTGAGTCATAGAGGCTCCCTTGTACGGTTCCAGAACTCAAGGGTTTGGTGTTTTGGTTTTTCTTTAATAAAAAATATTCAGTATTTTGAACTATGTAGAATCACTGTCCTCCCGTTGTTCATCGATTTTCTCGAGCAGGCCCAGTAACGTCTCCATCGTGAGACTTTGTTGCTACTGTGTTTGGCATATCCAGTACATCATGGGTAGCTTACCAGGCTTTGCCGTGTGGGCGAGATACTCCGGACTCTTCGAGAGGGGCGGAGGAATTGAACTCGGGTTGGCCATGTTGGCTACATTCAAGGCAAACGCCCTACCCGCTGTGCTATCACTCCAGCTCTTGAACTATGTAAACATCCTAAATTTTCTTTTGGGAAAAAAAATGTTTTACTTCCCGTGTCTTCCGTGGTAATGTCTCTGTCTAAATGTAATAAACGCCAGGGCATCTGTCTGCAGCACACATAGGATACACACCAGATAGGAGCAGTGACAATAGTCTGCTCTAGTCCAGTTACAGGGCAGAGTTCTCTAGGCTTTTGGCCTGGGTCCGCAGGGAACAGCGATGACAAGAGAGTGGACAGGAAAACTCAGGTGGCAGCTGGCAGAGCAGGAAAGCTCTGACTCCTTGCCCTTGGCCTGAGGGTCTTGCCTGGGGGCACACTGTCGGGGCGAGGAGAGGCGAGGGGAGACCCAGACCCCGTGCACCTGGTATCGGGTGGCCGCTGGAGAGTGGGCCCCTGGGGAATCCAGGTGGTCAAGAGGAAAGTAGCCTTTCTCCGCGTTCTCCTTTAAACGCAGATTCAAAAAACGGGAATTCCCTAAATAAACTCCAGAAGCATCATCCCCGGGGCCAGGTGTGAAGCGCACAAAGGTTTCTACACAGGGGGGCGTTTCGGACCAGGGCGGCCACTCAAGCCCCAGTGGGCCGGCTGGGTCCATCACTGCGCCGCCTCGCGTGCTGGCCTCGGCCAGGGACTGGACGGCGGTGGCCGTCCCTGAGCGCCGCCCGCGAGGCCCGGCCACGTGGTCGAGCCCGTGTCCGTGCCCCGTGTGTCCGGGGCGACCAGGACGCTGAGCAGGGGCTGCGGCTGCGTAGGAGAGAATCTGCGCGGGTTCCTGCGTGGCTCCCCAGGGTGGCCCCTCCGAACGTCTTGGCCAGCACCGGCTTCCGGGCTCAGGGATGGGGCGGCGAGTGGGGGCGGCACGAGAGGCGCCGCGGCCTGGACTCTGACCCGCCCGAGCGAGGCGGTGGGTGAGTGGGTGCAGGGCCGGTGTGCGGGACCGTGACGGTGACGTGGCGGTGGTGGTGACGGGGGCGCGCTCACGCCGTGACGATGATGATGACGTGGCGCGCACACGCCGTGACGTGACGTGGCGGTGACGTGGCGCGTGGGCACGTGCTCTGGGCCTACGCACCGGCCGCGGGTCGGATTTTCCCGGCTCCGCGTGAAGCGGCGCCAAAACTGCGTGGACGCGGACCTGTCCTGGACCCGGGCCTGGCCCCTTCCAGCCGTCACTTTCCGTGGTGCGGAGAGGTGGGGCTGGAGATCTCGCTGCGGCCAGGCCTGGGCCCACCGTGGGATTCCGTAGACTCAGCCAGGAGGTTTTGGCCCATTGTGGTGTTAAATCCCAAGGCCTGTGTGCATGGGTCAAAGGCTCTATCCAGCAAGTCCACTAGGGGAACTTTGGTAAGGTACTCCAGGTGGGGGCAGGCCTCCCCAGACACGGCAAGGCAGCTTCAGGGACCTCCCTATCCTATCCTGGGCTGTCTTTTATGCATCATACTACTTGATTTTCACAAGTCGCCCACCCATCTTTGCACCCCTGAGATGACTGTCTTGTTTTTGTTGGTGGTGGTGGTGGTGTTCGCTAGTTTTGTTCTTTTTTGGGGGGGCCACACCTGGTGGTGCTCAGGGGTAACCCCTGATAGGACTTGGGGGACCATATGTGGTGCTGGTGATTGAACCCTGGTGGGCTGCATGGGGGGGCAGTTGCCTTCCCTGCTGCTCTGGCTCGCCAACCTGGAGTAGACTTTGGATTCCTCTTCCTTGTGCCTTGGGGCTGTCGCTGTGATTGGGGTCACACACCAACATTGACTTTGAAGTGCTCGCTGACTCATCAGAACCCGCTCAGCTGGGCGTCTCTGGATCAGGCAGCAGAGCTGTGGGCAGCTCCAGGCTTGGGTACACCGTCTGGGTGGTCTTTGCTCGTTTCATGTGTTTCTGCTCTAATTTTTATTCTGTAATTACTGGTCACACATGTAGTCCCTAAGCTGTCCAGTTAGGCTGTGGTTTGCACTGAGCTTCATGGCTGGGTTGTTAGGTAGCCCCCGCTTATAGGCAGACAGAAGTCTGGCCTAACCATACCCACTGATGGCACTTCTGGGGCCAGAGATGTTATTTGGGTCTGGTCCTGGTCCAGTGCTGTGCAGCTGAGCAGTCCTGAGGTGTGACACCTGCTCCTGTGGATACTGCTTTGCTCGGTGCCTCACTCCGCGTCCTGGCCACCAGCGTCTCAGGTCTGGGCCCCACGCATGACCTCCCCATGCGGAAGAACTCGCCTCTGCTGGGTAGGTAAGAAATCTGGGGCTCTAGTGAATTCTATCCCCCCCACACCTGCTAGCTTCCCTTCCCCACTTGACCAGAACCTTGGTCCTGTCCCTGGGGAGCTTCCTGGGGGTGGGCAGTGAGTCAGACTGAACCTGGCTTTGCTGCTTTGAAGTGTGTGGCAGTCACCTCGGTAGCAAATGGCCCAGAGCGTGACACTTTCCTCTGGTTTGGGAATCAGTTGAGGATGCACCTGTGCAACCCTGTACACACATACACATGCATGTACAGAGACGCATGCATACACATGTAGATATGCACACACACAGTGGAGATGAACTTCCAACATCTGTGGACTGGGAGGCTGGGAAGAGGAAAGAAACCTTGGACTTCATAGGCCCCCTCCTGCCTGATTGGTTTTCAGTCCCAGTTTGTTTGTTTGTCTTTTGGGTCACACGAGGTGATGCTCAGGGGTTACTCCTGGCTTAGCACTCAGGAATTACTCCTGGTGCTGCTCTGGGGACCATATGAGTCCCGCTGTACTATTGCTCTGACCCTGCTTCTTTTTTGTTTATCCCCATTTTGCGGCTTTGGTCAGGCTATAGTGGTGATCGGGGAGAAGGGGTGGTGATGTTTGGTCTTTGGGCCTCGCCAGGGCCTGCACTCTGGGCACTCGGTGGTGCTCACAGAGCCCGGGCTTCCCTCATGCGTGTAGGGGCTGGGGGTAACTGGCGCCTCCTTCCAAGGTGGGTCCATGTGGGCGCTGCAGTAGATCCCAATCAGATCCCACGCCTGTCCTGTGCTCACCCTTGCCTGGAGCCCACAGGCCACATCCCGTGCACATCTTCCTGCTGCAAGGTTCCCTGACCTAATTGCAGCGGCTTGTGGTGCTTTTCCCCTTTCCCCTCCTTCCTGTTTGTAGTGTCTTGCTGCTGAGACACTATTACTTGTTACATAATTGACACATTACAGGATATGATCTGTAACACAAGTTGCCTTATGGCAACAAGTATATGTATAAAGTCTTGTATGCTTTGTAGCATACAAATCGACTATACTGTATAGTTGATATTTATATGTATGAATCCGGATGATAGCCTAGTTCTGTACAGTTAAGTGATCAAGCAGTTAGTGGACATACACCACAGATTTTGTGATGAGAATATTTTAGTTATATCTCAGCAACACAGATGGTTCCTTGCCTTTCTTTTTTAAGTGGGGTTAGCCACACCTGTGGTGTTCAGGAGCTACTCCTGGTGTGGTGCTCAGGGGTGACCCCTGCTGGTGTCCCAGTAACTGTACGTGGTGCCACAGATCAAGCCATGATCAGCTAGCTGCATGCAAGTGTCTTAACTGCTGTGCTATCTCTTGTAAGTTTTATTTTTAGGAATTTAAAAAAAATGCACCAGTTAGGGGCTGGAGTAGTATAGCAGGTAGGGCGTTTGCCTTGCACACAGCCAATCGGGTTCGATTCCTAGCATCCCATATGGTTCCCTGAACACCACCAGGAGTTATTCCTGAGTGCAAAGCCAGGAGTAACCCCTGTGCATTGCCAGGAGTGACTCAAAAAGGGAAAAAAAAAGGCACCAGTGAGGAACAGTCAAGTAGATCCTGAGTGGTCTGAGGAGAGGATTGCGGGAGAAGGCAGCACTACAGTTGTCTTTGCTTAGAAATGTGGAACATTGGGGTCAGAGAGACAGTTCAGAAGTTAAGGCACTCCCTTTGTACGTAGCCAACTGGGATTCCATCCCAGGCACCCCATGTGGTCCCCTAAAGCCCTCCAGGAGCACAGAGCCCTGAGCACAGAGCTAGGACGAATAGGCCCTGAGCACCACCAGGTATGGCTCTAAACAAAAAATCAAAAACGCAAATGTGAACTCGGTTGGTCACCACCCACTTATCTGCGCTTCTGTGACACCCTAACGGGATGCTTTCATCTCACCTTGCTTCTCTCCTCAGACCCTGCAGTATCACCCACTTTAGATCACATTTACTTCTAATAGGTGAAAAACGGACATGAAGCCAACCGCTTGCCACTCTGCCCTGGCCACGCGGGGGCACTACTGGCACCACACAGGGACTTGCTGGTGCTCACTGCTGCCTGCAGGAAGGGGACTGAGCCAATTCCCCGGACAGTGTCCAAAGGGAAATTCCAGAGTGTCAGGCCTTTTTCTCTGAGCAGCTCGTCTTGCCCTTTTGTGTGGCAGGTTGCTGAGTGCTATGTGCAGCTGACTCCAGGTTCTTTGCAGCATCGCCTTGAATGGTCCATCTGTGCACCTACTTGAATTTTTTTGAAGCTAAATGCCATTTAGTCATTTCTTAAAATCTCCAGGTAAAACTCCCACTATTCTGGGGACTGGAGCAATAGCACAGCGGGTAGGGTGTTTGCCTTGCACGAGGCCGACCCTGGTTCAGTTCCCAGCATCTCATATGGTCCCCTGAGCACCGCCAGGGGTAATTCCTGAGCGCAGAGCCAGAGCCAGGAGTAGCCCCTGTGCATCACCGGGTGTGACCCAAAAAGAAAAAAAAAAACTGCCACTGTTCTTTTGGGGAGGAGGGGTGGAGACTGGCACTCCTGGTGGTGCTCAGAGCTGACTCCTGGCTCTGCATTCAGGGATTACTCTCCGTTGGGCTCCGGGGAGCCCTATGGGGTACTAGGAATCAAACAAAGCCCAGACTGGCTGGTTCAGCGTAAACACTCTCCCCCCCGCCCCCACTCTATTATGGCTCCAGCCCCATTGTCAATCTGATAAATCCTGGGTAGGGTCTTCAATCATAGGCCCATGATTTGTCTGTCTTAACAGTTTGTCATCTTCACCTTAAGTTTTATTGATTTCTATTAAGTATTGCTCAAGGATGCTCACTGAAAACCCTCCCTAGGGGCTGTATGAGGTAGGGAAATCCAGTATCTGAGAAACAGGGTGACCCCAGTGGGGAGCCCTGCCAGGGGCCATGACAGAGGTGATTCGCCCGGCATCCAAGGTTTCCTCCATTTAGTCCAGCCCCAAAGGGTTTTTAGGCCCTGGCTGGTGTGTTGACAGCATGACTCTGGGCCTGCTTCTGTTGGGAGGGTTGTGGGCAGGCTGCAGGAAGTCGGAGCCACCCTCACCACAGCCTCTCCTGGGCCCCAGCCCTGGAACCCTCACCCGCTGGTCCCGCATAGATGTGCTTGGCAAAGAAGATTCTTTCCCAACACAGGCAAGATTGGCAGTTGCTGCCGTGGCGTTCACTGAAGGCAGAGGCTTAAGTCGGTCTGATCTCAGGAGAGGAGCACCTAGCACGCCCCCAAACCAAGCACAAGGCAGCGCCATGCACACACACGCTGTCACCGGGCCCACACCAGCATGGTCTGCAGTCTCTTCAGATATGTCTTGGACCTGTTTCTGTCAGTCATACTTGGGAGTGTTTTTGACACCACACTGGTTTACAGCAGTGTCAAGTGCTTGTCTTTGGGGTCGCATTAGGCCAGTTTCCCCACCAGTGTCCACTGGGCACTTCCAGCCCCCTTCCATGTGCTGCCCTCAGCTCTCGCAATCAAGGGTTTGTTTTTATTGGATCTTGTTTGTCCCCCTCCATGTCACTGTGGAAGTTCATGAGTCCTGGGTCTTCTCTGGATTTACTTTGGCATGAAGCTCCTCCCCTTCTCTCTGGCTGTAGCAGTAGGCAGGATTTGTGGTATCTGAGGTGGGGGCTGACCCCAAGCAGTGCTCAGGAAGCCCCCACCTGTGACTCTTGGTCATCTGGGCCAGTGGGTCAGCACAAGAGCCCAAGGATGCGGAGCCACTCGGGCCCTGCAGAGCAGGGAGGCACCTGGTGACACTGAGGCCACATGGTGGTGTTCGAGATGGGCCCTGGTTGGGTGTGTGCTCAATGTATGCCCCAACGGCGTGTTATCTCCCAGCCCAGCACTCACCTTCCCCAACAGCTGGGTGGTCTTCCACTGTCCATGTGTCATTCATCATGGTTCCAAGACCTGGGCCATGTAAGTGGTGCCATGGTGAGCACAAGCTCATGGCTGGGTCTGAGTGGAGGTCAGTGGGGGTACAGAGGACACAGAGCCTCTGCCCTTTGGACCACTCCTCTGAGTAGACTGTGTCTGGCAATCGCTTATGGGTTGTGGGGTTCCCACATTCTGACCTACCCATGCTGGGTGGGGTCCAGGGCTTTGTGCCACTTGTCAGCAGGCCTGGGTCCTGTTCAGACCAACTGGAGGATAGGGGATACCCAGGAAGATGCAGGGCCAGCGGGGTCCTGCTGACACTCAGGCCTCGTTTTGTTTCAGGGTCCCACATTAAAAGTAGATGGGCAGACCCCCGGGCGCCTCTGCCCACTGCTTATGAGGCACAAGGGAACAGACTCTGGCTGGTCAGTTTTAGTGCCTTCCTCCAGAGCTGCAGAAAAAGTACATGAGCAGAGGCCGGACAGAACAGCAGAGAGGGCATTTGCCTCGCATGCGGCTGACCTGAGTTCAATCTCCAGCATCCCATATGGTCCCCCAAGCACCGCCAGGAGTAACTCCTGAGTGCAGAGCCAGGAGGAGCCCCTGAGCATCTCTGGGTGTGACCCATCGCCCCCCCAAAAAAAGTACATGAGCAGCTGATCCCCCAGGGAGTGACCCCATGTCCACCACCTGGATGGAGCCCTACTCCCAGGACATGGGTCCCCTGCTGCACCCTGAGCAGTCATCCCGAGTAGGGCGGGCTGTGATGTCAGTAGCCGCCCACCTTTCTGCCTGTGTCCTGGTACCAAAACAGGCCCTTCACCCCCACCCCTAGGTGTGTGCCAGTTGAGGGGCAGCACACACAGGCTGGCTTGTGGCACAGGCTGACACCCTGTTCAAGCAATAGCTCCTTTATTCAAAAAATAAATATTTCACCTCTGCATCGAGCCCTGCACTGCTCTGGGTGAGAGCAGCACAGTTCTGTGGAAGTGGGGGGTCCAAGTCTCAAGGCACATGAAGCGGCCATGGGCACGGGGTCACTCACTGACCCATGCCCCCCATTCCCTCCCCGGCCAGCAATAAAGTCGGGCTCAGTGAGGCTGCGGGGAACACGCTGCTCTTCACTCGCTGCTGGCAGGGCGTGTGGCCATGTAGACGAAGAGCACGAGCAGAAGTACCAGCACGGCCAGTGTGGGCAACACCACTGTGCCGATCTGCCGTCGTGCCTCCTGCATGGCCTGTTTCCGCTCCTTCTTGTCCCTTGACGTCTCTTTCCTGGGCTTCCCCTTGAGCTGCCGCATCCTCCTGGGGGCAATGCAGGGCGTGTCTACAGGGAAGAAGGGTCACTCTCTTCTCAGCCAGGCAACAGGCTCCTAGGAGAGAAGGCAGCTGGTCAGAATGAAGGTGGCCTGTACTGGGTCTCGGACACCAGGCCAGGCACAGGAGGGACACGTGAGTTGGCACCACTGCCCTCCCGGTTCCTGTGCCCAACACTGACCACTGTTCTTGCTTGAGAAGGGGCTTCCTGAAATGAGCAGGACAGGGCAGCTACTGAAGGCACCAACTTAGCCTTTCAGCCCAGACCAGCAGGGTCCCAGAGCCCCCACTCCCTGCTCACCTGCAGAAAGGAAATAATCAACACCCACAAACTCAGTTGCCTGGGTCACACAGGGGCCCAGGACCCAGAGGCCAGCAGTCTCCTGGCTCTCCTGACCAGGGAAACAGAAGTCTCACAACACAGGGTTCCATTGCCCCACCCCCACTAGCCATTGACCAGCAACGGTCAATGCTAGGACACTGGAGGGGCTGAGTTCTAACAACATGGGATGGACGATGTGGTCAGAGCTCATCGGACACAACCACGGAGACTGGAACCACAGCAATGGGCCTGCACTGTTCCACTGTCCACCCCAAGTGCCCCCCACCCACTGAGGCCTGGGTGGGGGCAATGCAGCAGCTGGGGGGCTTGGATTTGTCTCGTTGACATTTCTCAGATATGAGTAAAGTGACCTTGTCGTTTCAAGGAAAGCGAACGGTATTTTTGCTAGAAAGAGAAAACCCCCAACCTCTCAACAGAAGATTCTTAGGTTTAGGAAAGGTAAAGTGTCCCTGTGAGTCTAGGGCACCTATTCCTTCCAAGGGTGTGGCGACAGGAAGGGGCTCAGAAGAGTGGGGACACAGCAGCCAGTGGGTGTGGGCCTCTTACAGCTTTGCCGCGCATCACCAGGCTGAGCGCTGTCAGGTAATCTCTCTTTCTGAGCCTTCTCTGCCTGGTCCCATGGAGGCAAGGAGAAGCCACCGGAACCATCTGTCCCCCGTCACTCTCCTCCCCAGGTGCTTTCAAGGGGAAAAAGCTCATTTTTTGGTCTGGTTTCATCCCTGCCCAGGGTACTGGTCAAGGAATCATGCAGCCCCACGGAGCAAACCTTGATCTCCTGCATGTAAAGTCTGCATCAGCCCGCTAAGCTCTTCTTCAGCCCTTCGGGAGATCTGTGTTCATGTGTAGTGGGATGAGGATTTCCTATTCCGGTTCCTAATGTTGCGGGAAGTGCAGTGAGTGAGCTGGGGGTGACACTGCTTGGCCTGCTAGGCACCAGAGGAGCCTCTGCTTCCTGATTCCCATGCCCAAGAATGAGCCCTACTGAGCATTTAAAGTGGAAGGGAAAGAAAACACATGGGCTCTCTAAAGCCCCCTCAACCTCTGGAGAAAGTGGGCTTTCAACCTTGAAACACGCCAGCAGACAGGGAACAGACCCCAGGGCAACCAGAGAGGGGCCGGGATCCAGGATCAAAAACATGACCTCTCCCAGGATTTTGACTAGCACCCTTCTTCCTCCCCAGAAGGTACGCCCAAGCCCCTGAAGGGTTTGTGTGTGTGTGTCTGGTTACAGCAGGGGCTGTCAAACACTGCTGTCTGCACAACAGAAGGATGACCAGACAAGCATACATGTGGGTCTCCAGCTGACCTCTGTCCCCACTTCAGCCCCACCTGAGTGCTTCTTTATCTTTAGTGCTGGGGAAATGCCTTGCCTTGCCTGCAGGTGAAGGAAGCACTGAGTTGGTTGATGGCCCTGAAGGAGGATGAAGGTCTGGGGGGGTGGACCCAGAAGCTCAGGGACATGAAAGAGGAAAACAAGACACAAGGTATAGGGTGCACCTGGCTCCTCCCAGAGGGTGTTTCCTCAGATGCTGGCTCTTCCTGCACAGTCTCCCAAAAGCCCCACCAGCGTGCCAACCCATCTGCTGGGTGTCCTCATAGAATGAGCCTTTCCCCATAGTCCCCAGCTGCTGTCTGTGAAGCATCAGTTTTCATCTGCCACACCTATTCGGCACCACCACACAACCCTCACAAGCCCCCTCAGGACAGGGATGACTATCCCAGCCTCCAGACCTGGTGAGCAGCAACCTCAGGAGTCAGCCCTCAGCTGTGCCCCACTCTTAATGGAGCAAGTCAAAGCCCAAGAGTGCGTTCCCAGATGGAGACGACCCTCATTTCCCACACGGTTCTGGGTTCAAGCTGACTCTACCGTCTGTCTTGGAAGAGTTGTGAGGCCTTTCTGTGACCAAAAAAAAAAAAAACCTGGCACAAACAGAATCAAGTGAATCACCTGGCTGGGTAGTCAGAGACGCAGGTTTCTCCAAAGCGCTCTGCCCACTGTGCTCCCATCAGCCGCCACCCTCCCATGTGGCCTGGCTCCCAGCGCACTTCAGCAGCTATACCCTCACAGGTGTGCACCTGCCTCAGGACATACAGCTGAGGCACTGTGTTCAGGGTCGGCCCGACTGAGATGGAGAAGGGACCAGGCTACACCCCTGGACATTCCCGTGTACGTAGCCACCCCTGACCCTGACAGTGATGCTCCAGAGGGGCACCAGGGATGGGTTCTCCATCAGTTTCTGCCCCTGGAAGTGACTCTGCAGACACATACCCGTGAGCACTGCCTGCCCATACCCTTCGTGGATCAACCCTCAGGTCTGGGTGCAGCAATCTCAGTACTGGGGGTTCTCCCAGTAGAACACCCCCTCCCCGAGCTCACCCTGGACTATGCACAGGCATGTGGGTACCACAGTGGGGAGACTGGCCTGTGTGCAGGCGGGTGACATAAGGCTAATCCCTCCTGCCTGCAGGGCCCACAGGAAGGTGGCCAAGTGGTAAGTCAGGAAGAGGAAGCCACACAGGAAAGCCCAGTCCTGAAGCTGGTTGGAGATTCTCTTAGTAGTAAAAAACCACTGCCCACCAACCTCCAAGTTCTCAGCATTAGGGTTTGAAAGCTGCCACCACCCACTGCCCTCAGCTGCCTGGGTAGAAGGGGAGTTAACCAAACCAAGAAGCAAACCCAGTGAGACTGATATTGAGCATGTGAGCACCATCTCTGGGCAGTTCTGGGATATGGAGCCTGATGGCTCTGAGGTCAGCACACACATCCCGGAGCTCCAGGGCCAGCAGGTGAGTCAGTGGTGGGCAGTTGGCAGTTGTGGTACAGGCAGGGGGGCCTGGATCCCACAGCACAAACCAGAATCCTAGGGGAAGGAGGAGCCCAGGCTCAGAGTCCATCTGGGGATTCCAACCTAAGGTCACCCAGCTTCCTCATCTGGAAATGAGGTAAAAGTGAACTTAGGCTGCAGAAATTAGAATGTCTGAAAACGTCATTCTATGAGAATCTTACCATTTAAAAAAATATTAATATTTTTTAATGTTTTTAAAAAAGTTAAACATTTGGGGCTAGAGATAGCACAGCGGGTAGGGTGTTTGCCTTGCACGTGGCCGACCCGGGTTCGATTCCCAGCATCCCATATGGTCCCCTGAGCACCGCCAGGAGTAACTCCTGAGCGCAGAGCGAGGAGTAGCCTCTGAGCATCGCCAGGTTTGACCCAAAAAGCAAAAAAAAAAAAAAAAAAAAAAAAAAAATTAAACATTTAATTTGCACACAGCTGACCCAGGTTCAATTCCCGGCACCCCATATGGTGCCCTGAGCCCTGAGTATAGCTGGGTGCGGGCATAGTGTCCTAGGTTGAAAATGAATCAGTAAAACTATATAACGGCAAATTCTTTATGCACCTAGCATATACTGTCCAAAAAAAAAAGTGTCCTCCCGTTGTTCATCAATTTTGCTTCAGCAGGCCCAGTAACATCTCCATTCTGAGACTTCTTGTTACTGTGTTTGGCATATCAAATACGTCACGGGTAGCTTGCCAGGCTTTGCTGGAGCATACACTGTCCAAACAAAAACATTGTCCTCCCGTTGTTCATTGATTTGCTCGAGCGGGACCAGTAACATCTCCATTGTGAGACTTCTTGTTACTGTGTTTGGCATATCAAATATGTCACGGGTAGCTTGCCAGACTTTGCCGTGTGGGCAAGATACTCTCGGTAGCTTGCCGGGCTCTCCGCGAGGGGCAGAGGGATCGAACCAGCTCGGCCGGGCTGGCTGCACACTAGGCAAAAGCCCTACGGCTGTGCAATCACTCCAGCCCTGCTAAGTTTGCTTAGTATGGTACTTAGTATGTGCTCTTTCTTGGAGCATATACCAAGTCCTAATACATCCTTTTCAGTTATGCTGATTTTGGTATTTCCTGCACACCAAATCAACATAGACGCAATAAAGGTTGCTTATAGCACTACTTCTTTGCAAAGACAGTCCTTAAACTTTGGGACATCACATACCTGAGATTGTGTAGTCATCTCCAAACTTCTGTCTCCCAGTACTGCTAAGACACCTTATGCAGCCCCCAGAAACAAGAAGTCCAAGGCTAGGAGGAGGGGAGTGACACACATGGACACCAGCCCAGCCCCACCGGCCCTTCCCGACCTCCCACTTTGTCCCAAAGCCGCCCCTCCAGCATATGGCTGAGCACGGAAGCTCAGCAGGGTAGGTGTCAGGACGAGCCCTCTCGGGGCAAGAGGGGACCAAGAGGGCAGCAGGGTTGTCCCTCCACGCCACGAGAGGGTTGCAGCACCGTGGCCCAAACCTCAGGCTCCTCAGGCCCCACTGCTGGGGTGACGACACCTGGCCCAGCTGATGCCCGCCCCCAACGGCTCAAAGACAGACAGGGAAGCCCCACCACAAAGTCTGTCCCCAGCGCGGCTGAGAGCTGGGCCTGCAGCAGCGGCCTCTTGACTCAGGCCTGATTCGTCTGCAGGAGGGGAGCAGGAACTCCGAATCCTGCCCCACACTGGCCGTGGGGGAAGAAAGGAAGGGGCCCACATCAGCGGCCGAGCGGAGCCGGGGCGGCTGTTCCCGCGAGGCCCCGGGGGAAGGGGACAGCCTCGCCCAAGGCAGCCCCCGGCCCAGGCCTGCCTGCAGCACGGGCTGACATTCGCCCCGCACGTCGGCGGGACTCGGACGGCACCCAGTGCCCACGAGGCCCCGCAGGTCGTGACCCGGGGGGTCGGGAAGAGCCGGCGGGCAGGGGCGGCCGGGAGAGAGCGGGACAGCGACTGGGAAGAGACGCGGGTGCGAGCAGCGGCCCGGACACCCTGGCAGGACGGATCGTGCTGGCCCGGCGGGGCGGGGCCTGGCGGGCGCCGGCTCGGGGGGCGCCCCGCCGGGGGTCCAAGAGGGGTTCTGCCGGGCCCGACCACTCCGGGGAGCGGCAGGGCTCTCAGGAGGGGCTCCGGATCCCGAGAGCCGCCGCAGGTGCCGCCCCCCCGCCTCACCTCGGCCGGCCTCGTCGCCCGTGCGCTCCCGCCTCGCGTCTCCTCAGGCGCCGCGCGGACGCCGGGCCGCCACCTCAGCCCCGGCGCCTCTGTCGCCCGCCCGGAAACCGCGCGCGCCCCTCCCCGGCCCCGCCCCCGGAAGTCGTCCCCGCCGCCCCGTCCGCGTAGACCCCGCCTCCGCCTGACCCCGCCCCTGGAAGCCCCGCCCCACGATTCCGGCCGCGGACGCCCCGCCCACACCCGGCCGCTGCTACAGGAGGCTCCCCTGGGGGGGGGGGCCGTCCAGCTTGGTCCAGGCCAGTGGGGGCCACCCCAGACGCCGGGCTCAAGTCCAAGCCGCTCCCCACCCCTCCCGGCACACTCGTACTGACCGAACGCGCCTCCCCTCCAGGAGGGTGAGCTGCAGGTGCTGAGAGCTGGGCTCCACAGAGGGCATCCCCGGGTGCAGAAGAAAAGTCAAGTCACTAGGCTGCTGCTGCACGGGTGGAAGGCCTGTGCCCACCTCAGCACCCAAGCACTCCAGAGCCGGAGGATTCCAGCCCCAGAAGCTCCTGTCCTGCGCTCCCACTAGCTCTCCCCTCCTACTGACCAAAGGCAGAGCCCTCGTGGCCAGTGTCGGCTAGGCCTCCTGTCTCTGCACACCTTGGGCAGCTCTCTCCAGGCCTCGGGTCTCCTCATTGTCCCGAAGCCACACGGAAGCCGCTAAATGGGGGTCCAATCTGGACCCTGGATTATCTGTCCCTGTGCTGTGGGCAGGGGGGCAGGGGGGCACCGGAGGGCAGAGCCTGGCTGGGTGCAGGTGCACACACAGGAAACAGCTGCCTCACAGAGGCCATCTGCAGGCCCTCCTCAGCTGCTCCCCATCCCGAATGCAGGTGACAACATTAGGGAAGGCTGTTCTGGGGACACACACCCTGGGCCTTAGAACCTGCACTGGTCTCCCAGAAGCAGGGGGGCTCTCAGTGCTGTCTGCTCATTCTGCCCAAGTGCAACTGACCCTTTGCCTCACAGGTTTAGCGCGTGTTTCTATTTCCATCTGCCAAGGACTGAGCACTCCAGCCTGTGCTCAGTGCATGTGGGAGGCAGCGGGACCAGGCTCAGCCCCAGGCCCAGAGCAGAGCTCCTCAGGGGCTCCCTGCCAGCAGCTGCCCCTGGAACATCACCAGGGGGTCCCAGCAGTCCTTGTCCTTGTTCCCAGCTGAGCTGCAGGAGGACCAAAAAGCCGGACTGTGCAGGCCACACAGTGAAGGAATGAACTTCCTACTCTGGGCGTGTTACAGTTCTCTTTCCTGGGGTGCAGGATGTGGCTCAGTGGTGCAGCATATGCCCTGCGTGTAAGGCCTGGGCTTCCATTCCAAACTGCAAAGGAAAAAGCAAGAAGGTTCTTTCTCTGAGTGTGGGAGGTACACATAGGTGACACTGTCACCGGGAGAAGGAGGCAGCCTGAGAGTCGACACGCCAGTCTTACCCAGCTCTGAATAGCCACGGGACCGCTTGCCGCCCTCACCCAAGTGAGGCCAAGGCTAGCATATAGCTGGCCACAGCCTGCCTGAAACTTGGGCTCCTTCCAAGTTCCTCACAAACGCTTTCTTCTCAGGGGTAGAAAATCTGTCGACCCTGTCTTTGATACTACAGGACGCTCACTAGTCTCAGGGCTTTCTGGGTCTGAACAAGCCAACACTACTGGCTCATTAATAACCCCAGAAGGCACCAGAACAGAATCCTGCAGCTTGACCGAACACAGGTTCCCCCCTGTGCCACTGATGGTGCACTTTGAAGCTCTGGCAAAAGAAAAGGACCCACCACCACAACACACACACACACACACACACACACACACACACACACACACACACACACCACACACACACGGGATCTGACCCAGTAGCCTCAGCAAAACAAAGCCAACCCAGTTTCGTCCCCTGTCACCCTACATTCTCTGAGCACAACCAGGAGGAATTCCTGAGTGCAGAGCCTAGTCAGTCTCTTCCCCATCCAGCCCTGGGCTGTGGGGGGTGAGGGCCGAGCACTGAGACCATCACAGCAAGAAGCGGGTGTGGCACGGAACCCACCAGGCCACCGTTCAGAGGAAGGCTGAGCGCAGGTCTACTGGGGGCTGCAGGAAGAAAGATCTAGAAGTCACAGAGAGTGGATGAGGGGAAGTGGATGAAAGGTATGATGTGCAAGGGAAAAGGGGGAGACCTAGGGAGCTCTAGGGATCCAGCCATGGCCAGGCCAGCTATGGCTGTGGGGCTTGGGCATCTCGGGCAGCAGAGGCCTGTTTTGGGGGAAGGGAGGTCCTCAGAGACTTAGGAGGGGCCAGGAGCTTCAGGGGCGAGCAGGTGCCCTGCACATGCATCCTGGGCATGTCATAAGGCCAGAGCACATGCATGTGCTGTTTAGGTTGTGCTCCGTGATCAACTGCTCCAGCCTCGGGACTTCTAGGCCCTGCCCCAGATAGGAGGGTCAGAATTTCAGGAAGCACGGTGATCAATATTTCTAATAAGCACCTGAACCCCAGCGAGAATCAGAAGTACCAGTGAAAGGAGACTCAGAGGGCAAGTGTCCAGTTCTTCCCTTGCACGTGATGTCAGAGGGCCCATCCCAGCTCATATCCCAGGAGCCCAGCCTGGACGCCCCTGTATGAGGGTGCCCCTGCCGCCCCACCCCAGCGCTGTGACAGCCAGGCAGGCTTGACCGGCAGCAGTAAGGGACCCAAACAGTGCCATTTTTCCACCTGTGCTCTCACGGCCACAAGCTGCTCAGACATTCTCCCCACACCACCTTGCATTAAAAATAAGTCTTCGTCACAATCCCTGATGCAGAATTTCTGCCCAGAAACTAAGCTGAAAATACGAAGTTCATTCCTCTAACAAACAGCTGACGGCTGTAGCAATTGAACGGCAGGAAGGGAGATTGTCTTGTGTATAGCCAACCCGCGTTCAATCGCCAGCACCCCACAGGGCCCCCCAAGCCCTGCGAGGAGTGACCCTGGAGTAAGACCTGAGTCCAGCTGGGCATGGCCCCAAAACCAAAACCAACAAAACACTGAAGTTCTGTGTGGTAGGCGACGGGAACAAGACAAGCTCCCAGATTCTGAGGGATCCAGTCTAATATTCTCCTAATTAGTCCATTCCAAGGCTTACCTTGACAAGGCCACTCTGGTTACTGGTGATCTTCTTGGCTTGTCCACTGTCCCCCAAACGTGCTGACCCCTGCCACTCCCCACCAGTGGGAAATGGGGTACAGAACTGGTGGGACCAGGGCCTGGGCTGGTGCTTCCCCTGATGAAGAGGGAAAAATACTTGTTTCAATGACAGCTTCTGAGAACTGCAGGGCTGAAGGACAGGGGGTGGCAGGGACACAGTGGGCACCAGGCAAGCCTGGCCCAGGGCAGGAAGCAACAAGCACTGTCTGTTGGGTGTGGAAAGGCTTCTCAGAGTGGCGATGGGGATGCTGGTGAGCATATGCAGAGTGAAAGGAATTATTCAGGGGCCCCCAAGGCAGTGATACAGGAAGGCAGGCAGACAGAAAAGGCCATCCTGTGGCAATGGAATTCCTACCTACCTGCCTGCCTATACCAATAGCACAGCGGGGAGGGCGTCTGACAATGGGGTTTGTCTTGCATGTGGCCAAACTGGGTTCTACCTGGGTTTGAACCCCAGCATCCCATAGGTTCCCGGGCCCCACCAAGAGTGATTCCTGAGTAGAGCCAGGAGTAACCCAACCCTTGAGCACCGCTAGGGGCGATCGAAAAGCCAAACAGACAAAACAAACAAAAGTATTCACAACAAATGCCACCGAGAAGACTGGGAGGGGAAGAATTTATGCTGGGGGTATGGACCGGAATTCCAAGGCTGGTTTCACGCTTCACTTACATGATCTCTGGACACGCCACTGAGCCTCTAGCTCGGCCTGCTCCTCTGCACTGCCCGGGCAGGGGTCACTCGACTTGTCTCCTTGCCCCTCCTGCCCTTAGCTCCCGGCTATCGCACAATGCAAATTCTAAGTGCTCTCGCCAGCTTCTGCAGCCTCGGCAAACCCATGACCCAGCACCAGCCGGGTGGTGCCCGATCCCCGTCGGCCCTGCTCGGGGGCCGCATCCTGGGCAGCCCCAACTGCGGGACACGGAGGTCCCACGGCCACCTTCGCTCTCTGCCCTGCCCTGTTCTGAGCCCCCGCTCGGTCCAAAGCGGCCCGGCACGCGCCGGACTCGCCCATCGATGGTCGCTCACGTGCTCTCCCACGTGCTCCTGCAGGCTCGCGGGTCCAGCTGCAGGCCAGCGCTGGGGCTGGGCAGCCCGCGGGGCCTCGCACGCCCTCCCTCCGCCCACCGGCTCCTGCCTCCGTCGGGGTCCCCCTGCGCTCGGCCCCGTGCAGCTGGGGGGTCCCCCTGCGCCCCAGCCCCCAACCCCGTGCACGCCCGGCCGCAAGCACCGCGGAGAGCGGCCCCGCGACGCCAGGACGCGGCGGGCGAGCGGGACAAAGGGCGGCGCGCTCGTGCTCGCGGACGAGCTGTGCGTGCGTGTGCTCGCGTGCGTGCTCGCGTGCGCGTGCCCGTCCGGCGGCTCCCCCCCCCGCCCCGGGGGGCGGGGCTAGACCTTCCCGCGGCGCCGTCGCGCCATTGGCGGGCGGTTTGAATGGCGGAAGTGACGTCGCGGCTGGTCCCCCGCGCAGGCGCACGAACGGCTGTTGGGAAGCGGCTTCGAAGCAGCCAGAGCTTTGGGCGTCCGGGGATCTGCAGCCCTCTGCTGCCTCGCGGAGAGCGGGTGAAGCGCAGCGGTCTCGGAGGAGGGGGTGCAGGTCAGGGGCGCTGGAGGGAGAGGTTCAGGGGTGCTCGGAGAAGGGGCACTTGAAGGACGTGGTGCTCGGAGCGGTGCTCGGTGGTCGGGATGCAGACGAGGGGTGCAGGGGAGGGGTGCTTGGAGACTGGGCTTCAGGGAAGGGGTGCTTGGAGATCAGGGTATAGACGAGGGGTGTTAGGAGGAAGAGCGTCAAGGTTTGAGAGCCACTGGAGACGAGACATCCGCGGGATTAGGGATGCCAGGGCCCCCCACTGCCCCGCGGCAGGTGGAGGTCCCTGGCACAGTACCTGGCTCGTGGTGGTGTGCTGTCACTCAAGAGTGCTGGGGCACGCAGCCTGGCTCCACTATCACCCAAGTGCGTCTCCCCAGCTGAGGTCTGCAGGCCTCCAAGATGCTCCAGGGCTTGGCCCCTGGTGAGCAGCTGCAGTTTGAGCTGCAGTTTGCTCATCCCCAGACCTTTGAGAGACTTACCAGAATGGATGTGGTGCTGGCTCATGAATGCAAAGCCGAGTGTTGTGTGTGTGTGTGTGTGTGTGTGTGTGTGTGTCCCCGTTCCCCCCAACCCCCATCCCCGCTTATGGGTGCCAGGTGGCATCTCAGGACTAGTACCTGCAGGCAGTGTCATCCTGGTGACTGGGCGACCTTAATGCACACTTCTAAGTCCCCATTAAGATAAATAGTAAGTAAAGGAAGGGATTTAATTCAGTCCCCTGTGCTTGAAGGTTTGTTTTCTCTTGGGTTTCAGTGTCCTTTAGGTAGCTACTTATAAATGAGCTGGGCTTTGTTTATGCAAAATAATCTTTATTGCATCAACTCCTTTAAATGTCAAGTATGAATATATATTTTAAACTTTTTTCCAATGCCTGCTTCCCTACTTTAACAGACACTTTTCTCTTTTAAAATCAGAACCTTTATCTTTAGAGAGTGCGGAAATGAAAAGAAAAGTGGGGAGTTCAGGCAGGCTGAGACTGAGCCCCAATGAAGAAGCCTTTGTTTTAAAGGAAGATTATGAAAGAAGACGGAAATTAAGGCTGCTGCAGGTAAGGTCTATCTGGAATAATATTTGGTGTTCTTTGTCCTCTTTTTTTTTTTTTCCCTTATGTTCTTAGCAGTCTTTCATCAGAGCATGGTGGGTACCAGATCATCCTCTAGTTCCTTCTTGCCACCTGCCCAGGAACCTGCTTTCTGACTGTTGTAGGACTTGCTGTGCAAATAGCACAGTGGTGAAGATTTAGGGATAGGACTTACCTGACCCAGAAATTATTGGAGAAGAGTGAAATGAGGTTACTGATGAAAATTATGGAGGAAGACTTCCTGGGAAGGTCGTTAGTGCAGAAGAAAGTTTATCAGAGTTTTCCTTCCTAGATGCCTTTAGAAGCTTTGCAGAGCCTGTCTGAAATGCTGCTTGGGAAGCTGTGGGCGAGGGGATGCCACTCATCTAGCGGGGAGCCGAGAAGGTAGATTGAGGGTCCCATTCCGTTCTATGCCCTCAGGTTTCTGCTGTGCGTACACCTTGTCTGGTGTAGATATTTTAGAAAATGGAGGAGACGAAGAGTTCTTCTAATTTCTGTTTCCAGAATACTTATCCCAAAATACTGAATGAGGCCTCTTTTCGTATAATAACATTTATTCAGGTTCGAGAACAAGAAAGGGGCATCGCTTTCCAGATAAGAGAAGACATAAAACGGAGGAGAAACCAGCAGTTTGTTCGTCTGGCAGAAGAGCTGAGGGCAGAATGGGCAGAGTCACAGACTCAGAAAATCAAGAAGCTGGAAAAGCTCTACTTGGCGAGTCTGAGAACGTTGGGCGAGGGCCACCAGCAGGCAACAGTGCACGTGAGTGGGCGAGGGCGCCACCAGCCAAGGGCCACGGGGTGAGGGAGTTCACCACCAGCCGAGGGACACAGAATTGGGTGCACACTCAGCTGTGTGTTTGGTGGGAACCGATTTAGGAATGAGTGATAGCCCACGAAGGCCATGCACACACTTTGCCTGTGCCCAGGGTTGATCCCGGCTCCACGCGGTTTCCCAGGCACCCCTGGGAGTGACCTTTAAGCCCCAGCTTTGCTGGTTTCTAGACTTGCCTCACCTCAGTCTCTGAACCGCTGACAGGGAACCACCCGGATGGTTATGTTTTTGACCTTTCCAGCCTGCTTGATGTGCCACTTGAGGTCATCCATGCCTTTCTAGGAACCTGATTTGAACGCTCTGGAACAGCAAGCAGCAGAAAGAAAACTAAAAGCAGAAATCAGACATAAGGAGGCCCTGAAGGTGCAGAAAGATCAGAAGGAACAATTAATGAAACAAAAAACCTGGTGAGTAGTGACGGTTGTTCCTGTCATCTCCCCTGAGGTTGGTCTGGCCGGCAGACCCTGGGTCCCCATGTGCAGGTCACTCGGCATCACTGGGCAGGGCCTTCCTGGGTGAGCTCCGGGCCGTCTCCAAGTTCTGGGGAAACGCCGGGCTTGCCCAGGGTCAGGCTCAGATATGGCAAGAGGAAACTGCATTGAAGCATCTGAGAGGCTCTGGGGAATGAGGCCTCTGCCTCCTGCTACCTCCTAGGGCCCACAACGTGGGCACGGAGGGTTGGCTGGTAAGCCTCTTCCAAATTCACTGTGGAGACCACAGGTGAGAGGCACGTGAGGGCCACAGAGGCAGTTGGCCGGGCTGGGCACTCACTGTGTGAGCCTCAGGCTCTGGCCAGGTGTGTGTCACCACTGGTCTCTGCGGCCCCCGCCTCTCTGCGTGTTGCCTCAGAACAAAGCAGAGAGCCGCGTTGCCCTGGGGCTAGCCTGGAGCCTCTGCACAGCTCTCAGCTTCAGGGCATGCTGATCACTCACGGTCTCTGTCCACAGGCACCTGCAGGCCCGCAAGGACGCCCTGCTTGTGGAGAAGGAGAGATCCGCCAGAGTGACACGGCTGCCACCACCACCACCACCACTGTTTGAGGTGCGTCCTCTGAGCCCGGGGAAAACATAGGGACAGTGGCTCCCTGGCAGGGAGCAGGGCAGGCCCAGCAGTCACAGCTCAACTACAGACATGCCATGTGTGTTGGGCCTGTCACACCGTGCAAAAAGTCACGTTTGTGATGATCTTAGGGCCCAGTCTGGGTTCCGTCTTCCCCAGTTATCTCGGAACATTGTTTTATTTGGAAAACTAAACTTGTGGGATTTTTCAAGAAGACTGAACAGCTTGACCTTACCCTTTTGGGTTGTTGTGCTAACATAAATGCCTCGTAGGGTTAGACCAAAACTTATCTGCTTGATAGATGTTTCGGACTTGGCCTTCAGCTATTCTAAAAAAGATGCTGTTTGATAAAGAAAGAAATCTGGGGCTGGAGCAATAGCACAGCTGTAGGGTGTTTGCCTTGCACTTGGCTGACCCGGGCTTGATTCCCAGCATCCCATGTAGTCCCCTGAGTAATTACTAGGAGTAATTCCTGAGTGCAGAGCCAGGAGTAACCCCTGTGCATTGCCAGCTGTGAACCAAAAAGCAAAAAGCAAAAAAGTAAAGGAAAAAATAAATAAAAAGAAAGAAGCCAGGCTCTGGAGTGGGGCTCAGTAGCAGAGAAGGTGCAGGGCACGATTCCTTGTGCCACGAGGAAAGAAGGAATAAGTAACCATATCTGTGGTGACGGTGAGCCCGGACTCCCTGGATTTAGTTCCTTTATGGGACTGAGATCGAGGTACTCTCTGTGGGGTGCTCGGTGAGGGGACTCTGCTTTTGTGAGGTGCTCTTGTTCACGGTAGCCTGCCGCAGTGGTGACCGTCACTGTCCTCATGGGGAAAGTCCCCTCGTCGGACCGAAGATACCCACTGTCCGCACGTTTGTCTGTGCCATCTGCCTGCGACGAGTGATCCCTGAGGTGCAGGGGAAGGGGCAGGTCCCTCGAGAAGATTCTAGCTCTGTCTCTGAGATCCTGGTGTCCCTCAGTCATGGCCACGTCTGGCAGACGGGGATACCCCAACCTCCTGGAGCACTTCTGCAGTCCAGGGGCCTGAGAAGGCGTCCAGCCTGTGACATTCTGTGTGGACGTCCGGTCTGCGATTGTGCCCTGCCTCTGTGTATGCGTATGCATGTGAGGTAGCCTTGGTCCTGGTCAGCCCTTTGTGCCAACGACCGTGGTGATGTGCCGCTGACACCGTTTGCTCACTGGCCAGTGTGAGGGCCATGTTCAGCTACCCTTAGCTACCATTCACCTGTGCCTGCCCATTTGTTCTGGGCCATGCAGTGCGAAAGAATGAGCAGGGATGCAGGGTCAAGGGCTGGCCACACGTGGCACAGGCCCAGGGACCAGTAAATGGCAGAAACCAGCAAGGACAACCAGCTAAAATCAAAATTCTAGGTTTTGGGATTTTTTGTTTGTTTTTGTTTTTTTTGTTTTGTTTTGTATTTTCTTCTTAGCCGACTGTTTTCGTTTTTTCTTTTATTCCAGAACATCGACCTAAGTAGGATCCCCCCCGTGAGACCCAGCTGTGATTCCTACCATCATCTCAGCAGCCTGGTGAACCGAGAGATGGACACAGGGCAGGTGACTGGCACCCAGCCCCCCTTCAGCGATTCCTACTCCTGTTTATGGTGCCCCACCCTCACGTCAGCATTAGAACCCGGGAACCAGCTGACTCCAGGGACGCTCATAGAAAAGCTCTTCACTGTGCTTGGAATTGCCATGTCAGGTTTTCCACACCCGACCGTGCTCAGCACTTCCTCCTGGCTCTGCACTCAGGGATCACTCCTGGCTGTGCTCAGGGCCATACATGAAAAGGAAGCGCCTTCCCTGCTGTGCTATTGTTCCAGCCCTGAAAATCAGGTTTTTTAACACAAAGGAAGGCATTGGCTATTGATATCGCTGTAGATTTAAGATACTCCCAAGGTTGAGGGGGTGCCTGCTGGTTTTTGGTTTCAGGTCTTCTGTCCCACACAGGGCAGTGCTCCGATTCCTCCTGACTTGGGACACTGGGTGGTTCTGAGAGCAGGTCCAGGCTGCAGCATGCAGCCTGTCCTTCTAGCCCTGTGGACATCTCCCCAGCCAGGTTTAAACCTTTTTATTCTCTTAGTGGAAAATTTGGAATATTCACGTGTGTGTGTGTGTGTGTGTGTGTGTGTGTGTGTGTTATGTACGTAATACGCCCCTTTATCCAAAATTGGCCAGCACCCTCTACTTTATATTAACTATGAAATATCTCCGCTCTCACAGATGATGGCTTTCTTGTCAATAATTATTGATTCACCAAAGTAATGGAGTCTCAGCATAGACATACACGGGATTTCTATTTGGTTCCATTGGGATTGTTTACCAGTAAGGCAAGCAAATATTCAGTGAAATAGTAATGCAGCTTTTTGCCCTAGCCCTTGGTTTGATATGACCATGTTAGTGAGGTGATGGCCGACCACACCCTCATGGTCGCTGTCTGGAAGCAAGTTCTAGAAGCCCTGTTGGCATCTCATAACTGATGACCTGGCCCCAGAAAGCTGCATGCTGCTCCCGGGGGCCCAGGGAAGCCCCAGTGTTTGGGCCTCTTGGTTCTCAGTTCTGCAGCTCTTTTTGTCCCTGGAATTCTTATACATAACTCAGTGGCATGTGTGCTGGTGAGAGGTGCGTGCTCTCTCTGGGTGATGCAGTGTCCAGAGCAGCCTCTTTGTCCCAATGCATGTGCAGATGACTGGGCAAGTGTGAGTCCTCTTGCTGCAGCTCTTGCACATAGGAAAGACTTGAGTCTTAAGTTGATCTGTTTAGTAGTTGGTGGGTTTGCTTGATATGTCAATTTTTTTTCTGACTGTTCCTGACTGCTAGCCAGACGCTCATTTGGCTGCTGAAGAAGAAGCTAAAAGGCTGGAAGACGTCGAGCAACAGGCCTCCCGGGAGAGGGCAGAGCGCTGTGAGAAGGCCCACATTCGTGGCTCCCGCGCGCTGACCAGGATCCGGCTCGCTCAGGTCAGCGCTATGTGTGTGTGTGGTGGTCAGTGGCGAACGTGGGCCCCCAGTGCCCTCTCAGGCTCCGGTGAGTGGAGGCGGCCACGCAATAATGTCATTCCTGATGCTGATTTCAGTGGTCGCGTGGCCTCTGCTGGACATAGCCCGAGACTGGATCCCCTGCTCCCTTGTGTGCTATTTGAGCAAAGCTGTGTTACTCTGCAGAGTCCACCCGGAGTCCCTGCCAGGCTCCTGGACCCCCCCCCCCCCCCCCAGCCGTGGCTGGGTCCCAGAGCTGCCCGGGGTGCTGCCCGTAGGCAGTGAAACTGGCCCCGTGCCAAATGTGCTTCCTGCTCCGAGTGCTTCTGTGCAAACACTGGGCAGAAGAGACTCCCCTTGCCAAGTCTGGTGTTATGTGGGGATTCCTCAGTGTGCTCGGCGACTCCCACAATCATGTGAGAAAGGGGCTTTTGAGCACTTCCTGAGGAACTCGATGCCACTCACTCTGGTGACCATCACTGTAAAATTTGAACTAAATTGTCACCTTTCCCTCTACGTTGTTAAGCATGTATGAACTGGAAATAAGTCATGAAAATAATCGAATGTCTGAATCATTGCTAGTAATTCTCAGCTAGTCTCAGGAATCTGAGGCCAGATAGTACCCGGAACTGGGCTGACAGCGTAGGTGCAGGTCCCCAGGATGGGGCAACCATGCTTAGGACTGTGTGTCGGGCATCTTGACCAAGTACAAGAGGAGAGGCTTTCTGCCAGGTTCCCATGCTCCTTCCCTGCTTTATCTCTGCCGTCACCTGCTGTCTGTGGCTCAGCTCTCCTGACTCTTTCTTGAAGAACCAAGAGAAGCTCCTGAGAGAGCTAAAGCAGCTGCAGCAGGAGGACCTGGCACGGCGGAGGCAGACGGTGGCCCAGATGCCGGCTCAACTGGTCGAGCTGCCCTACCGGCGCAGCGAGATGAAGGAGGAGTGGCAGAGAGAGCTGGAGTTTGCCTTTGAGGACATGTACAACGCGGACAGGAGTAAGAGGCTCTGGGGGCGCCCTCAGTGGTGGGCGGTGCCGCGTGTTTCCTCCAGTGACACTCGGACACCCGCCACGCTGGGCTCGGCCTCTGCACAGTCGCCTGGGGAGTGACCTGGGTCCGGTTCTTTTCTCTTTGAGAGGTGGAAGGGAACCTGGTCTTGCACCTTGAGCCCGAGCCTCTGCCCGTCGTGGCCGATCAGATCCGAGACGAAGACCTGGACCTGTCCATGGAGCAAGAGCTCCTGGGGGACACCACGAGCCCTGCCGTGGTGGACGTGGCTGTGCCGAGCACCAGCGATGCCGACGGTGAGAGCTGCGGAGGCTCCCAGCCGGGATCTCCCGTGGGGCCGGTCTCTGCCAGCCGCACTCCTTGTCTCCGTCCCACACCAGGAAACAGCCTGTGGTCGTCCTGAAGCAAAGTGGCTCTGGGAGGATGGGTGGGAGAAGTTCCTTGCTGGCAGTGGCTGGAGTGTGTGGGTGTGCCCACTGGCCTTCAGTCCCCCTGTGGAACCCTAAGCAGAGGCCTGGGTGGGAGTTTCTTCTCCAGACTGCAGAAAGGTCTCAGCCACTCTTAACCTACAAGGTTTTTAATCTATCGTTTGGCAAGCGCGGGGGGGGGGGGGGGGGGGGGGAACCCTCTGGGGCTGGAGCAATAGCACAGCGGGTAAGGGAGTTTGCCTTGCACGCAGCCGACCTAGCTCTAATTCCCAGCATCCCATATGGTCCCCCGAGCACCGCCAGGAGTAATTCCTGAGTGCATGAACCAGGAGTTACTCCTGTGCATCGCCGGGTGTGACCCAAAAAGACAAAAAAAAAAAAAAAACCTCCTTCCGGTAAGTCTGGAACCTTGAAGTTTATGTTGCATGTATGCAAACTCTTTTGAAAGAAATGCTTGGATTTATTTAATGCGAAGTTGGAAAATAATTTCTGGTTATCAGATTGTGGTTGGGGCTGACCAGTGTCTGACTTGCGTTGAATCGTGAGTCTCAAGTACGTGAGGTTGTGCTAGGTTGGACCGCGGACATGCCCTCTGTTGCCTGGAGTCAGACGCCTTAACGTGTTTGTTCTATCGTTCCCTTGGCAGTGAAGCCCCAGCCGGTGCCTTCGAAGTTGCTTTTTAAGAAATTGCTGAGCAAGATCCGAAACCAGAAGTCTCTGTGGACAGTCCAGTCTGTGTCTGAGGAGGAGGGCAGCCTGCCCACGTATGCCGAGGGCAGCAGCAGTCAGGAGCCCTCAGCCGAGACAGAGGTGTCTGCCGGTAAGGGCTCAGGTCAGGGCCCCTCAGTGCTGGGCCTGCGGCACCTTGCTCCCCAGGATCCGGCAGCCTGAATCTTATCGGACAGGACACAGGCTGGCTGGGGTGGAGCCGGGGAGCCAGGGACGCTGATTTGCTCTATGGAGCAAATCGAGCAGCAGAAGCTCAGACTAGTTCACACATGTCAGTGAGACTACACGTGTGGGTGATACACGTGTGTGCGTGGATGCCAGGTGACAGCACCATATCTCTATGTTCCAGCCACTGAGAGCGAGACCACGGTGACAACGGCGACCGACATGGCAACTGACTCGGGGCCCTTCCCCACGAGCCTGCCTGCCCGTGAGGCCGAACCTAGCGAGGAAGCAGGTGTGCCCCCAGCCGCTGCGTGTGGGGGAGGCAGGTTCGGGCATGGGCTCCATGACAGTGAACTTCTCTGGGGGTCTCAGGGATGCCTGAAGTGCAGCCTGTTCCCTCTGTGGCCGCCGAGTCCATCGAGTCCATGCTGCTGCACCCACAGGAGGTGGCCACCAAAGTCCGGATGGCCGCAAGGCGGCGGCAGGTACGGGTGGGGCAGTCGAGGCTGCTGGATGGGTGAGGGGGCCAGGCCTTCTCAGCTGAGCACTCGCTACCTCTGGCCTAGTGGCCTCAGGGCTCGGCCAGCACGGAGGACCCTCTGGCTCTGTCAGAGACATCCTGGTGACACGCGGGCTCCGAGAGAGAGGGGGAGAGAGAGAGAGAGAGAGAGAGAGAGAGAGAGAGAGAGAGAGAGAGAGAGAAGAGGGGAGGGGAGGGGAGGGGAGAGGAGAGAGAACACGCACATGTGTGTTCACACATGTCAGGCCATGCAGTTGTGTGGCCACCAGCCACCATTCTCCCCGTCCTCTTGGAACTGGCCACCTCTTGAGTGTCCTGTTAAGGATGCGGGCCTTGGCTGTGCCTGGCTGAAATTGTGCCCCAGGGCCGGGCCTGGACCTCAGCTGTCCTGGAGGTGGGGCCGGGTTTCCTGCTTGTCCAAGAGACAGAACAGCTTGTGTGTGTCTGGTGGCTTCCCCTTGGGCCTCTCCCCTTCTGGCTCCCCGCCGACCCTGGTCTCACTGCCTTCTTCCCCAGCGGGGCCAGTGAGTACCCACATGTCCAAGGCCCTGTGGGGGACATTGCGGCGCATGTTTCTGCCGTTCTCATTACCCAGATCATGGAACTCGAAGAGCAGAAACAAAAGCAGCTGGAATTGCTGGAGCAAATCGAGCAGCAGAAGCTCAGACTAGAAAGTGACCGCTTCCGGGCCCAGCTGGAAGAGAAGAGAATGGCAGCCCAGCGGGCCAAGGTGGGGCAGGGGCGTGGCGGGGGCATGGGTTGGCCAGCCTCCTGAGGGCTCTTTTAAGAGTGTTTCTGTGCATGTGTAGCTGTGCCTGTGTGTGGTGTGTGCTATGAGGGTGTGTGTTTCTCTGCAGGAATGAGTGTGAGGGGGCGGGGGGTGTCTGTAGGTTGTGTAAAATGAACATCAGCTCAGTGTTTTTTTTCTTTGTTTCTTTGGATTTTTTAAAAGTTTTGTTTTGGGGGCTAGAGAGATAGCACAGCGGGTAGGGCGTTTGTCTTGCATGCGGCCGACCTGGGTTCGATCCCCAGCATCCCATATGATCCCCTGAGCACTGCCAGGAGTAACTCCTGAGTGCAGAGCCAGGAGTAACCCCTGAACATTGCCAGGTGTGACCCAAAAAGCAAAAAAAAAAAAAATTTGTTTTGGACCACACTGGTGGTGCTGGGGGCTTACTCCTGGCTTAGCCGTCAGGGATCACCCCGGTGGGGCTCAGGGGTGGTTGAATCTTGGTCCGTCGTGTGCAAGGCAAATGCTGTACCATGGCAAGTGTTTGCCCTTGCACCCCCTTTCTTGGCGGTGCGGGGTCTGTAGAGAGCCGCCGAGTGTGGCCCTTCGGTGCAGTGGCGATGCTGGCTGGGTCACTGATGGGCATCTTTGTCTTGCCAGGACTGTTCCACCTCCACGCCAAGCTCCCAGGTGGCTGAGGACAGTCACAGGCAGACAATCCGCAGTTACCAGCGTCACTTGTTGCAGCAGAATAGGTGCGTGTGCTGCGCGGGGGCTGCAGTTCCTCTGGGGTGGGCAGCTGGTGTCTGCACCCAGTCATGGTGTGTCTCTGCCAGGCTTCACAGGCAGACGGTGCAGGCGGCTCGGAAGCAGCTGCTGGAGTTCCAGAGCGTGCTGAGAGGGACACACCTGGGGCCCGGCACGGCGGGTCTCGCACCCGGGTTGCGTCCTGGGCTGCATCCTGGCGACTCCATGCAGGGCCTCCTGCTGGGCGGGGCAGTGTCCACAGACACGCCCAGCACCTCCGCTCTCTTGGCACAGACCCCTCAGGCTGTGGTGCACCCCCATGGCCCCGACAGCTCTCCTGGCCCCCACCAAGCCCCATCTCACCACACACTGCCTGCATCGCGCAGTGCCAGTGGGGAGGCATCTGCCCAGCCGAGGGGGCCACCATCACTGCTCACGTGCAGCTCGCGGCCTGCGGCTTCTGGCATGATCTTGCCGTCCTCGGACAAAGGTGCCACCCGGCGAGACCTCCTGCAGCTGCTCCGGGAGCAGCTGGACGTGCAGAGGGAGGCCTTACAGTCCCAGGAGGCTCAGAAGCGTCTGCAGCCGGGTGCCTGCTTCCCCCTGCCGCCCCTGGGCTTCTCGGCTCCGCATTTTCCGGCCAGCAAAGGTCCTGGGCAGGGCCCAGAGTCCTCTCCCCTCGAGGGTGACCCTGGCATGTTCTCAGGCCACCTGGGGGACCCGCAGCCTGTCTGGGTGTCGGGCCAGGCAGCACCAGGGGCTGGCAAACAGGAGGCCGACCCCCAGCCCCAGCCCCCACTCACCCTGCCGCCCGCCGCGGACACCCTGTCTGCTGAGCTCCCAGAGCCCAACCTCTGTCCCCCATTGGGCCCGGCCAGGCCTCTCAGTGTCCTGCACCAATTCCTGCCACTGCACAACTGCCTGAAGCTGCTCCAGGCCCAGCTGGCCACTCAGTGGGAGGCCCTCGCTGCCAGGCATGATGCCCAGGCCCAGCTCCTTGCCCGGAGACTCTGGGACCCTGGGCACAGCTCGGCCGGGCATGGGAGCTCTGCACAGGTGCCCGGCCCATGCTCCCCCACCCAGGAGAGGCCCCTTCCTCCCAGCCCCCAGCACGAGGAGCTGTGCCCAGTGCCCTGCAGACACACCCATAGGCTGCAGGGGGGCCTGGGTGATGAACCAGAAACCCGGGACTGGGCACAAGGCCCAGGCAGGGCGGTGGGAGGGCCACCCGGGCCGGCCAGCCCCTCCCACACCCTGTTCCAGGTGACGGTGCCCGAAGGGGCCCGGACCCCACCATTCCACGAGAAACTCAAGAAGGGCTCCCAGCCCGTGCCCCCTGCTCTAGATAGTGTGCAGGGGGATCGGGAGACACTTGACTCGGGGGACATCCCTGTCCAGGGCCAGAAAAGCCTGGAGAGCCTGCCCTCAGAGCCCGCCGGGCCCCAGGAACTGCCTGCGGAGTCAGACCCTGGCCATGTACAGGCCTTGGAACTGCAGGCCCGGCTCCAGAGACTGTCACGGCTCCTGCAGCCACAGTGTGGGCAGCTGCAGGCACTGCAGGAGCGGCTGGTGGCCCAGAGGGCAGCCCTCACCTGCACCGGGGAGGCCCCGGTGCCCTCGGCACACCTGCTGCCCCCTGACCACAGCAGCCTGGCGGCTCTGCAGCAGGAGCTTGACAGCCAGAAGAAATCACTCCGTGCCCAGCAGGCGGCACAAGAAAGGCTTCTTCTGCAGCGGCTGCAGGAGCTAGAGCGGAGAGTGTGTGCGCCCTGGGCAGCAGGCGCTGAGGGTGGCCCTGGCCCCAAACCTGCCGGTAGCCTCCTGAATGGACCCCAGCTCACAGCATCGCAAGGGCCGAGGCCACATGACCTACTGTCCAGCCGCCCCACTGAACCCTGCCCTCTGACCTCGGCCGAAGGTGGGCCCACAGACCCCAGTGACACTGGTCAGCTCTGGGGTCAGCTGAGAGAAGGCCAGAGAGAGATGCAGGGACAGCAGCATGTGCAGAGGCCCCAAGCGGCCCCGCAGGAAACCCTGGACACTGGGTCGGTGAGTCCGTGCCCACGTGGCCACCCAACCTCCACGGTCTACTCTTGTGTTTAGATTGTGTTCAGTCAGCCTGACCTGGGCTTGAAGTGTCCGTCTTAACCGCTGCAGGCCTTCTGTGGTTTGGCATCTGTGTCGGGGCCACAGAAGTCTGGGGTTATGTGAGCAGACCCCATGCTGGTCCTCCCCTACTGTCTGTCTGTCCGTCTGTCTCTGTCTCTGTCTCTCTCGTGCACAAACACATTTTGTTTGTTGGTTTTGGTTTTTTTAGTCACACCCATTAGTGCTCAGGGCTTCCTCCTGGCTCTGTGCTAAGGGGTTCCCCCTGGCAGTGCTTGGGAGCCCGTTGGGGGTGCCAGAACCACATGCCTTCCCGCTATACCATTCCCACGCACACATTTTGTGGCTTGTGGCTCAGCTTATACAGTGCAGTGGTAGGACTGTGTGTGCCTGCTTTCGGAGCTGGCAGTGCCTTCATCCCTCCCTCCTCCCTCTGCAGACATGTGTCCCCCCGGAGTGTCCTGGTGTCCTGGATGTCGCTGCAGAGGGCCAACCGCCGGCCGAGCTGCTTCCCTGCCCGTCATTGCTCGTCCCTGCCACTGTGCCAGTGACCAGCTTGCCCCCTGAGCCCCTGCCCAGAGCAGTGCCCAGACCTCCACGGCCACCTGTGGCCAGAGTCCAGAGCGGGCTAGAGCTGCAGCAGCACGAGCTCAGCCTTATCCCGGAGAGCGAGTCCCCCGCACCCTCAGGTACCCACTGGGCAGGAGGCTCTGGGCTGCTCAGGTCCCTCCGCTTTGCAGGATGGCAGGTTTGGGGTGTGCAGGGGGGTAGTTTGCGCCACACTTGGCAGTGCTTGGGGTTACTCCTGGATCAGCCGCGTGCAGGGCAAGTGCCTTGACCCCTGAAGCTTCCTCCCCACAGGGAGGTTCACGGGTCCCCTTTTTCCTCCCTGTTAAACTAGACTTTTGTCAAGACAGAGACCCCCTGCGAGTCTCCATCAGCCGGGAGCAGAGCCCGCTGGGAGACGCGCTGGCCCAACCTGCGTCTACTCGGCCGCCACTTGTTCATGCGGCTGCTGCTGGGGCAGGTGAGAAGAGAGTGCGCCGGCCTGGCCTGTGCATGCTGTCCTTGGCCCTGGGGGCGCGTGCCCTTAGGTATGTAGGCAGCTTCTTTCCTACTTTCTCTGGTTTGGGGGCCTCCTGACTCAGTGCTCCTGGCAAGGCCTCCTCCCGCAGGCTGAGCTCACTTGGCTCCACTCCACAGGCACAAATTTGGGGTTTTGTTGTTTGTTGGTTTTGATTTGGGGGCACACCTAGCAGTGCTCAGGGCTTCCTCCTGATGGGCCCAGAGGACTGTCTGGGGTGCTGGGGATTAAATCTGTGTCAGCCACATACAGAGCAAACGTGCTCTTCCTCTCCTTTGTTGCCGGCCCCGCCAGGCTCAAGCGTCTTAGCTGAAGCCCGTGTTTCAGATTGAGTGAGGGAGGCGAAATGTGTTTAGAGGGGTCATTGTCCTAATCAGTGCTGGTTGGTATACGCGGGGCCTGGGGCTTTCTATTGTCTTTGACCTGTTTGTCCTTTGTCCTGTCTGCTCAGAGCTAGGGCAGGACTCTGTGCTCATTGCTGAGGATCGGATGTCGAGACCCACCCATTTCCTTCCCCTTCACCTGAATGAGAATTTCTTACCTTTTAGTGAAGGGGCCGGAGGAGCCTGAGCTTCGTGGTGCGGTTCTCAGCTGTACCGTGGAGGCAGTCCAGACGCGTCACAGCCCAGCCCTGGAGCCAGCACAGGTGGGTTGTGGCTTGTGTGAGGTTGTGGTGCTGCTTGGCTTCGTGTGCTCACCTGTGTCCTTCTTAAACCATGGCACCTAGGCCTGTGCTCTGAGGTCTGCTTCCAGGAAGTGGATCTATGATGAAAAATAGCCAAATCTGAGCGTCAGAAGGCCCTGTCATCTGCCTGGCACGTGATCTTAGACTCTGAGAAGCAGCAGGATGGATGTTTACGTGTGTGTGTGGGGGGGGGGGAGAGGGTTGCTGGGGTGCTGTGGGTGACTGGCATGCCCGTGTGTGTATGTGTGTGTGTGTGTGTGTGTGAGAGAGAGAGAGAGAGAGAGATGGGGGGGGGTAGCTGATCGGTTCTGAGCAATGATGAAACATTTCTTACTGATTACCTGAGGGCTCTACAGTTGATCTGAGCTCAGAATTGAGAAATGCTGATGGTGATGATTGGGGCTTTCCTAGATATTGAACATCTACATTGTGGTCTAATGAGTTCCTTCATTTTATGCGGAAGTGCAGGAGACTTATCACGAGCCACTCTCAATAACCATTTCTACCGGGAGCTTTTTAAGTTTCGAGAACCCAGATTTGAGCCTTACGGATTCAGGTAATAAAGGTCAACGTATGTGCAAGTACCCTGAGATGCTGGTGGGCCCGGGAGGGGGGCAGCAGTACCCAGGAGGGCTTTGGCACTGTTTCCATGTGCAGCAGTGTCATGCTTCGGTGTCCTGGCAATGACCCGGGCACTGACCTGTGCCACAGTGGTGCTGGGCCTCCAGAGTTGCTGAGAAACTGCAGCATTTGTTCCGTCCCCTGTGCAGGACAAATCCCTGCAGGTTCCTGGTTGTACCAAACCAATAAGTGGGATTTCCTGCCCCTGCTCAAAGTTCTCCCTCAGAATTCCCAACTGCGGTGACAGTATTTTCATTGGTCCCGGTTTTCAGATTCCTTTTCCGAGAACGTGGGTCCTGATCTGCAGGCCGAGGCGGAAGTGTGTCTTGGCTTGGCCCCTCTGGCTGCTCACCCAAGGCCAGACCCTCTGGACATGGCTGCACTGGTGTTGCAGAGAGCAGATGCGCACCAGGAGGACTCTAGCTCCACAGCCCAGACTCCGACCCCGCCAGGTAACTAACACCCCTGTGTGCCTCGGCACAGTGTCCTGAGGGCTGGGCACAGCTGTCCGCACAGTAGAACAGATGGGCGTACCTTCCCTCACACAGAGAGTGGCCAGAAGCTTTCTCTAACCGCGAGCTAAGCACCAAGAATAAAGTGGTGACCGTATGGTCTCTTAACCCCTAAGTGACCTCTTGATGCTGTGAAGTTGGCACAGTGAGACTGGGCTTAGAGCACTTGCTGTCTGCAACTGCTCCCGGTTCAATCCCCAGCACCACATACAGCCCCCAAGTAGTGCCAGGGGTCACTGCTGAGCAGAGCCAGGCACTGAGCCCCCGCTGGTCTCGGAAAAAGACTTTGGCAAAGTACATATGGAAACAAATTGGAGAGATTTTGGTCATTGAGTGTACCTCCACTCCTTTCATTCATTACAAATTATGTTAGGACTTAATTTGAAAGCATCTTTTGATAATGAAAAAGATTTTTATTGGTCCCCCAAAAGCCCATTTGTGGTTATGTTCTCAGTGCTGTTTTTCTAGGCTGTAAACAGAACTTCCCCCTCCAAATTCCAGCAGTTGCTCTTGCCTTTGCAGAACCAGAAGCAACCTTCCCAGATGTGCACCATCAGCAGTTTAAGCCCTTAGAAGCACATCTGGATCTGGACGTGTCGCCGCTGTCCTGTGGGCTGAACCTTTCCCAGGTACGCAGCATGGCCACCCGCAGCACCACGCACTTGGTCCCTTTGGGATTCCAGGGACCACTCACTTTGTGGCACCTAGACAAGTAGGCAGCCCAGTGTGATGCCTAGTACTCCTCCCCCAGAAAAAAGAATTGGATTTGAATGACCGCATTATTAGTGTCACAGCAAGAGCTGGTAAGTTGGATGGTCATCCTGGCCTTTCCCTGCTCTTTCGCCAGGCCTCAGAGCATTCCCGTGAGAGCTGCTCCAGCGTGCCGTTGCCCACCAGTTCCAGCTCCAGCACCTCGCTGAGGGTCTGCCCGCACCCTCTTCTCACTACAGGCTCTGCCTGGCCGCCTGCCCCTACCCCGGCTTACACCACAGCTCCATGCTTAGCCGACCATGCTGAGAGTACGTATAAGGCTTGCCACAGCCTAGGGCCTTTATGTCCCTGCAAAACTGCCTAAGCTCATTTGTATCCTGTTGCCCCGCTCTGAAGTGTGCAAAATTCTGTGTTTAAATAACAGAATTTGTGGCTTGTAGCTTCTGTGATACCCAAGTTGATATAAGCTTCAATGCTATGTGCATACACCATGTGAGATGCATGTTCTCCCCATACGCTCATTTGCCCTGGTGCATATTTCCTGTTAAATATCCTGAGATGCCTGCTGAGAGCAGTGAGTTCAGATTCAGTGACTTCCTTCCCATTTGCTGTCCCATGCATCACTAGCATCAGAGACTGTGTGACATCAAATTGGATAAGTGTTGTACTGCTGTTTGGGGCCGCACTGGTGGTGCTTAGGATCACTCCTGGCAGGCTTGGGGGGACAAGGGGTACCTGGGACTGAACCCGGGTCAGCTGCTATACTCCAGCCCCTGAGCTCTTCACTTTTCAATACAGGTTCCCAACAAGCCTTTCTTCGCCTCCTACCAGAACTGTCATCGCCGGAGAACCAGCAGGCCGATTTACCCAGCATTCTCAGCATTGAGGCGGGAGACGGCCCTGGGTGCCTGGACCACCAGGACCCTTCTGAACGGCTGGAGCAAAGTCCAAAGAAGATTCACTTCCAGTTCCCTGTGGAATTGGCCGTGCCATCACCTAGCGAGGCATGTGCATTACACAGGTTGCTGCTCCTGCCCAGCCAGGCCCTCCCAGAAAGGCAGCTCTCTGGTGCTGCTTCTGAGCTGAGTGTGGAACTGCACAGAGGACCCAGGGAGGTCAGTCCCTTGGCCGTGCCACTGCCTCCATCAACACAGGCTGGAACCCCAACTCGGCAGACAGGACCAGAGCTCTCTGTGAGTTCTGGGTCCTTCTCATCACGGAGCCTGATTCCAGTCTGGGTAAGTGCCCATCATGGCGCTGGCCCACCTGAGGGCTGCACTACTGGGCTGTCTTCCTTTGGGCCATTTCTGGACATTCCAATAAGGCCCGTGGGAAGAGCTGTAACTGAACCACCACAACCACACAGCTCCCCTTTTAAAATAAACTCCCTTAGGTGGCCTAGGGCTAACTAGAGGGGCAAGTCCAGTACTGCCTTGACACTGAGGTCTGGACATGCGCTGCCTTTTCCTCAGGAGACAGAATCTGGCAGGGGCATAATGGAAGAACCGGATCTCACACTGGTGAGCCTCAGTGATGTCAGTATTGAAACAGACTTTTTTGCCTTATCCCTTGAAGAGAAGGAAAACGAGGCCCAGAGCAGCTTTCAGGTAAGTCCCAACGTTGCAGAATTTTATTTTTATAGCAGCTCTTCTCTCCAGCTGGAGAGACAGCACAGCGGGTAGGACGTCTGCCTTGCACGCAGCCAACATGGCCGACCCGAGCTCAATTCCTCCGCCCCTCTTGGAGAGCCCTGCAAGCTAACGAGAGTATTCAATATGCCAGACACAGTAACAACAAAGTCTCCAATGGAGACGTTACTGGGCCCGCTCGAGCAAATCCACGATCAATGGGAGGGCCTTTACTTTCTCTCCAGCAAGCTGGAGCTGAGCTCAGAGCTCCAGTCCCAGTGAGCGTGCTATTCTCGGATCTGTAGGGTGCAGAGACCCTTGAATGCAAAATGCAATGACTTGGTTTGATCCCCACATGTGGAGTGTGAACTGATCTCCTTATCCCAGGGTAGCTTGATGGGGGATGATGGGGCTGGGACTGCTAACAGTTTTTTGTCACAGGCCAGTCCCTGTCCACATGCCACAGGACACTGTGCAACAGAAGCTTCAGGTAAGTCCCTGTGCCTCCAGGGAGGGGCTGGCAGCTGGTGAAGCAGCAGCCCCACTGCCTAGTTTGTCTCCCACAGGACATTCTCCACAGCTGACAGGAAGCTTACAGGGAGCACATGTGGCAAGGAACCAGCCATTCACGACGAGATGCTCCCAGAGGCAGAAGCAATTACAAAACAAAACTCGGGCCAGTGAAAATTCCCAAAGCAAACTATTCAGGGAGAAACCTGGAGGTTTGTTGTTTTCTTGGGGAAGTGGCTCAGGGTTCATCATCCCCAGCCCTTTAAAACTTGTTTCCTTGCCAAGGTTCTGGGAGTCGCCTCAAGGGTGTGAGCAGAGTCTCTACTTCTACAGAAGACCGAAGGCCCTTCACACACCAAAGGGCCCTGAGGTAAGGGACTGCCCCCTCCACCCAAGGCCTCTGCAGTGGAGACTTTCACAAGTCAGAACTTGTACTTTTGGACCTGTATCCTTACAGGCTGTACAATCACACAGCTGAAGTGAAGCATCAGATGGAGGAAAAAGCAAGACAAGATGCTTATGCACAAAATAGAGCAAGAGCAAAAGAATTTCACAAAGTAAGATGGGGGTCACGACTTTTAAAGGTTCAAAGCTATTAAACTAAACAGCTAGTTATTCCCTCAATAACAATTGTATTATTCCCTTCACAGAAAACACTAGAGAAACTTCGAGCCAAGAACACATACTGACTAATAAACTATTTATTTATGCCATCCTGTTGTGGTTCCTTTGCTGTAGCTGCTCGATTTCTTCACTTCCTCATGGCCCTATATGGAGAGAGCAAGTATTAATGAGACCCCATGGCAGCCACAGGGAAAAGAGGGTCATGTAGCCCCACAGGAACCAGCAGCCCCACTGCCCAAGTGGCCACTGTATCCCAGGGTCTTTTTAATCTTTGGTCACAGCGTGAAGAGCTCCTGGTTTCGTTCCAGGAGCCCTCTTTGAAATGACCAGTCTGTGAAAGCCTCAGGTGTGTGTATACATACCTATGTACCAATGGCCAGTCTGTTCAATCCCTATATTGTCACCCCTGTAACAAGAAAAAGGAGTCATCTCAGTAACTGGTCAAAAGCAGCCTCAGAAGCTTGGGGCTGATGGGCCAAGGTGAAAATGTTCCCCGTTGGCTGGAATGCTAGCTAGCAAGGTAGCAGAAGACAAACCTAACGGGCATTTTCTTTAAGGTCATGTCCACAGCAATTCAGAAACCGCATTCTAAAAGCCTTGGTAATGACCGTTACCAGGATAAGGTTGTGTAAGAGAAACCCTGTAACTTACCAAGAGATTGAGGTTCCACTGATCTGGTCTTCACAAGGCCAAGGCTTCCCAGCCTGGAGGACAGAAACAAAGTAGCAGTGCCATGGGTACAAAGAGCCCATCTCAAGCTGGCATTTCCACCCCACCTACCCTTGCTAGAAACTGATGTTCAGAAAGGCTCTTTTCACTCAGCCCTGTCAGAGCAGTTGAACATTGTGCCCATCATCACAACATCGCCATGCAGAGCAGAGCAGGACGCAGGGTGGTCTGTTCACTCACCTTGGGCCCCAAGGTTCCAGCTACCAGCAAGACGCAGAGGAGGCGGCCAGGGCCCAGGGCCCATGGTCACTTCAGCCCCCTACAAGTGGATTACAGAAAGCGTATTAGTGATTCTTCTGGTGACCAGATTCCTGTTTTCTCACACACGGACATTCCCAGGCTCACTGGGACATGAGTGAACAGGGCAGGTGGCAGGCCCCTCCCCAGCACTCCTCAGTTGCATTTATTAACCCTTTACAGCAGGATCACTGCCACTGCTCCCTTCCTTTCTGCACAGCAAAGGACATATTACACCTGTCACAGGTCCCATTGTCACCACAGCAACAAGCCTGCTGTGATGGAAGCATGACCTGTGGTCAATGTGGCCACATTCCCCTCTGGACACCAGTCAGCTGAGCCCACATGCACATGGAATGAGGCCAGCTTTCTCAGGCCGTGCCTAGCACTCGCAGAGCTAGAAGATAGACTTACATCTCCCAGGGTCACGTGGACCGAGGTGCATCTCCACATTAGGTACCCTAGAAATAAAACACAATTACTCCCTCTTCATCAATGCTGTGCCAAACCCAGACCTATCAGTGTGGAAATGTCTCAGTAAAAATACCAGGTTCAGAAGCACGAAGCCAAGAAACCAACGATGCCAGACACTGGATTTCTGTTGCACTGTCCTTGAACACCCAGCAGGATGCGCTGCTGTGTGTAGATACCATGCAGTGCACTGGCAGTTCCTGATGAGCCAGCTCCTCCGGTCAACAGAAACTGGGACCATTTTCCTAACCTACACTGAGATACTGAACCAGGGGTCAGAGACTAAATTGATTCCCAGCACCCCAAATGATCCTGAGCACCTTCAGGAGTAACTCCTGGGCATCACCCCCCCAACCTAGGATACTGAATCAATGCTTGCTTTTCAAGTTCTAACGGGCTAGATGTCACTCCCTTTCCTTAACTCTAAACTGTAGCACTGTCCTCCCGTTGTTCACTGATTTGATCTGCTCGAGCGGGCCCAGTAAAGTCTCCACTGTGAGACTTGTTGTTATTGTATTTGGCATATTGAATACGTCATGGATAGCTTGCCAGGCTTTGCTGTGCAGGCGAGATACTCTTGGTAGCTTGCCAGGCTCTGAGGAGTGGAGGAATAGAACCCGGCTTGGCTGGGCTGGCAGCACAAGGCAAACAAACACCCCAGGGCTGGAGCTCTAAACTTACAGAAAACCCTGTTCTATAGCTTGATACTAGGCACAACACCTTAAGGAGGGAGGGGAAAAAAAAATACAGGGCAAGATGACAGCCCGCAATGCATATTGTCCTCTCCTGAACCTGGCAGTGTGAACCGAAATCAGCAGCTGAAAATTGAGCCGTTTCCTCAGCCCAGGTGTGGGCTCACATTGGAGGGAGGAGGGTCCCACTGCCAGTCCTTACCCATCCAGGCAAAAGCTACACTACAGTCAAGTTTTTATTTCTATACTACCTTTACTTTCAATAAAAATGTAAAAAATCATTCCACTTACCTCAAAACACGATTTGGTTTCTGTCAGTCATTCCTGCAGATCAAACAAAAGATTTAAGTAAAACTCCCATTTTCAGGTGTGCTTTGTAGCCAGGCCTATATTCAGCTCTCAGAGCAAGTTTTCAGTTCATTCTTTATCATCCAGCAGTTGAACAGACATATTCATCATCTGAACTGTAAATTGCCACTTCCACCCCATCACAGTAGTGCCTGCTACAAGTTTACCTGACTTCCAGGCTCCACACGCCAGTAGTGACCCTCCTGGTTGACAATACCTGCATGAGAAACTGGCATGAGAAAGCTCTGCCCAGGCAACTGTCTCTAGCTGCCTCCTGGGTGCAGCAGCTGTCGGGGTAGCTTTCTCTCAGGTCTAACAGGCAGTCCTGAGAGTCAAGCAAACCGCAATCCTCTATGAGGCGTTTCCAACGACGCAGGCTCACAGAAAAGCCCCATCGGGATAGACCTCAATCATGCATCCAGATCCCCAGGACAGCAGCTGTGGGAAGGTGCAGACACCTGTGCAGGGGCCCGTGAAGATGTTGGAGTAAGCCCTGGTACAAGCGGGTCACTGCATGGCTTCCAGGTACCCTTCAATCCAGCCACTACTAGGAGCAGCCTCTCCAGGCCTAGCACTGCCTGGAAAATGACCACCACCAAGTTGATTAAAAAAAGATGACTCATCCCAAAGCACTCGTCAAGAAGTTGGGCAGTGCAACTAGGCCATATCGGTATTCAGACAGATGAGAAAATGACAAGTGCCAACAAGAAGGCACCCCCAGTGACACTGAGAGGGAATAGCTCAATGTGATGACTAAAAAGTCAATCTGCCCATGAAACTTCCTAGATGGAACATGCCACGTCTGCCCCCAAGATTTCCAGGACTCTGGTACATACAGCACAGGAAGGGTACATGGCAAAAATTGGGAGTGCTACACCTAGAGATGCTCGTGAAAGGAAAAGTGCTGACGCTGAGTAACTTACCTGAGTTACCTTTAATGAGATTACGAGCCCCGTTTTAGATTGTGCTGTATCAACAATGAAGTGTATACATCCAAGAATATCTTCAATTTAGCCCTTTTCAGAGTAGGCACCAGTGCTGTCACTCAAGTCATGGGCCTCAGCTTATGTTCAGGTGCTTGATGTCCAAAGCTGGCTCAACTGACAGGCGCTTGGTGTCCTCAAAGACCTAGAACTAGAGAAAGCTCATGCTGATATTCCGATACTCACCAACCTACCAGCTGAACTTCCCAACAGCCCAGTTAGCTCGATTCCGTCAGGAGGCAATTTGCGTACTACCCCGACCCAGTTCTGAATTCATGTAATCACCTGGGGTCTGGAGCAAGCCTGAAGATCAGTTACGGACCAAAAGCCAAGACAAAGAAAATTCAGCCCTGCAGAACTACCATGGGCAGGGCGTTTGCTCGACACAGCCAACCTGGGTTTGATTCCCGACATCCCACATGGTCCCCTATCCCAGTCAGGGTGATACCCGAGCCCAACTTGATTTAGTCCTGGGGCCAACTTCCACTATTTTGGGTTTTATGCCATCCTGTGCAGTGCTTAGGGATCACTCCGGGAGGTGCTTAGAGGACACCATATAGAGAGCAGGAGACCATATAGGGAGCCTGAGCCAGCTATGTAAAAGGCAAGCAATTTACCTATTAACTCAAACTTTTCATCTGTTCCTTCTCATCTGTATCAGAACTCATACCAAACAACGAGTTCTGGGTTGCAAAAGAGGATTTAGTTTTTGCATCTGTCTCAAAGTCTTTGCCTACACATCAGACAAACACTCACACAGATGCTAGGTGCCCATGGCTGTGAGGGGATCAATGGCCAAGGGAGGATAGCCTCCCTGGATCTAATTCTACCTTGTGCATTTCTTTTTAGCACTAATATTCCTTCCCTTTGTTGACCACTGAAGTCATGTTAATGTGTCTTAGGCACATTCAGTTTTTGTACCCAGACTAATTCTTAAGTGCAGAGCTTTGGGTATGTGACATGCCCCCAACCCACCACCCTACTGGTTGCAAAAAAAAAAAAAAAAAAAAAAACACCAAACCCAAAAACCAAAAAACCCAGCCCAAGGCTTACCAGACCTCACAGCCGCTCCTCTGTCCCTTCTGGCTGCCGTCTCTTTTTAGATACAGCTGTTTTTTCTGTCCACTCCTCAGGTTCCAAACATATATTTCTCTTCTTTGACAATTCAGAGCTTATGATGAAACACTCTTTCTCCTGCACAGGTACCAGTATTAGTAACTGCACTAGGCATCTGTGAGTTCTTGACTTCAAATAAACTGGTGACATGATAAAAACCAAAACTGTCTTACCACCAGTTTGATATCACATTCATCTTCTTGTACAAGACGTGCAGCATCTTCTGCTCTGTTAACATTAAAAATGTTCTCACTGGAGTTGCAGTTACAGCAGTACAGTTAAAGTAAGCCCAATACCACCATACCAGATCATTTGCTACAATCTCTTAGCTGTCTTTATCACATCACTTGGTGCCAATTTAGCCAACCACCAGTATGAGTGCTAGGAGTGGTAAGCATTAGATTTCTGAAACAAAACTTGGATCAACTGAACAAATGTAACTGGACTCACTCGGCATCTTCAATAGGAGAAATGGACCCATCATCATCCAAGTATTTGTATCTTCGGCTGTCAAAATCCTCCTTTTCTAAGTCTTCACCAACGTTCATCTGTTTCAAGGATTCTTTCAGATGATGTTCGTACTTCAGTTTTTCAAGATAGTTGAAAAACCCTCTTGCCACTGCTTGCTGTGTTTATTGGGGAAAAAACTTTTTGAGTGAGGACCTCACAAGATACTTTTCAACAGGTGTGTTTCAAAATATCAAGGGCAGATTTCTGGACGTGATTTTGACTTCTAAGAAAAATTTCAGTATTTTCTATAAATATTATTTAAAAGATAGTACTCCTAATCCTCAAACCGATCAATAGAGACGAATCTAAAGGTTTTTTAATTTATTCTTATCTACTCAACGTTAGAGAGCAGGGAAGGGTGGGGCTCCTCCCGGAATAGGCCTGAAACCGCTGATCCTGGAAGCCAGCATCCCTGGGTCAGCCTGCCTATGGCTTCCGTGAAGCTGAGCCAATCCCTGCCAAGTGTGGCCCAGGGACAATTGTAGACATGCAGGCCATGGTCACCCAGCACTTCCTGTGAAACCTCCACCCTGAAACCCAGCAAAGCTTGAGCTTCTGCACTGAGGTGGACACAAGTAGGCCTAGGGCTCTCTCCAATTCTAGACACTCAGAGACCAGAGAATCTGTAGGACAACCTGGCTATAGATCCAGGCCAACAGGCACACCGACTCACCTCAAAGGTTAGAATTTTTCGCCAAGGTAAAGATTTTCCTCCGTTCGTGGATTCTACAACAGGAAGCCCAGATTCTTTGTCTCTAATCTGTTTCCCTTTTATTCTTGAAGTCCGACTTCTCCTTCCTTTGGGTCTCCCCGTAGGTCTTCCTGTCGGCTGATATTTCCTCCTCTTTCTACATTTCTTTCTTTGTTTCAATAGTTCAAAATATGCTCTGATAGTCAGTGGTCTGGGTTCTATGGATGAGTCACTCGATGAATCTGGTATCTGAGCGCTCCTGAGTGACCGAGCAACCTTTCGAACATCGTTTCTTTGTTTTTGTTCAGTTGAAGAAGAAACGCACTGGGTTTTAAACAACCTGCTGCCAGAGGAGCCAGCACTAGAAACAACGATGGCACATCCTTTGATTACTAACCACACATTTCTCCTGTGCCCCCCTCCCAGGAGGGACCCAGGAAATCATGAACCCTACCTGCCTACACACCAAATCCTGGGACAGAAATACAGATCTAAAAGACTGCCTAACAATATTCAATTGTTTGCTATTAACACGCGCTAACGAAATACTTGTAACTATTAGCTAATACTTGTTTTGAGACCACTTCCCTTTCCCAAGTCCTGAAAATGTGTGACCACCACCCACCTATCTTGACTTAGGTTTCCCCGTGAATTACAATAAAAAAAAAATCCCTTCTGGGTTGGTAACTGCACTTACCTTTGATTTTCAATCTCCACATCTGAATCAGATGCTGTTATACTGTCTGAATCCATATCTTGTTAGTCTCCAAATCCTTTCCAAAACTGCTTATTTCTGAAAAGACAGTTACCAATAAATGAATGTGTTTTTCCTCAAAATATACTTGGTTACCTCGCCAGCAGAAAAAATCATTGTGTAAGACCAGCCAGGTGTGCATGGCCAGATACTAGATGCCCCAAAGGGGCTAGAACCACAGAGAAGGGCTTAGGCCTTGGAGTGCGGACCAGGCGCCCCTCACGGTGCCGAGGCTGCTTGGCAGTGACCCGCAGTCCGAGAAGCCCCAGGCATTGCCCGTGCGGACCCGAAAGTCCGTATCGTGAAAACAGATTCCAAAGACCGAATACTCCCAGCCCAAACTTCCCACGGTAAAGCCTGCACTTCCCTATCTTCCCTACCTCTCCTCTTCCCCGCGATTTCTGAGCGGCGGCGGCGGCGGCAGGCTGACGCCCAGTGCGGGCCCCGCGAGTCCGTTCCAGGCCTTCGCAGGGCTGAGTGCGGTCTCGCCGGGCGCCGGAACCGCTTCGCCCGCCCGGGAGGAGCTGGCGAGGACGCCGGTGAGAACCGGCTCACCCGCCCGGGAGAGCCGGCGAGCACGTGGCGCAGGCGGGGGCAGCCCCGGCCCGGCCCGGCCCCGGCCCAGTCTGGCCCGGCCCGCGCCCCTCGCTCTCACCCGCGTTCCCCGCAAAGTAGGACGGAGCCCGGGGCCGCGGCACTGCCAGACACAGAACAAGACAGACGCGAAGAAGTGCAGAAATGGCGGCGCCGCGTGCGCGGGCCCCTCATATGCGGCCCAAGTCTCGCGATCCCAGCTCCTCTCGGGAGAAAGTGGGGCGGGGCACCGGCCTTTCGGGCACGCGGCGGCGTAGGCGTCCAGGAAGCGAATCACCGGGGACGGAGCGCCGCAGGGCGGGGCGGGGCTAGAGCGAGAGACGGCCACCAGCGGGCAGGGCACCTGGGGGCGGAGCCAGCCCTGCGGCCGATAGGTGGTACGTCCGGGGGTGGAGCCAGCCCGCGGCCAAGGGGCGGGGCACACGGTTGCTGAGCCAGCCCGGCGGCCGATAGGTGGTACGTCCGGGGGTGGAGCCAGCCCGCGGCCAAGGGGCGGGGCACACGGTTGCTGAGCCAGCCCTGCGGCCGATAGGTGGTACGTCCGGGGGTGGAGCCAGCCCGCGGCCAGGGGCGGGGCACACGGGAGCGGGGCCAGCCCGGCGGCCGTTGGCGGGACGTCCGGGAACGGGGCTAGCTCTCGGCCGAGGGGCGGGGCACCTGGGGGAGGAGCCAGCCTGCGGCCTAGGGCGGGGCAGAGCGCCGGAGGGTCCCGCGGAGACGCTGAGCTCGGTGAGTCTGGGGCTCACCAGCGCGGCCAGGCACCTTCGCTCCAGGTGATCCTGGTACTGCACCCAGGGCCGCCTCTCTGGCTCGGCCTGGGCTGGGCAGGCCGGAGTTTTTTTTGATCCCAGGAGGTCGGTGCCCCTGCGGGCCCCGCCCCATGACAGCGCCGCCCTCCTGCCGCTGTGGCGCCTGTCCTGTTGGCCCTCTCCCCCGTGCACGGTCCCCCCGCGTGGCCGCGGAAAGGCACGCGCTGTTCCCGCCTGCAGAGAAAGGAAGCCTCACCGGTGGCATGCGCCCAGTGCGTGGAAGGCACCGGGGCACGTGGACCTGGGCAGCCCCACCTGCACGTGGTCAGGCCAGAGGACAGCGGGGAGAGCGCTTACCCCGCACGTGGCCCACCCCTGTTGGATCCCGGCATCACATTACGGTTCCCCCGAGCACCGCGAGAGTGATCCCTGAGTGCAGGGCCAGGAGAAGGCCTGAGCACCACCAGGTGTGGCCTCAAAAATATTAAGAAATACTCTGGACCAGAGTTCAGCTAAGGCGCTGGACCCCAAACATGGATCGGCTGGGTTCACAGGCAGGGGATGTGCAGGCAGAGGCGCTGCTCTACACTGCTTTTCCTTCCTCTGACCTGCAGGGCTGGGGCATGTTAAGGTCCATGCCTCTCCAGACTAACCCTACTTCCATCCCTGGAATCATCTGCCCTCAGTCTGCTGGGAGCAAGCCTGGGCAGGACTAGCAACCACTAGCTGTGCTCACCCCAAAATTTACTCATATGTCACCTTTATAAAGTCAGAAATATTTGAATTATAGAATTATCTTTGTTTCCGGCCACACCCATCAGTGCTCAGGGCTTCCCCCCATCTCTGTGCTCAGGGGTCACTCCTGATGGTACTCAGGAGACTGTATGTGGTGCCCAAGACTGAACCCGTGCAAGGCAAGCACTTACCCTATTGTACTATCTTTGTCCCTAGAGCATGATATTCTAAACCATTCGTTACATTGTGCAGTGTCAGTCCTAAATACGAATATAAGGACATTTCATTCTCACTCAGAATCACTAAATATATCTCATGAGTTTCTTGTAATAGGACAGCAACACCTCCCCAAACTGTTATCTACTTTGGCACATACCCACATTCTTGAGCTGAAGACTTAATCACTTATCACTTAACTTCCCGTTAGTCGTCGATTTGCTCGAGCGGGCGCCAGTAACGTCTCCATTTGTCCCTGTCGCGTGCTAGTGTAGCCCAATGGCATCTCTTCGCTCCGGGAACATGGAGCTGAAGACATAATACAGCAAACAGGACAACTGCCTTGCACGGAGCCAACCCCAGTTCTATCCCTAGCACCCCATGTGGTCCCGAGCCTCTCCAGGGATCCCCGAGCAGAGAATCAAGGCACTGCTGGGTGTGGCCCCCAAACCCAAAAGCACAATAGGTCGTGCATACACATTCTACCAACGAATACTGCACACTCCACACCGGAATTCTGTTCAGTGGCTCTATATCCATTTTTCTGTGGATGGTGCCAAGGACTAGTGGTATGCACTTGAGAACCTCACCTCTAAGCACCCAGTGGTGTGTAATTGTCCCTGTGCAGTCAGGCTGGGGGTGGGGCTCAGTGGGGAGCATTTGCCATGAGGCTACCCCGGTTCAATCCCCAACTGGATCTGCTCCCCTAGCCTACTAGGAGTAAGCACTGAGCACGGCCAGGCTCAGGTCCATAAACAGAAGAAAACCTCTAAGTTCAGGATAAACTTTTTCAGTGCTACTGAGGGACCACCATCTAGTGAGTCAGCAAAAACACAGCAGCCAGAGACAGACCAGGAGGTGTTCATTCATTAACCACTTGTGAGAGCTCCACCAGTGCCCCAGAAACACCCCGGGGCTCTTTCTGCTCCTGGGGATTGGCCTGGAGTTGGGTTTCCCGCCCCTCCTATAACATTTATTTAGGGATTTTGTGCCTTCTTTGTACTGTTCTCCTTGCTTACCTCCTCACCTGGACATCTGAGGTAAATTACTAATCTCTGTATAATACTGCTTATAAAACATACTTTGCATAGCTCTGTGAAGTATCAAGTTATAGTTAGGTTTTGAGAATAACAACATTAAAGAGCTAAATACTTTGGTATAATAACTTATAACAAGAAGGGAATGTTTTTAAAAAGTAAATATTTGAATTTTAAAATCTAATCATTTGTAGACCTTTCCATTTTTCTTAGTAATTCAAAATTATGTAAGTCTGTGAAACATGTTTTAATGTTGTTTTTACTGTTGTTGTATTTTGGGGGTTTGTTTTTTGGGAGGCACACTCAGAAGTGCTCAGGGCTTACTGTTGGCTCTGCATTTAGGGGATCACTACTGGCATTGTTCAGGAGGTCATATGCGATGCCCAGAATCGAACCCAAGTTGGCCATCCACCTTACTCTACTATCTACAGCCCCAAATGTTGTTTGTTTATTGGTCTTTTGAATCATACCTGACTCTCTTCAGGGCTCCTACTGGCTCTGCTCAAGGAGCAGTCCTGGAATAGGGCACCAAATACGGTGTCAGGGATCGAGCCCAGGTTGGCAGCATGCAAGGCAAGCACCTTATCTGCTTTACTGGCCCTTATTTAAATTTTAGCCTAATGTAACTTATAGGGTTGGTAATGTAGCTCAGTTCTAGAGCACTTGGCCTGCCTGTGAGGACCCAGGTTTGGTCCAAACCATACAGTAAATCTATATTGGAGAGGTAAGAGGAGGGAAGAGGGTTTGAGCCACAGCCAGAAGTATTGAGGGTCTATTCCTGGCTCTGTGACCAGGAGTTAAAAAGCACCTTAAGCCCGGTAATGTCTGGGCCCTTCCTCATAAATCTTAATGATCACCTTTTAAGTTAAGACCACTGAGATTGACAATCAGAAAGCTGTTTGGTCCACTGGCCAGAGAGGTTGTTCAGACGTTTGGGTGACTACCTGGCATGCAGTGGGCTGTTCCTGTTTGAGCCCCCAGCACTGCCAGAGCCAGTAACAGGACACAGGGTCCAGAGTAGCCCCCAAACACTGCCGGTATGGCCCAGCACTCCCTCCTGCGATAAAAGAAAGCAAGAAAGTTTGGTCTAGGTATTTGCAAAAGGAAATGGCACCTGTGGGCTCCTGGTCAGTCTTTGCTCTTGCCTACTTTAAATGGCAGGGCATCTGTCACTCAAGCCACAGGAGCTGGAGGCTGTGGCTGCTTTTCTGAGCACTTGACTGCCCTTTGCCCCCGGTAACTGGACTCTGACTCTTCCTTACCAGGACAGCCACGCTGCAGGCAGTGAGCACTGTGCCCGCTCGTGATAACCCTTCCAGGAGCTTCACTGGCAGCCTCACAGCAAAGAAGGGAAAATGGCTTGTTTGGAGCATTCTTTCCATATGCCAGATCTACAGGAACTTGCCGGAGGTAAACACTCAAACTCTGAATTTTTATGCCAGGCTGGGGAGAGTGGAAGGGTAGAGAAATGCCTAGCACACACTCCTAGGCATACATGTACACATTCCTAGCGCACAGGCCTGGCACACTTACCTAGCATACAAGCCTAGGACACAGTCAGGTACACTTGCCTAGCACAGAGAAGACCCTACATTCCATCCCGGGCATTATAATGTTCCCAAGGTTAAAATTCTTGGGGGGTTTTGTTTTTGGGTCACACCTGGCAATGCTCAGGAACCACTCCTGGGGGACCATAGGGAGTCCTGGGAATCGAACCTGGGTCAGGCATGTGCAAGGTGAGCACCACACCCGCTGTCGTCTCTCTCTGACCCCATCCTCACTATTATTCTAATGTGACAATAGAAGTGGCATTTCTCAGTGACCAGTCCGGGTGGAGCCAAACCCAGCAGCGTGCTGAGGTTTTCTCTGATGTTTCTGAGGTCAGCCTAGTGTTTGCTGGTTTGAATGGCAGCTAGAGGACAATCACTGCTGGCCCGCATCTCTTCTGTCCATGCTTCTTGTCCTTGAGGGCCTTTCTTATCTGTCTTCTCCTGTGCTTAAGTTTCTGTCCTAGATGAACAGGATCTTTCAAGTAAATACAAGTATAATCTCAATTTCACCTTATTCGGGTAGTCTCTGTGGTTTGAGTATCTGGTGGTGTTCAGGGCCACTCTCAGTTTTTGTGGAGGTCTGGGTGGGCAGGAGATCAAATGCAGATCTTCCTCCTGCAAAGCATGCACTCAGCCTGCAAGCTGTCTGCTGCCCTGTTCTCGGTTTTTACAGATCCTCGAGTGGTAAAATACAACTCTGCAATATTTCCACATCTGAATTGTAATTTCATGTGTTTGAATTCATAGTCTTTACTGCACACAGCCAGGTTAGTGTGGCTGCAGCCTGCAGAAAGGATATAGTGTGTGCTACCTACATGCCTGGGTTTGGGGTGACTTTGAGGGCCTAGAGTGGGACTTCACAGACCAGTGTCTGGCAGTACACTGAGACCTGTGGAAGCCTTTCTGCCTGAGATTTTAGTCTAGGTACAATGTGCTGCCTTGGGCGACTACAAGTTGAGACCAGTGTGACAACCACATAGTGCTACATCATTTTTGGTTTTGTTTTTGGGCCACACCCCGTGGTACTCCATGCTCAGGAATCACTCCTGGCAGTGCTCAGGGGATCTTAAGGGGTGCTGAGGATTGAACCTGGGTTGATACGTGCAGGGCAAGGGCCCTACCCACTGAATTCTCTCTCTGGCCCTTCACAGTCCTTATTCTTGTGTGTCCTGTTCGCCAACCTGGTTTTGTTTTGTTTTTTTTTTTTGCAGGGGTTGGTTTTTGGGCCACAGCCAGCAATGCTCAGGAGTTATTGGGGATCCAACCCAGGTCAGCCATGTGAAAGACAAGTGCCCTACCCACTGTGCTCTGGCCCCCTCCGAGACATTGTATCTGTGATTCTCGATGCTGCATCATGCAGTGCTCACTTTCAACCAAGTGAATGTTCACTTTTAGGGCTGGAGAGACACTATAGGGTTTAGGCACTTGCTTTGCCAATAGCTGATCCCAGTTCAATCCTTGGTGCTGAATATGGTCCTCGTAGCAATACCAGGACTGACCTCTAAACAGAGCCAGAAATAAGTCTTGAGCACTACCAGGTGCAGTCTGGAAACCAAGATATAAATAAGATGAATATTTATGTTCCATTGGTGTCTAAAGTTCTCTCACAGAAAGGCAGTCAGACTTACTGGGGTATGTTCCTGAGCACAGCTCTATTGTATTTATGGGGCATCTGTGTTAGTCTGCACTATTTTCTAAATTATGAGTCTCCTGTCCACTACTTCACTAAAAAGATCATCCCCTCACCTTTATTATACAGACCTAGATAAGGAGTATGAAGGAGACTTGACATGTGATAGCAGCCCTGGACCTAAGGCTAACTAGCTCTGTTCCTTGTCTTTCTTAGTTCTGCAGAAGGGACTAAAAGCTAACTTTGCTGATGTCCAGGTCTCTGTGGTTGACTGCCCTGATCTGACCAAGGAGCCATTTACCTTTCCGGTAAAAGGTAAGCAAGTTTTGCAGTTAACTCTTCTTTTGAAAGTCTAACCTTTTCCCTCAAACCAGAACTGTTTTTGTGGCTTTTTGGGGGGGTTGGGGGGGTGGGGAGCTGTTTTGTTTGGAGCCCATACCTGGCAACACTCAGGAGGGCTCTGCATTCAGAGTCAACATATCCTGGCAGTGCTCAGGGGACAATCTAGGTGCCAGTAGATGAAACCCACTGTGCATGTCAGGCAAGCACTCTGTACTGTTTCTCCAGCCCGTGCTGTTTTTGGTTTTGGGGCCACACATGGTGGTGTTCAGGCCTTACTTCTGGCTCTGCACTTAGTGATCACTCCTGGTAGTGCTTGGGAGACCATCTGAGTTGCTGGAGATTGAAGCCAGATTCAATCTCCAGCTTCCTGCTTCCAACACATAATTGAAGCTTCCGGGAGCATTTATTCTTGGAGCTCGAGCAGGTCTCTTGCACACACTCAGTTTCAGTTCTGAGGTTGGCATGTACTGCATTTACCATGGACAAGGCAAGCACCCTACCTGCTATTCTGTCTCTCCCCACTCCACCCCCCCACAAAGGTTTTGTTGCTTGTTAGTTTGCTTTGTTTACGGGTCATACTCAGCAATGTTCTGGGGTTAGTCCTGGCTCTGCTTTCAGGAATCACTGCTGATGGTGCATGGGGGACCATATGGGATGCCAGGGATTGAACCCAGGTCAGCTGCGTGCAAAACAAACACCCTACCCAATGTACTATCACTCCGGTCCCAATATTTTCATGTTTTAAAGTACTGAAATATTTATGAAGTTAATTCATCTTCTTCTGTTTTGTTTTCTGGGCCATACCCAGCAGTGCTCAGGGGTTTCTCCTGGTTTTGCACTCAGGAATCACTCCTGGCAGGGTCAGGAAACTATGAGATGCCAGGAATCGAACCCAGGTCGACTGCATGTGAGGCAAGCTCCTTACCTGCTGTACTATCTCTTTGGCCCCCAATATTATAATTTAAAAAATTAAGACATTTATTGAGCATTTCATACTAATCTTGCCTAATCTTAAGACGGCTTTTTTTTTTTAAGGCATCTGTGGGAAAACTAGAATTGTAGAAGTAGGAGGTGTGCCTTACTTATTGCCGCTTGTAAATAAGAAAAAGGTAAGTATTCTTATTCTTTATCTTCTCATGAAGACTACAGTATCAGAGGGCCCACTGACCATTATAGCAAGAAAATGTTTGCAGATTCAGTAACAAAAAGTATGCCAAGAGATTTGTGCAAGTTACAATCTAAATATTTTCCCTCTTGTTTAGGTTTATGACGTAAATAAGATTGCAAAAGAAATCAAGCTTCCTGGAGCATTTATTCTTGGAGCTGGAGCAGGCCCCTTTCATACTCTCGGGTTCAATTCTGAGGTCAGTATGTACAGCTTTTACCTTGCTTCAGTGCTCTATCAGCCTTTCAGTCTGAGTGAACTCCAAGTCAGTGGCTTCTCCCTCTAAAGATCTGGATTATAGTACACTCTCACATTGGTGTGCCTGTAATGAACAGCAGTGTTTAGTTTCAGGAAGACCTCTACTTTTCTGAGTACTCACTGTTTGGTGAGTTTGAGACTAAGATCCTGAGTTGGGGTCCTGAATTGTGAAAGATTTTCATTGTTCGATCAGAGGATTTTTTTAGTCGAATACATATATATAAATCTTTGCCTTTCATTCTAGATCAACCTTCTGTGCTTTTTCTTAGAAAATGAACAGAATATTTAATGATCTAGTCCACTCTCTCTTTGAGAACAAATAGTAGGGATCTCTCAAGTAGTAAGTTTACAAAAGGTGGTACCTTATGAAGAGAAAATCTTCAGTCAGCACTCTTTTTTATAAACTCTCCAGATGTAACTATACTTGTACAAATTCCTTTTGCTGAATTGTGACTGTAACTTGCCAACTGTCCAAGATAGGAAAGAAGTCTAAATTTTAGACATGTTTTAAAGTAAACTTCACAATGTTACAGAAAAACTAAGAAGCACTGTTAAAAAAATAATTTTAAAAATAATCTTTTAACATTTTGCATCTAAAATATTTCATGTTTTCTTATTAAGTCTTGATATAAAATGTCAAAATCTAGGATAAAATAGAAATTATTCAAGAGAGTCTATGCATAGTACACTAAGATTGATTATCTTATTTCCTTTTCTTGGCAGTTCATGCCAGTTATTCAGACAGAAAGTGAGCACAAATCTCCTGTAAATGGAAGTTACATCGCTCGTGTTAATCCAGCAGATGGAGGGTGCCTGTTAGAGAAATACAGTGAGAAGTATCATGGTTTTGGATGTGCATTACTGGCTAATCTTTTTGCCAGCGAGGGACAACCCGGAAAGGTAATTTGATGCTGACCAAGCCCTGTGGTGCCCAGGATAACCTGGGCCGCTCTGGGGGTGCTTGTGGGGGGAGGTGCTCCAGTGATGTTTAGGGGCCACATGTGGTACCAGAGATTGAACCAGGATCAACAATATGTAAAGCATGTGCCTAAGCCCTATATCTTTCTGGCCCCCCGAAAAGTGATTTTGGTCACCAAAATAGTTCTCAGCTGAAATTGGAACTTTGTGGAACTTTCATTGTCACAAATGTTTTCTTAAGGAACAAAGCTGAGTGGGCAGGGCACTTGCCTTGCTCATGCCCAACCTGGGTTCGATTCCCGGCATATGGTCCCCTGACCCTGCCAGGAGTGCTTCCTGAGCACAGAGCCAGGAGTTAGTCCTGAGCACTGCCAGGGCCCAAAAACCAAAACAAGAAAACCCAAAGCTGCCTAAGTCCAAGATCTTCAGGTCCTGCAGATGAAAGACCCAGAGTCCCACAGGTAGAATACTTCTCAGGGGCAGGGGAAATAGCTGAGCATGTTGGAGCATGCATCTGGCATGTCGCAGCCCGGGCGTGATTATGGTCCCCAACAGTCCCCTGCACATGCTAGGCTGACTATTTAGCAGGGATATGACTCCTGTGAGAGAATATGCGGGAATACATGCAGGGTCTGTGGCTCCCAGTCAAGCACCCAGCTGCACTGAATGGCAAGTGAGCGCGGCCCCCAGCACTCACCACTCCTTCAACCCTGGACTGACCCTCAACTTTGGGGAGTAACACCCACTTTAGGAAACTATGAGAGAATTGAAACTTCACCTCAACTCCTGTCTGGGTGCTCCAAGCCAACAAGTGAACTTCCCTGGTGGCACTAGGTAAAAAATGTTATTTGGAAGCTGTTTCCCTCAGACTTCGCAGCATACGCCATATGCTATTCCATCTTCTCTCTAGGTCATTGAGGTGAAAGCCAAAAGAAGAACTGGGAAACTTAACTTCGTGACCTGCATAAGGCAGACTATTGAAAATCATTATGGAGATAAGCCTGTAGGGATGGGAGGTACTTTCCTAGTCCAGAAGGGAAAAGTGAAGACTCACATCATGGTAAGGCAGGGGGAGGGACACACACTAACCTCTTAAGACTTTAAAGACAAGGGCTAGAAAGATGGTATCATGGGTAGGCACTTGCCTTGCACGCGGCCAAACCGCCTTTAATCCCCAGCACTATATGGCACTGCCTGATTCCTGAATGTGGAGCCAGAAGTAACCCCTGAGCATTGCAGGTGTGGCCCAAACACAAACAAAAAAAGATTTTTAAAGACACAGAAGAGAACTTATCACATAAAATAATGTATCAGAAGGCTTAAATTTATTTGTTTATTTCTAGTTTGGGGGCCATACCTGGCAGTGCTCAGGGTCTACTCCCAGCTGTGCATGGGGGTTGCTTTTGTCAGTGTTCCAAGGCCCATGCAGTGCCAGATTATCAGACTGGAGTCTCCTGCATGCAGTGTGTGTGCTCTAGCTCACTGAGCTATCTCTGACACTGTGAAGTTTCTAACTGAATGAAATTATACGTAAATTTTTAAAAAATTAATCTTGGCAACATAGGAATATTTTGCTATTTCATTATCTCTTACTGTAGCCTGCGGAATTCTCTTCCTGTCCACTGAACTCCGATGAAGCAGTCAATCAATGGCTGCGTTTTTATGAGATGTCAGCTCCTTTGGTTTGCCTGCCGGTGTTTGTCTCCAGAGACCCAGTAAGTCCATGTCTGTCTTTTGTGCTACAGTATATAACCATGACAATGTTTAATCCTTCAGTTATTCTGTTAGCATTGAGCGTATTATTTAAGAACTAGAATAGTTTCTAGAATGACCTTGAAAAATGAGGGAGTAGGTAGATGGTTACCTCAAGTTAAGCCAGGGAGACTATAACAGTGAAGAAATGAATGTAGAGGTATTTAACACAACAAAAGATGTCATGTTAAAAACTGTGAACTCACAAACTAGGATTCAGGCTGTCATGCTATTTGCTATTATATTCTAGTTTACATTGCAGTTTACAATAATTATAGATTAGGTAAATAAATTATAGCCCAGTTCAAGCAAATACCTACCAAAATTTTTTATGTTCTTTTTCTATACTAATCACACGCTTAGGATCCATAAATATATGCATACATGTATAAAATTATGAACTAATGGGGCTGCAGAGATAGTATAGCAGGTAAGGTGCTTGCCTTGCACATGGCCAAATCTCATTTGATCCCCATCACTGCAAATGGTCATCCAAGTACAATCAGGAGTAAGCCCTTGGTGTGGCCCTAAAACAAAAGATTATGGCAGCATTACTGTAACAGCAGAAAAATGCAAATAATCAGATGTAAAAGTGATCTACAGAGACCTCAAAACTGTAGTTAGATTAATAAAACTTATATGCAGCCTACTATGTACAAAATGCTAGCAGCTGCATAAAAACGTATTTTTTTACTTTAGACTTAAAAGTATTTAAACAAAAGAGTATTTCTAGAAGAAACTTTTGGTATCAGTTGCCTACTAGGAAAGGAAGTGGTAGATAAAAGCTAGAGATTATCAATGTTCTTTCACCACTGAAATTTGAACACTGCTATCTACTTAGAACAAATGAAAAGCTTTCCTTCCTCCTTAAACACATTCCTGAGAGCATTTGAATACTGACATATCCTTTGTCCTAGGGGTTCGACCTGCGGCTGGAGCACACACACTGCTTCAGCCACCATGGAGAAGGTGGGCACTACCATTACGACACCACACCAGAAACCGTGGAGTACCTGGGCTACTTCTCACCCGCAGAGCTTCTCTATCGCATAGATCAGCCAAAAGAGACCCATTCATTCGGGAGAGATTAAGTCAGCTCATACTTTAGAAATAATTAATCAAAATGAATGAACTGATTCACTCACCAAAACTGATTGATAGAAATGACCTCACTACTTAAACCCAATTCTTTTGCCTTTGTTTGGTTCTTCGGGCCATACCTGTTTCAGGGATCAGTATGGCAGTGCTTGAAGGCCATATGGGACACTAGAGATTTAACCCAGGTCAGCAAGCATCTACCAAGCTGCACTATGGCTCTGGCCCTCTTTTGATTTTTAAATGAAAGGTATTATGATGTTGGGCTTCTACTTTAAGAGTGCATCTAAGGAAATTACCGAAAACGAAAGAATAATAGAAACATTCCGCATTTTTTATTTCTATTGCAAGAGACTTATGTTGATACCTTAAACATGATCAGGAATTACGATTATTTCTGTAATCTAACAGTAGTAAATCACATTTAACATTTACATTTTGAAGACAGTCTGAGTGCAGTGAAATCAGTGTTCAAAATGTCGGTGATCTTCACAGAGTATTTTTTGGCCCCAAGGAGCAGCGCTGCGGGACCTTAAGGAACCAAGGTTGCCCTCCCCCACGTTCCTGCGTGGGAAGCACCTATCTCCCTGGCCCTAGAGTCAAATTCTTAAAATCTGAGGGTCTTGTATTTCTCAATGGAATAAGGCAGTGAGAGGAAAGGACCTTATTCCTCCCCGTGACACTGGCCTTTCCACATGCACGATTCTCCCTCAAATGTCAATACCGAAGCAGCTTGGGGATCATTTGCAAGAGAAGGGAAAGAAATAGCATCAAAGCACGACATTAAAGTGTTTGGATGTATACGTGGGTTAAACACGGCCAGTGTCCTGCGTTGAGTATTAAACCGAACTTTCACGAATCGGACAGCAGAAATCTCCCTGACATCTCTTGCGAGGGTCGTCGGCCGAGTCTCCTCTCAGGGCCCTGGACAACCGCCTTCTGCGGGGCTTACGCAGCACTCCCGGATCAAGTTCCTGAGCACTTTCCAATAAACGGCCGTGTGGACGCAAAGGGGTCGTCGTCTCGTGTCTCCTCTTACCTCGGGCTGACACGCTCGGCCGTGCTGCCCACTATCCCGCCCCCCGCCCGGCTCCGTGGGGGCAGGCGGGGCGGCCGGACTAGCGCCACCCGCAACACGCTGGCGGAGACCCTGGAGCCGAGAGCTACGGGCTCAGAACCGGAACCGACCCCGGGGGCCGCCCCCGCCGGCTGCGCGGAGGCAACCCGTCGCGAGGGGGGCGTGGCGCCCGCACGCGCTACCTCAGGAACACCGGACTGGGGGACCGCCCGGGAGCGCCGCCCCGTGAGCCTCTGCGCGGCCGGGAGGCTGGCCGGAAGTGGGTCTCAGTGCCGCCCCGTGAGCCTCCCGCGACCGGAAGTGGGGACCTTAGAGCCGCCCCGGGAGCCTCTGCGCGGCCGGGAGGCTGGCCGGAAGTGGGTCTCAGTGCCGCCCCGTGAGCCTCCCGCGACCGGAAGTGGGTCCGGCGCCGCCCCTCAAGGCGCTCACGGCCAGAAGTGGGTCCCGCGCGGACGCCCCGTGAGCTCCCGCGGCCGGAAGTGGGGACCTCAGCGCCGTCCCGTGAGCCTCTCGCGGCCGGAAGTGGGTCCCGACACCGCCCCGTGAGCTCCCGGCCGCGGTGCCTGCAGGGCGCAGTTCCCGCGCTCTCTCCCGCCGTCCCCACCGTCCCCCGGGCCGGGCCCCGCCGCCAACATGTCGGGGGTGCGCGCCGTGCGCATAAGCATCGAGTCGGCGTGCGAGAAGCAGGTGCAGGAGGTGGGCCTGGATGGCACCGAGACCTACCTGCAGCCGCTGTCCATGTCGCAGAACCTGGCGCGCCTGGCACAGCGCATCGACTTCAGCCAGGGTTCGGGCTCAGACGACGACGAGCCGGGCGCCGAGGGCGACGCGCACGACTGGTCGGGTGGCGACCCCGACGATGACGAGGGTGAGCGGGGTTGCCGCGGTGTGGGCAGGCCCGGGGGTTGTGCTGCCAGGGGTCACCGGCCGGGTGGGGGGCGGGGCTCAGCGCTGTGTGCGGGCCCGGGGTCGCCCGCGGGGCCGGGGCGGGGGGGTGTCATCCGGCCGGCGCCCAGCAGCCCCGTCCCCAGGGGCGCCTGGCCCACGCCCAGCTACCCCTCCCCGCAGGCCTGGTTCGGCTGCAGCCCTCGCTCTGGCCCTGGGACTCGGTGCGGAACAGCCTGCGCGGCGCGCTCACCGAAGTCTGCGTGCTCTACGACGTGCTCAGCGTCGTGCGCGACAGGAAGTTCATGACACTGGACCCCGTGTCCCAGGACGCGCTGCCGCCTAAGCAGGTAGGAGCCCACAGCCCGCCGCATGCCCACCCCACCCCCTACCCGCGCCGAGCCCAGAAGATGGCCCAACTGCAGCCCTGGGACTGGCCCCTCTGCCGGGTCGACTCGCCACCCTGCCAGAGCCCCACGTGGTGACCGTCTCGTCTCGGGTGGGCACCAAGCACAAAGCTGCACACGAGGTCGAAAGGCCGTAGGAAACACTGGAGGCCGAGTCAGGGCGTTGAGGTTGCTGCAAGTGCCTTCTTTCTCTGAGCAGTGGCAGGTGAAAGGAAGCCAGAGAAGGATGCATGCTGCAGGGTCGCCTCCCAAGAGGACCAGAAGGAAAAGGGTCTCCAGCGGGACCCAGTGACTGGCTAGAGAAGTCCCAATCGGAAGCACCCATGGGTCTAAAGACTCATGAGAGAGGCTGCAGAGGGAACGAGGAGGGTACTGGTCTTGCATGCAGCTGACCGTGCTTCAGTCCCATGCACTGTGTATGGTCACTCCAACCCCACCAGGACAGATCCAGGCAGAGAACCAGGAGCAAGCCCTGAGCACCGCTGACTGTGGCCCAACCTACACTCCCCAAAGCAAGGAGATAGTCCTCTTCACAGTGTAGAAAGGCTGCCCAGAAGCTTCTGAGTGCCTAATTACGGGGCTGGAGAAAGAGTGCAGCCGAGAGGGTGCTGGCTTTGCACGCAGCCAACCAGATTTGATACCCAGCACCCCATATCGTCCCCCAAGGCCTTGCAGGAGTGGCACCACCAGGTATGCCCCCTTCCAATTAAAAAAAAAAAAAAAAACAAAAAGCCAGCACCAAACCTGTTTGCTTCTCCCCATCCTGCCCCCAACCCCCCATGGTGCTTGGAGGTCACCCGCAGCCGCACTCTAAGCCGTGAGGTCTCACCACATTAGACTGCAGCCGGTTGAGCTCACACACTGCCACGGCACAGAGGTCCCCCAAGGCAGTACTCGTGCTGTGGGTGATGCCAGGAATTAAACTAGCAGCTTCAAGCTGCTGGGCACGTTCTCTGCCACCAGCCATCTCCAACCCTGGCTTCCTTCCTCCACCAGGAGAACTAGGGCCCAAAAGAAGATGGGGTGTTGGGGGAAAACCAGCGTCAGAACCCTGCCCAAGCCTCAGTGCCTCCCTGCTGCAGACCTCAGAAATGTCTGGGCTGCCTAAGAACTTTTACAAATTTGAAAAGTAGAAAGAGGGTTCATGTTCCAAATTTGACCAAAAGACTCTGTTGGAATGGAGCAGTAGTATAGCGGCGGGGAGGGTACTCGCCTTGCACGCTACTGACCAGGTTCAAGCCCCAGCATCCTACTTGTTCCCCTGAGCTTTGCCAGGAATGATCCCTGAGTGCAGAGCCAGAAGTAAACTGGGCATCACCAGGTTTGACACTAAAACAAAAAATCCTGTAGAGGGCTGGAGAAATAGTCAAGGGGATAAGGTGCTTGCCTTGCGTGCCCAACCCAGGTTCCATCCCCAGCATCCCAGTATGGTCCCCTGAGCACTGCTAGGTTGCCCTCTGCCACCAAAAATACGGTTGACGTCTTAAATGACACTGCTAATTTTCACACATATAGCCAGAGAACATTCTTTAATCAAACTTGGTTTTCAGAAGTTTGTCTAGTTACTGTGCAAATTGCTAGTTACTGGTGATAATACAGAGATTTTGATTTCAAATCAGCTTTCCAAAATCAGAAATCAATGGAGTAATTTTTGCCAGTGCTGTGTATCACGGTCAGGACTCCAATGGCACTTGGCAGCTGACTATGAAGCCCGCGAGCCTCTGAGCTGCCCACCTGGGACCGCCTGCTCATTCATTTGGCACCAGCACCCCATGTGCCAGGCGTGTGTGATGCTTGGGGGCAGACGGGGACCTTGCGTGTGCCAGGGCTGTACCCACAACTCCTTTATACCTGAGAAATGTTTGTGCGAGTCCAGGTGTATAAAGGTACATACAGAGTAAACATTCACTGATAACATCGTAAATATCGATTTGATGCGATGGGGGGACCACAGCAATTGGTGTTGGGGAATCCCTCGGTCTTCGCGTCGGGGGGTAGTTTCCAGCGGTGCTCAGGGGACCAGGTGCTGCCATGGATTCACACCCAGGCAACCCCCTTACATGGTATTCGCTCAGAACTCTAGCCCAAGACCATTATCCAGGAGGAGACATTGTGATGTGCCCTTGCACTTTCTCTTTGCCTTGTCATGTCTATGTTTTCTCTTGAGTAGGCATTTTATCATTTTTTAAAATATTTTATGTTTTTGGGACCACACCTGGCAATGCTCAGGAGTTGCTCCTGGCGGTGCTCAGGGAACCATACAGGATGCGGGGGATCGAACCCAGGTTGGCCAGGTACAAGGCAGAGTCTCCCCGTTTTACTGTCTTTGAGGCCTGAGCAGACTTTGTAACACTCAGAAAGTGCCTGGTTTGGAGGTTACTCTGGGTTGTTTTTGCCGCAGACGCTACAGCTGATCTCTAAGAAGAAGTCTCTCGCTGGGGCCGCCCAGATACTGCTGAAGGGGGCAGAGAGACTGACCAAGTCTGTGACGGAAAACCAAGAAAACAAGCTGCAAAGAGACTTTAACTCGGAGCTTCTGCGGCTGCGGCAGCACTGGAAGCTCAGGAAAGTGGGCGACAAGATCCTGGGCGACCTCAGCTACCGGAGTGCAGGTGGGAGTCAGGGCTGTTTGTGCATCCCCGGGGAGGGAGGACACCGGTGCCCCCCACAGCCAGGCACTGCCCAGAGAAGGTCACTAAGATTCATGGGTCACTGGGGTGAGTTTTGAATGCCAAAGGAGAGAATGGGGAGGCCTAGCTGTGACTTTCACACTGAGGTGCTTGGTCCTGCCATGTCCAGAGGGACAGTAGAGGGGCTTCAGCCCTGTTCATGGGGTTGCTCAGTTCTCTGCAGTGTCCGTCCGTCTCTCTCCATGTCATGTGTGGACACTTCACCTGTTTCTCTCGGCTGTCCATCCCCAAGCATAAAAGATTTGATTATATTCTACTTTTAGTTCTTGAGCACGTCCCAGATGGAAAACATCCTTCTTCATAGCACTTGGTACCCCTGAACATCTTCCCCAACCTCTGAACTACACAGAAAGTTCCCTCTCACGGTCAGAGAGATCGTCTGAGGGCTCAGGCGCTTGGCTTGCACAGGGCAGACCCCAGTTCCAGTCCCCAGCACCACATAGTGTCCCCATCCCCTCTCCAGGAGTAAACTCTGAGCGTAGCTCAGGACTCTGGCAGCATCAGAAGGGGGCCGTGCCTGCTGCATCCCGGGTCCTCCCGCTGGAGGACATTCCTGTGGGAACCTTCTCCCAGAGGCTGCTCACAACCAGCACGAAGGCTGGGACTGAGTGTGAAGAAACACGTCTTGGAAGTGTGTGGCTTACCCAGACACACTGGGTGGCCCGTGAGTGCATACCGTTCTGAGGCATTGGACCAGCAAGTCCTGTCCTTGAGGTAGACAGCTTTGTGCTTTCTGACGCCTCCTAGTGCCCAGCAGCCACCCTTCACACACTTTGGGTGGGTCTTTGTCTATGGTCGGGAAGCAGTGCTCCGTGCTCCAGTGCTCAGCACAGTGCTAGCACAGTGATCTTCACTCCTGTTTTCACACCCCCTCAGGCTCGCTCTTTCCCCATCACGGTACGTTCGAGGTCATAAAGAACACAGACATCGACCTGGACAAGAAGATTCCTGAGGACCACTGTCCCCTCGACGTCCAGATTCCCAGTGACTTAGAGGGTTCTGCGTATATCAAGGTATTTGCCACAGTGACCTCAGTCAGTTTCTCCTGCAGGCAGAAGCCAATTCACTCACTCCTGTGTTCTTGTTGCTCAGGTTTCAATTCAGAAACAGGCTCCGGATATAGGGGACCTCGGCACAGTGAGTCTCTTCAAGCAGCCTATGCCCAAGTCCAAGTCAGGTGTGGTATTCTGTGCACTGGCCCTGTGCTGGGCTGGGGGCCCAAACTCCACAGTGCTCAGGGTTGCTCCTGGCAGGGCTCTGGGATCAGTCGGGATTGGCCACACGTAAGCTACAAGCACCATGACCCGCTACTCTCTCTCCGGCCTGTGAACCTGGTCTTACCAAAGATAGAAATAGGAAAATAGATGTTTGGAATACGGCGGTGGGAAATGCACTCCGGGTGCTGTTCGAGCAGCTGTCCTGTGGAACCAGGACCCAGGGAGTGAGAGTGCTGACCATCACTTACAGAAAGCATGAGTGTTCCAACCACAGGTCTGCCTGCCGGATCACACTGGTAACACCTTAAAGCAGATATCATGTGGGGCGGAGAGAGCACAAGGAGCAGGGGTGATCCCTGAGCGAGAGCCAGGCAGAAGCCCTTAGCACCTCCAGGCGTGGCGCGGAAAACGAAAGAACTAAAACCAAAAATCTGTAGCACTCAGGGAATGTGGCCCGAGTGGTAGAGATGTGTGTTCTCGCCTGCAGCCGGAATGAGCCCAAGACCAAGGTCAGGGCAGCCTGGTGGGGCTGGGCACAGACTCACTCCCGCTCCGCTTCTTGGAAATGCCCCTGGGCTCTCTGGGAGTCGTACATGCGCCCAGCACAGGTGCTCTGGCAGCAAAGGAGCCCACACTCAGGATGTGTTCGTGGTCATGGAAGGCCCCGACAGGGGAAGCCAGGACTTGAGACCTCTGCACTGCAGAGAGAATGGGCTCTGGGCAAGGACTCCCTGGGCTTCGTCGCCCAGGCGAGTCAGCAGTCGGCCTCAGCCGGATGCAGGCCGCTGTCTCCTGTCTTTCAGGCACCCCACACTGGCAGACGAAGCTGGAGGCGGCACAAAATGTTCTGTTGTGTAAAGAGATCTTCGCACAACTCTCTCGAGAAGCCGTTCAAATTAAGTCGCAGATCCCCCACATTGTGGTGAAAAACCAAATTCTCTCCCAGCCCTTTCCAAGTAAGAGCGGCCAGCCCTGTGGAGGCTTGGAGAGGGTGCTGGGCAGCCGGTGGTGGTGGGGTGGTTTGGGAGAGGAGGGACAAGACGCCAGCCTTGCATACCCGGGGCTTACACTGAGTAGAGCACAGCAGTCAGAAAGGCGTGGGCAGGCCGACCTCTGACCCAGAGCTCAGAGCTCTGTCAAAGGGAGCAGTTAGGAAAAGCTGTTTGGTGTCTTGAATTCTGTTACCTTAAGTGTCTAGACACGGGATTCTAGAGAATTGAAAAGCAGCTTGACTTACCCGAAAACTGGCTCGCAGTTGGCCGTGCCCGCATGAGCTGAGTCCCTCTCGGGCTTGACAGGAACAGGTGTCGCATATGCGTGCCTGCATGCATGTGTCAGACGAGAAGCAACGTGAGCAGCTTCTGGTCGTGGGCCCTGGAACTGCAAGCGGGTTCGAGGAGATCAGGGTTGACGCTCACACTGACAGAGAGCTGCTCCTTTAGATGTGGCTTTGGCGGTGGCCGAGCTTCTCTGCTCTCATGTGTGTTTCCTGCGTCCATGTGCAGACTTGCAGTTGTCCATTTCCCTGTGTCATTCCTCCAACGATAAGAAGTCCCAGCGCGCCGCAGCTGAGCTGCCGAGTCCCGACGACCACCTCTATGTCCTGGAACACAATCTGCATCTCATGATTCGAGAGGTAAGGAAGTGTGCCACGGAGCCCCTGGGCCTAGCTCCCGCAGCCGTCCCCACAGCCTGGCTGGAGCTAGCCCAGAGTGTCTGCCAGCTGGCTCATAGCCCATGTCCCGCAGTCCCTGTATGCTGAGCCCCAGTTCCAGGAGACCTACAGGGTCAGGGCCTCGGAGGGCGGAGCGTCCAAGGGTTTGCGTCTGTGCCGCTCAGCTTGCGGCTGGTATGAAGGCTGGCTTAGGGGGCCCTCAGATGCATTCCTCGGGACACTGAGAGTGGCCCGGGAGAGGCGGCTGCTGGCTCATACTGCTGTCCCCACAGTTCCACAAGCAGACCGTGAGTTCCGTCGTGATGCCCCACCCCGCCAGCGCGCCTTTCGGCCACAAGAGGATGAGACTTTCAGGTCCTCAAGCATATGATAAGAATGAAATCAGCTCCTTACAAAGCAGTGAGGGGCTTCTGGAGAAGATAATCAAACAGGCCAAACACATCTTCCTGAGGAGTCGGTAAGGCCAGTTTTCTGGAAGCTGCTATTGGTCTCTGCTGCATGTTATCCACTTCTTTCTCTCCTGGAGCGAGGAGACAATCTTCCGGGCTTCCCAGGGCTATAGCGGGTGCCAGTCCTTAGGCTCCAGAAAGCATCTGTGGCTGGGCACGGGGACCCTGGCACACAACGGCTCTCGGTGGTGGTCTGAGTTCTCTGTGGCTGGGACTCAGGGTCCCTGTTTGTGTGAGTGTAGGTAGGTGTTGCCTCAGGTGCCCCCTGGGCCCCGTTTACAGTCCAGCCACTGACCTGAGTTCCGGCCTGTGGCCACTTTGTCTTTGCTTCCTGTCTTCACCAGAGTGGCAGCAACCATTGACAGCCTGGCCAGCCGCATCGAGGACCCTCAGATCCAGGCGCACTGGTCCAACATCAACGACGCCTGTGAGTCCAGTGTCAAAGTTCTCATCACCTCGCAGGGCTATGAGCAGATCTGCAAGTAAGCATGCACCGGAAGTGCAGCGACAGGCTCAGCTTCCATCCCGGGCTGCCCAGGGGACTGGGCTGGGGCAGGGGCCTTACCTCACCCATTAGCATGAACATCCTCTGCCAACGTCCTCCTCCCTCCCCTCTTCCCCCCTCCCTCCTCCTCTCCTCTGCTCCCTCTCCTCTCCCCCTCCCTTCCCCCCTCCCAACCGCCCCCAGGTCTATCCAGCTGCAACTGAACATCGGGGTGGAGCACATCCGTGTGGTACACCGGGATGGGCGGGTGATCACACTGTCCCACCAGGAGTTGGAGCTCCAGGACTTCCTCCTGTCTCAGGTAACTGCGGGTGGGCTCTGTAAGTTCCCCAGCCCCAGCCTGTATCTTGGTGAGGGAAGGGGTGAGGTTACTTCCAGGAGCAGGGAAGGGAGGTAGGGTCTGAAATTCTGCTGCTGTTTCTGCAGGCAGGACAGAATATTGCCCTCTGCAAAGGGCCATGTGGAAAGCTCTGGGTGCGGGATCCAGCTCCCCCATAAACTCATTCTGAGACTCGGGGCCTCTTTCCTCCCGCTGTCCTGCCTCAGATGGAGGCCCTGAGATGCCCAGGCTGTGCTTCCTGTGCCGACCGGCTCCCTTGGTGCGAAGTAGAGGTGCGGCCTCTGCTCGTCCCACCTGCCCAGCCCGGTCAGCTCAGCTCCCACATAGAGGTGGACCAGGAAGCTCGGGGCCACTCCTGGACCCAATGGGGGTCTCGGGGGTGGGGGTCTGTCTGAGGCAGGGTCCTCGCGGGCCCTTCACTGGGACACCCCTGCACCATGCCACAGGACTATGCTGGTGACAAGCCCCGATGGCCTTAGTCATCACCCTGAGATGCTTGGGGGGAGGTCACTGGTCCCTGGAGCACTCCCTGGACAGGCTGCCCAGAGCAGAGCAGGGCCAGCATGTGGTCTTCTGCCTGCCGTGGGTAAAGGAGCGTCAGGCTGTGCTGGCACCCGGGTCTCAGAAGGCCTCTGTCCAGTGAGTGTCCTGTGTCCCTCAGATGTCCCAGCACCAGGTCCACGCCGTGCAGCAGCTGGCCAAGGTCATGGGTTGGCAGGTCCTGAGCTTCAGCAACCACGTGGGCCTCGGGCCCATTGAGAGCATCGGCAATGCCTCCGCCATCACCGTGGCCTCCCCGAGCGGTGACTACGCCATCTCAGGTGGGGGCCTACGCACACGGCCTGGGAAGGGCTGCCCCGCGTGCCTAGGGTGCTCCCAGGCGTCTTCCGAGGGGTCACTGCTTGTCACCCCCCAGCCTATCCCTTTCTTCCTCCCAAGTCCTACTCCAGCTCCCTCGGGACTAGCGATCCTCCCTGGCTCAGATCACACTTTCCTCACGTGTCCTTCCCCCCCCCACCCCCCGCTCACACCTCCTGCTGGCCAGTCCATCGGATGGCAGGGACCAAGGGACGTGGCAGATACTGGGCCACCTTGAGACAGAATTCACCTTTTTATTTTTCTGTCCTGTGTAGTTTGGGCACCACACCTGTAGGTTCTGGGTGGGGCCGCTGCTCCGGTGTCCCTGGCCAGAGGCAGCTGCACATACGGGTTTCTAGCCAGCCTTGCCAGCAACTGCTGACAGCGTTTCACTCTCGGTGTCTGTGGCAGAAGGAGGGTGTGCTTGGCTCGCTTCTCAGTTTGGAGTCGTGTGCGTTGACTCTTGCTCTGCTCCACAGTTCGGAACGGCCCTGAAAGTGGCAGCAAAATTCTGGTCCAGCTTCCCCGAAACCAGTGCAAAGACCTTCCGAAAAGTGATGTCTTGCAGGACAGCAAATGGAGTCATCTTCGTGGGCCCTTCAAAGAAGTTCAGTGGAATAAGATGGAAGGTCGGAATTTCGTTTATAAAATGGAACTGCTGATGTCTGCTCTTAGCCCCTGTCTGCTCTAACTACATCTAGAGGAGTTTTTAGAAGCACAGGGGAGAGAGACCTTCCAAGGGAACACTGTCCTAAAAAGGAATCATTTGCAAGTGTTTTGCATTTGGAATATTTTCACTTTATAAGTGGTAAATGCTTTGAAAAGCAAAAGGTAATGTAAGGTTAGCCTGAAAAGTTACTGACTTAATGGATTTCTGTTTGCTTTTTGAAGTATTTGTTAATTTCAAATAAAGCATACAGTGGAATAGTCCAGATACTGAGCTCCTGCCTAAAAGGTCTCTTCCCACTACAGAGGGATGAAGTAGCCCCCTCAAAAAATTGGGGGGGAAATGTGGCATTTGCTGTTGGTGGTCCCAGAGCAGCTGGTGGTGGTCCTGTCTGCCCACCGGAGGAACCTGTGATTGTGGCCGCAGCAGGAGTCCTGCTTCTGCCAGAGACCAGAGGGACACAGACTGGTCGTCCAGACTAACTGCTCTGGTAAAATATGTAAAAAGAATCACCAGGACAACCGGAAATCAAGCCCTCCCTTAGGCTTGCCCACAGCGGAAAGGGGCACCTGCTGGAAGTACAGGACCCTGTGCAAACACCACCAGAGCCATCTCCCTGGCCCTCCCCAGCGCTACACCTGGGGCCTTTCCACTCTCCAGCTCTCTGAGCACTGTGTTGGGTGCCAGCTCAGCGGAACCTTGTACCCCGGGTGAGCATGGCTGAGCCTGATCTGTCCACAGGCAGCTGCCCTCAGGTGAGGGGTACAGTCTGCTTACCTCCCCATGGCCAACAGCTCCGCATGGTCATCAGGAGTCACGCACTGGGCACATGGGAGCGTTGGTGACCATGTGCAGGTCCTCAGGGAGGGCTCTGGGCACTGGACCAGCGCCCCCTGTAGACTCCAGATGCCCATCGGATCCCTCGGAGGCAGAAGCATCTTCACCCGAAGGCTGGACGTGTGGAGGCGTGGGAGGAGCCTGCTCAGGAGAGGCTGCTGGCCCCCCTCCGCCCCCAGCCCAAGGCTGCCCTGAGTGGTCTCCGGGCCATGAACCCTCTGGGACCCCGGAGCCCCCTGGAACCATAACCCCCACATGGCAACAGACCCCAGTAACTACTATCCCCCCAGGTGCCATCAGCTCCCGGGTGCGCCTAATGCGGGGGAACTGAGTGCGCTCAGGGCGGGGAACCTGACTGCCCGTACCCATGGGTTGGGTGCTCACAAAGAGCTGAACTTCCACCTTCAGGCCACATGGTCCCTGCAGGGGCGCAAGGGCCAGGCGCTCTGAGTGTCTTCAGAGCCAGCACCCACCCACTCAAACCCACCTCCCTACCCCCTCCCAGGAGGCATGTGGGAAGCGCTGGCCGAACTCACGGGCAAACAGCACAGCTGTGGAAGGGGCCTGAGGAGAGCTGAGCTCAGCACAGGCTTGCGGGAGGAGGGGTGGCCCACTGTCCCTACCTTTGACAGGATGCGGAGCCAACGGAAAGGCGGGACTGGCACACGGCAAGCACTGCAGAGGGGACTCCAGCAGGAGCCCTGCCCACGGCAGCTGGTCCTATGCCCGGGTTTGGGGGCAGGGCGGCATCTGGGTCCTCGGAGAACCCTCAGGCTGCTCTGGAGCAGGTCCAGCTGGGTAGGTGAGTGCCCAGCGGCCAGGCACAAGGAGGCGGGGGTGCTCAGTGGGTGAAACAGCAGCCCTGCCCTGCCCCGCTGGCACGGGGGCCCAGCTAGCAGTCCACGTCCTGCAGCTCCACCCGCTCTGTGCTGCTGCCAGCTGCAAAGGGCATGGCTGTGAGCGCGGCTGGGCATGGGTGCCCCCTACCCCCCGGCCCAGGCCTCACCTTCCAAGGGGCGCTGCCGCAGTCGGCCACACCTGCTGCACACCCACAGGAGACCAGCCAGCACGGTGCCCACGGCGGCCAGGAAGGCCAGCACCACGGTCACGAAGTGCAGGTCTTCGTACAGGACCTCTTGGGGGGTCGTGTGGGAGTCACAGGCTTGCCTCGACCAGCCCCTACCTCACAGACCGCCCCCACCCCTGTGGCCACTCACCTGACACGTGCAATGCAATGGTGCCCAGGCGGCTGCCGCCCAGCTGCTCAGAGACAGTGACCACGTATACACCGGCGTCGTGGGTTCCCACCTGCAGCAGCTGCAGGGAGCCGTTGTCAAAGGTGCAGACCCGGTGCTGGTGGCTGGGAGCCACGTCCGCCTGTGTCCCTGGCTGCCACGCCACAATGCGCCGCGCGCCCCGGCTGGATGCGTGTCGCCACTCAATGGTGGGCACACCGGGGCAGGAGTAGGCCACAGACAGCAGCACGTCCTCCGCGACCGTGGCGTTGATGGCCTCCTGCGCGATGTACAGGCCCACACACGGGCCTGCAGGGGAAGTGCTGGTGAGGGGCTGTAGAGCACCCCCAGAGGCACGGCCCCCACATACAGACCCACCAAGGAGGCCAAGGAGCTCAGTGAAGGTCAAAGGGGTGAACAGGGTACAAGGCTGCCCTCCCCGCAGTGCTCAGACCCAGGCCAGGCGCAGCTGCGCTGACACGGGGCCGCAGGGACCAGCTGAAAGCCATCCCCGGAGCTGTGATGAGCACAGCTGTGTGAGCACATCCGGGCAGTGCTGACAGAGAGGAAAGGGGACACAGGCCTGCTGCCCACTCCCACCCGCAGGGTCGCCCATACCCACAGACAGGGACGGGTTCTAAGAGCTTACAATGGTGGGTGTGGATGGTGCCACTACTCAGCGATGTGGGTGCCACAAACAGGCCCGAGCCCCCTCACACACACCTTGGAGGGTCTGAGGGGCCTGGGACTCTACTGGGCCAGCAGCTGGTCCTAGGGCCCCAGGGTGCCTCTGCTGGACCTGCACATGTATGTGGGCCCCGGTAGGTGCTCACTGGGAGCCCAGCTGTGGCCTGTCCCTTTCTCACCCCCTCCTCCATTAGTGCCCCTGGGGTCAGTCCAGACTCAGAGACCAGAGGCTCCGAGAAGGCGCAGCTGCTGGCCAGGGTTGGGGTTGGGGGTAGCATGAGCCCCGTCCCCGCACCCAGCAGGCATGGACACCGATCCTGCACCTTCTAAGATGCTAAACTGGGGAGCTGGAGAGATGGGCCAGGCTCAGCCTCTGTGCCCCCAGGAGTGAGGCCCCACAAAGCCTCGCTTTACCCCGGGCACCCCTGGGTATGACCCAGAAAACAAACCCCAAAGCAGACTGGAAAGCCTGAGAGGGAACCAAGAGCTGGTGCTGGCTCTGGTATGGCTCCAAGCACTAGACCATCTGGTCAGTACCAGGCCAACTCTGGCTGCGAGTGGAGGCGGCCGCAGGGGAGGCCCCGACCCCAACAGTGACTGGGCTGGGAGGCCGCATAAGGGCAGAGTCCACGCGAGCACATGCAGCTCCCAGCATTGCCCAGGCAACTGTGGTCCCAAGTGGTCAGGCCCCCATCACTGAACTGAAACACAGCTACGGTGGACACTGAATTGAGGAAAAGGAGGGGAAAAGATTAAAAACTGAAACTCTCAGCAAGTTGGAAGATGAGTCCAAGGGCTGGCCTGAGCCCTCCTGGGCTCGCTCCCCGCCCTGCCCCCACCCTGCCCGCACCGCACGTGGTCCTTCACAGACCCCAATCCTCAGCTGCATTGGGCAGAGCTGGCCCAGCACTGCAGCCTGCAGCGAGGGGCGCCTGGGCTCAGAAGGGGTCACCTCCAGGAAGCCCACCAGCTATGCCCGTGGCCCAGGGCCTTCACCTGCAGGTTTGCTGCAGCTTTGACTGAGGAAACACCAAAAGCAAAAGAGCAACAAAAACAACCCCAGTTTATCAGCTGTTGACTGCTGGAAAGTGGCCCCTGCGTCCTCCCTAGTATCTGCATCTCCTCATGGCCAGAGAAACCTCCTTCCCACTGGCCCAGCTATGTGGGCTTCGGGGCCAGTTTGTCCTCCTGCCACCAGCCATCAGGAATAACCGGTCTAAGGCAAAGACCAAAAAGGAATAGTTCCAAGAACCTGCAGGCAAACTGCTCGCCACGTGAAAGGAGTGGAAGGGATGCGAAACCTGTCTGCACCTCAGGGAGACTCTGTCCAAGCACAGGAGGTGGGTGGCACCTGCCGGAGGCTGGATCAGACCCCGCTGTCCCCCTAGAGGATGTCCTGGACATCTCTGAGCCGCCCAGGGGGCGCTGAGTGAGCAGCATACTGCGGAAAGCGTGTCACTGAGAGGGGGCGGGCCCTGGCACTGTGGCCGCAGACTCTGAGGCAGGACGTACAAGATCATTCTGATTTCTCGGTTGTTTACTGAGATAATAAAACTAGGAAATGTATGTTCTAATCTCAGGGGATTTTCCTGATGAGAATGAGGAGGGTCCCCGCAGTGGGGGCAGGCACTTCCTGTGGTGCAGCCCTGGGCAGTGGAGGAGAAGCAGGAGTGGTGGACGCAGAGAGGTAGGTGGGCACCACCCTGTGTGGGAGGCCTGGGAGGGAGCACCCAGGAGGGAGAATAATGTGAGAGAGCATCCGAGTGTGACGAAGCATCTGCTCCAGGCTCTCTCCCTGCAAAGTCAGCTGGGGTGTGGCTGCCGCTGGAGCCCCATGGCCTTGCCCTCACTGGCTGCCCTCAGTGAACCTGTTGGGCTGGGCCTGGCCTCAGTGCTGGGAGGGGGACACCTACCCCACTCCCCAAGGGTCTGGGCCGGGCCAGGGGGCACGGTCTCTGCTCAGGGGTGCCAGGACCCACCCAGCCCTGCCCCCATCTGTCCTACCTGCTGCACTCACCTTGCAGGCCGCAGGCAGTGCCCAAGCAGAGCACGAAGGGGGTGAGCCAGAAGCCGCGGGGCCGCTTGCTCCCCACCGGCCTCATGAGCCCCGCGCTTGGGCTGCGCCTTGCCTCCTCCGGAGTGTGCGCTGGGCTCCTCCCTGGGCTCCTCCTGCGCTGTCTTCACCTCCCCTTCAGGCCCTCCCCCTCCTCCCCTGCAGTCTTCCTCCCCCACCCCACTGCCCCTCCCCCCTCACTTGCTGTCTCTCCTCCCCTCCCCCACTCCCCTCCCCCTCCTCCTCTCCAGGTCCTCCTCCCCTCCTCTGCTGTCCCTTCCCCCCTCTATCCCTCCTCCCACTCCCCTGCAGGTCCTCCAGGGCAAGAAGAGGATGAGCAGTTCTGGTCTGGTCGAGCCAGTTCCCCAGAAGTGGGCAGGCCAGGAGAGTAGGCACAGAGGCAGGGAGGATGCCTGCAAGGACAGAGCAGGGAGTCCCAGAGGGAGCCAACAGCTAAGGCTTCTCCTGCTCACTCCGACTGGGAATTCAGCTGGATGCTGGGAGGGGGTTGAGAGCGCCAAGAGGGACCATCCTGACACCATCCTCCTTTGGGTCACTCCTGCTAGTGCCAGGTACTGCACTGAGGGGAGCACCTTGGCCCCTGTACCACCTCCTTGGGCAAAGGCTTCTAAGGAAGTAAAACGGCAGCCTGGGGAGGGAGGGGTGGGCAGGGGGGACAAGAAATCCTCAGTGTCATCTAAGTGCAGCCCATGGACACAGGTCCACCCATGCACCTGTCCACCCACCCTCCAGCTATCCACCCACTCACCTACCCATCTCTCCAGCAACCCACTGTCCACCCCTGCATCCCCCACCCACCCACTCATCTACTCATCCATCCACCCACCCTTCTACCCTGCACCCACCCATCCACCCCTGCATTCACCCATCCATCCCTGCACCCACCCCTCCACCCCTGCACCCACCCACCCACCATTTTTCCATCCATCTACCACCCCCCTGCTCTGGATAGCGACGCTTCACTGGGCACCAGGGAACATGTGAAGCTGGGAATGAGTGGCAGGAGGGGTATAAGGCAGCCAGGCCCACAGGGGAAAGGCAGGCAGAGAGAGGGCAGCCTCCAGCATTGATGGACAGTGGAGGGAGGTGGCAGGCCCTGGGCTCACGCCCTTCCAGAGCTTCTCCTCCTCCTTGGCGCTCTTCATCCCTCCTGAAGGACCCTGAGGGCTGACCTCACCAGAGGAGGTTCGCGCTCCTCATTCCGCCTGACTCCCATCACCCTCCCCTTCCGGGGACAAGGCTAAGTGAGTGGAAGACTTCGCAGGTGTCAGCCCAGCTTGCCCCAAGCTGTTCTGGCACCGGATCCCCACCCACAGAGCCCCTCTGACTTGTGGCAATGTGGCCTTTCGTCCCAGTGACCAGGAAATGCAGCCCCATCCCAAGGGGCAGGAGACATATTCTTCCTGACTCATTTCCAGTGACCTGGGACCCCAACAAGGGACCCTCTGCTGAGTCACACATGTGCAGGGGCACCCAGGGAGAAGGCGTCTGTCCTTCCACGTACACAGACCTGTGTGAGAGTTCTGTGCACGCTAACACTGGTGACCCCCAGAAGGCGAGTGGCGCTGGGCAGGCAGCATGTGTAGGCGTGGGGCCCCCAGCACCCTGCCCGGAGCCTCACGTCTCTGACTCCTTGTGAGAACCTGTCACTGATGGGCGAGGATCCTTCCCTCACGGCGTGTTTGTCAGCTCTGCCTATCATACAAAATGCAGCCTCAGTGTGTGCTTCCTGCCTCCGCGCCCGCAGGCCCAGTTTTAGGACGAGAAGTTTCCCAACGGTGCGTCGTGCGGCATGATCAGCACATGGACTTTCCAGGGGTGCCCCCACCATTGCCAGCATTTGCTCGAATCAGAACTGTAGCCGGTCTCAGGGTGAGAACAGCGACCACTGAATGAACTCTTATGGCTGACCCACACACAGAGACTTCCTGGTCCCGGGCTGGGGAGAGGAGGGTGGAGGGAATCAGAGGGGTGACAGACAGACAGACAGACGCCAAGAGGGAGGAGGGAGATGGGGAAAAGGCAGGGGGCAGGAAAGCGAGTGGGGGGATGGAAAGGAGCTGGACACCGTCAGCCGCCACGCTTGGGTTAAGTGGCACTGAGAGCCTCCTAGGGACCCCTGTCCACTCCCAATACCTGGTGAGGTCAGGCTGGGCTTGCAGTGCTCACGTCACCTGGCCCAGTCTCTCCCTGCTGGGCAATGATCGTCAATGGTCAGACGCAGCATCTGAGGCAGAGGCCCACCCCCCAACCCCATCAATGCCCCTGACCCCAGCAGGTGTCCTGTCTAGTCAGTGGGAGTGGCTGGTCAGCTGAAAGGCCAGGAGGTTGGACAGCACCCAACACGGGGACACTGGGGCAAGACGAGTGCTACCCCTGGCTGCACGCCACCCCCCATCGCATGGTGGCCACTGCCCAGGGCTGGGAGACAGCCCCACCATTCCCTGGGCAAACTCAAGCGTCCTCTGGATCCTCAGAATCCCACATGGACCAAGCACCGGGGTGGTGAGTGTCATCCAGACACCAGAGGTGACCGTGAGCCAGAGGTCCCTCTCAACGGCATTCCCAAGACGGCCACTAGAGGGGGCGCAGGCACGCGTGACTCTGAGGAGCGGGAGGTGAGCAGGCAGGGCCAGAGCACTGTCTGGGCACTCGGGGGTCTCTCTGTCTATCTGAGTGGGGCTGGGCCACCCCGGGGGGACGGACACTGAGTCCTGAGTGCCCCTGAGCTCACACACCCAGGGCCTGACCCACCGCAGGCGGGAACGGGAGGCACAGCAGAGTGGACACGGGGCCCCTGGCGGAGTACCGTTCCCGGGCAGGGCTGGCCTGACCCCCACCAGGACCCGACGGTGCCCCTCCCGGAGCCCCAAGACCCTGCACGTAGCTGTGCCTGGGCTGGCCTGACAGGAACCCCCAGACGGCGCCGTGTGGTGGTGGCTGCCAGGCCTGCATGGAGAAAGGACGAGGGCAGAATCACAGAAGCCATTTATTACGTCAAGGTTAAGGCACAAGTTGAAGCAGCAAAGTCTGGGGGACTCTGGCTGGCGGATCGTGGTGGGCAAGTGACCCCACAGGACACTCGCAGCTGGGGGTGCACAGCCTGTGAGGGGCTCGGCTGCCAGGCATGGCGGCCCCTGTACCAGGGCCTCGGGAGGGGTCTTTCCTGGCGGGCCGGTAGAGCTCTGCGTCCCTCCCTCAACCCCTGGTCGAGCTGCAGCCATTCCCCACACAGCGCTGGGCGAGGGGGGAAGCAGCCGGGCAGGAGGCCACTTGCCCACAGGCCCCACGCAGGCCGGACTGCGATCTGCAGACAACTCTGGAGACAGACGGTCCCAGCGGGAATGTCACACACATGGACATACGTGGACACGGCTGAAAGGTGACATGACCAGAGTAGGCGCGACAGCATGATGCCCACAGGCCCTGCTCTCTGCTGGGCCACTTGGAGGGGCCTAACACTGGCCACCAGGGGCACATGATGGACTAAAAACTGGGGGTGGAGGGAGGCAACTGAGGCCCAGCAGGAAGAAGTGGGGATGCACCCAGATGGAGAGCTGGGGTGAAAGCTGGGGTGTGCCCCTGCCACACACACACACACACACACACACACACACACGCACAGGCACACGCACAGGCACAGGCACCTGCAGCGGCTTCTCTACCACCACCCCGACCGGCCTCTGACCCCTGGCCCCTGATGGAGGAAGGAAAGAGGCTGGAGGGGGCTTTTCAGTTCCAGCCAAGAACCATTAACTGAAGCACCAGCCCTCGCCCGCTCCCAACTGATTCACTTTCAGGAAACGCTTTAGTTACTGTATTCCTCAGACGCAAACGGGTTAGACGCTCCCTTCTAGTGAAGCCCTGGGCCTCGGCTCACACAAGGGGGAAGACGAAGCGGCTGGTGGCCTGTGTGGCCAAGTGGGGCCCTTCCCTTCCTGGCCGGCGTCCGCATCTCCAAAGGCAGGAACTCTGCCTCAACCAGGCAGGCCCCAGGGTCATGAGTCGAGCTGGGCCACAGAAACACTCTGTCCAGCAGCTCCCTGAGTCCAACCTGGGCGCTGCTTCTGGGCCAAGCTCAGGGGAAACTGCAACACACATGGCCCTCTCACACTCACTGAGTCCCCCAGAGCAACAACTGCAGGCATGAGGGGCCTCGCTGCACGCCCCCCCCACACGGCCACACATGCTCGGGCCGGGCCAAATGACCTGCACCAGAGCAGCCCACGGCTGAGTCTGAGCCCTGGCCCCAAGAGCTCCATCTCACAGGTGCACCTGCCTCTCCCCTGAGCTGCGGCAGCTGTGAGTGAGCGAGTGCAGGGCGGCGAATCTGTGAGTCTGTGTGTAAGTGTGAGAATAAGTGTGTGTGTGTGTGCAGGGCGGCAAATCTGTGAGTCTGTGTGTAAGTGTGAGAATAAGTGTGTGTGTGTGTGTGTGTGTGTGTGTGTGCAGGGCGGCGAATCTGTGAGTCTGTGTGTAAGTGTGAGAATGTGTGTGTGTGCGCGCGCACGCACAGGGCGGCAAATCTGTGAGTCTGTGTGTAAGTGTGAGAATAAGTGTGTGTGTGTGTGTGTGTGTGTGTGTGTGTGAGGCCCAGCGGTGACTGTGCCACACAGCGGCTGTTTGCAGGCCGCTCTAAAGACCCCAGAACAAGTGCTAACACTCAGGGGAACAGAAGAGAAGTGGAAGTAGAGCAAAGGCAGAGCTGAGACCAGGTTGGGGGGAAAGGAAGGGTCAGACTCAAGAGGAGACACAGCAGCCCCCGGCTGGGGCCTCAGCCTCCCACATCTCTCCTTGCCCCCAGTCACAGGGGGGCCTCGGAGAATGCTTCAACAAAACCTGCTGAAAGGTTAGCAGAAGGAGCTGTTCCAAAGGGACCCAGGTTTGTCTGTTAATGAGAGTGAGCTGACGCAGACCCTGCCCAAGATGGGCCGGCAGTGAAGACCCCCAGCTCAGGTGGCAGAGCCCCCAAGGGCAGAGGGCTGAGTGCAGGGCTGGCACGTGGAGGCCCTGAGTTCCATCCTGGCACCGCGTGTTTCCAAGCGGCCCAATACCCAAACAACATGAACAAAAGGACCAAAGAAGAAAAAGAAAGAACGCAACTCTGTCCTTCCCCCAGCCGGACCCCTCTGAGCACGCGCGGCTCGAGTCACCCGGCTGTCCAGCTCCCAGCAGCCTCCTCGCTGGCCTCGGGGCCGTCTCTGGCTAGATGAGGACTTCCATGATCTCGGCGTCAGGGAGCTCGGCCTTGTGCAGCAGGCAGCCGGCCCGGCCTTTGTGCTCCGGCGACTTCCCATGGCTGGGACAGTTCTCTGCCAAAGAAGGGGGACATCAGCGGCCAGGTCTGGCCCTGTCGGACCCTACGCTCAGGCCCAGGGTGGCGGCTCCCCCCCACTCTCCCCACGTGCCCACGCTCACAGAAGTCACCCCAATCCCACTCAGGACCACTCTGAGGAGTAATGCCAAGACCGCCCCGCCCAGAGGGCCCCACTCACGAGTGGGGGGAATCCCTGAGGGCCTCTGGGCCCTGGAGTCTCCCCATGCTCTGCCCAAGCACTCACAGTGCCGGGAACCCCCACAAGTCAGTACCTTTGGCTGTGGGGTGCTTCAGGACCGGGCTGTGGGCCGGAGTTGCGCTCAACCGGCCGCGGCTGGGCAGCGAGGCCGCGTGGGGCCAGAAGAGCTCTGAGCCTCGGTCGGTCTGCGTGCCACTGTCTCTGCTGCCCGTCTTGGCGTGGGCACTGCTGGCAGGCATGGTGGGAGCAGTGGGGGCGGGCAGCGGTGGGCTGCAGGTGGGGTCCTGGGTCTCCTTCCCCAGCAGTAGCCCTGGGGGCAAGAGAGGTTCTTTCGTGTAGAGCACAGCCGCTGTGGGGTGCGGGCTCGGGCTCGGTCCCCTGGCAGCTGTCCCCAGAGAGCTGTGGCCGGTGGCCAGGGTCAGACAGACTGCGGTGATGTGGGCGCTGCATGGCCACGCGCGGGGAGCCCAGGGGTCCGAGCGGAAAACGCAAGTCCTCCTGCAGGCCAGGTTCTCACAGAGCCAAAGTGGGCCCACCCTCTAGGCCCCTCCCATGGCTCCAGACACTTTCAGCCCAACTCAGACACTGGGGGTGTTCTGACTGGGCCTTGGAGGGCCCTGCCCCAGCTCAGCCCTCCTAGAAGACCCACAGGAACCTCCAGAGGATCTCTGGTCCCTGGAGTCCAGGAGATGCCCAGGAGGGTAAGGGTAGCGTGCAGGGCACTGGGGCCTTGGGGACGACCTGCAGGCGGCCTTCGTGCCCCCTCCCACCTCTGACCCTGGCCCTCATCTCCCCCAGGAAGGCCCAGCTCTAAGAGCATAGGGCGAATCTCCACATACTGCCCAAGGGCCAAGTGACTGTCGGTGGCATGGAGTCCCCAGCCGGCTGTCCTCCCAGCACCTTCCCTGCAGACAGGAGGAAGGGGCATTGGGGCCACATGTGGCTCACAGTGCAGCAGCCAAGATGAGCGGCCTCCTCGGTGTCCGGGACCAAGGCTGGGCCAGCCCCGCCCTGCCCGCCCCACCCGTGAACCCACCTATGCTGCCCTTCCACGGCTTCTCCTCCCTCTTCTCCTCGGCTGGCTGGCTGCTGGTCAGGGAGGTCTGGCGTGAGTGCGCACCCGCGGCCGCGGCGATGGACGGCACAGAGCGGGCGGGCCGCAGGCTGGCGCTGTCGGGCTTGCCGGCCTCCTTGCGGGCACGCTGCTGCAGCACCTTGATCATGGCATCCTTCTCGATGATCTTGGCGTGCAGGTTCTTGATGCTGCTCCGGGACAGAGGAGGGTCAGGGCGGGCAGGGCACCTCAGAGGTGGCAGCTCCCGCTCTGGCCCCTCAGCAGAGCCCCTCGGCGCTCTGAAGCCTCAGCAGAGCATCTGCCCATTTTCTAGGGGCATTTAAGCAGTGGATAGCCCTCCCCCCAGACTCAGGAGAGGCTTGAGCTCTCTCCCACCCAAGGGCAGCCGGCCAAGGCGGTGCTGGTTCTGGGCCTGCTTTCACCCTTCCTGCCCCCCAAAGGTCGCCTCTGCAGGCCCAGGCTGACCAAAAGTCTCCCACTGACACCTGAGCAACCCCAGGCATGATGTCCAGGAGGGCGGGAGTTCAGCGCCCAGAAATGGCACCCTGAGCTCAGTGTCCACCTTCCAATCCAGACTTGGCGCAGCCCCATGGGCGGGCACAGGCCAGCCTCTGGGGGTATAGCCCTAAGCACGTCAGGTCACTCCCAAATGCGGCTGTGCCTTACGTGAACTCCATGTCCTGGCAGCGCCGAGCTGCCTGCACCACCTCCTCCTCCTCCTGCCAGCCGTGGGCCTCCAGCGAGCCCTCGCCGTAGCTGCCAGCCCGGGAGTGGCGGATGAGCGTCGTGTCCCTGAGGCAATCACACACAGGCAGCACTGAGACTCCCAGTCCCTCTCGTTTCCCTTTATTATGGAGGCTTGGGGTAACTCCCAGCTCTGTGCTTAGGGGCTGTTCCCAGCAGTGCTCAGGAGGCAGGTGGTGGGGATGCAAGAGCTGTCAGCTATGTGAGGTTAGGGCCTTCCCTGGTACCAGCTCTGGCACTAAGTCCTTTCCCAAGGAGGACTTGGGCTGGTCATCTCCAGGAAAGACATGGAGCAACAGAGACCCTGTCTGAGGGTCCACAGGGCCCGTCTCCCAGACTCCACAGGGCCCGTCTCCCACAGACTCCACAGTGCCTGTCTTTCACAGTCCCTCTCGACCATCTGCTCTCTGCACTTTGCTATTCTAGGGCCACAGGAGTGTGGGACATGTGGCCCCTCAAGAGGAGCCCTCAGGCTCGTGACCAAGGACGGGCACCCAGAACAATGCAGTCGCAGCATTCCAGGTGAGTGTCCTGGCCCGTGTCCCCAACCCTGCCACAAGGAACACCCTGAGTTCTTTTGGGCTGGAACTGGAGGAATAACATCTCTGAGGTCTCCCCGAAAGACGGGACCCCGGGGCAAACCCTTCTGGGCCACCTGCAGTCCAGGCCTCACCTCTCAGCCGCAGCGCTGGCTGCCGCGTTCATGGCGAAGTGGCGGATGGTGCTTTCCTCCAGGTACTTCTGCTCCCACCGCGTCTTATCGGCCTCCAGCGCCAGGATCCGCTCCTCCTTCTCGCGCAGCAGCTCCAGGAGGGCTGGTGCGTTGGGCTCGGGTCCGCCTGCCCGCTGGCCTGCCCCATGTTTCTGCAGAAGTACCAGAGGCCCCAGCATCTCCTGAGTCTGGGCTTCCCAAGTGCCAATCTGGTCAGACACTGCACCCCGACCCCCAACACTGCACACAGGTGACCCAAAGAGGGAGGAAGGCCAGCAGGGTGACCCCGACTACACAGCACCACTGTCCTACCCCACATGGGGACAGAAAAGGCACCACATGCCTCAGCAGCCACCGCCCACACGGGTGAGCATCTCTTGAAGAGTCCGGGCCCCTCTGCAGAGTGTGGGCACATGCCGACAGGCAGAGAGCTTGCACAGGGCAGCGCTGTCAGCCTCAGCCTCACAGGGTCCAGGACGGCCTGCGAGGAGCCCGCTATGGGTGGGTGAAGCAATGGCTGAGAATACTCCAGGCACAAGGTCAGCTAAGCCCAGAGAAGCCTCCTCTGGGGCCTGTTCCCTCCCGGATCAAAGATGATCATCCAATTCACGTCACCCATGCTGGCTCCTTGACCCCACTGATCTTACAGCCTCCAGGGCAGGGCAGCGTCTGCCTCAGAGACAGCCTTCAGCTCTCGGCCATGTCCACACACACACACACACACACACACACACACACACACACACACACAGACTCACATGTACTAACACATTCACACACTAACACACACACTTGTACACACTACAGAGTAACTTAAACACACACATTTGCACATTCACAACACACTGACTCACACGCACTAACATAGTCACCCACTAACACGCTCATTTACACACATTAACAGTAACTTGAGCTGGAGCGATAGCACAACGGGTAAGGTGTTTGCCTTTCACGCGGCCGACACGGCTGACCCGAGTTCGATTCCTCTGCCCCTCTTGGAGAGCCCGGCAAGCTACCGAGAGTATCTCGCCCGCACGGCAAAGCCTGGCAAGCTCCCCGTGACGTATTCGATATGCCAAACACAGTAACAAGTCTCACAATGTTACTGGGCCCGCTCGAGCAAATCGATGAACAACGGGAGGACAGTGACATTGACAGTAACAGTAACTCAGATGAACACACATTTGCACACTCACAAACTCTCACATACATTCACACACTCACGCACACTAACACATTCACACACCAACACACTCTTACTCATTTACACGCACTAACAGTAACTCAGATGCACACACTCCCACATTCATACGCACTGACTCAAACTAACACAAGCTCTGTCCTTATGGGCTGTGCCTACACTTCTGCACACCTCCAGCGCCTTGTCCACACGGGCATGCCCTTTCTCCCGAGTGAAGGGTCCAGCTGTAAGCCCCACTCCAGCCCACCCTCCCTGAAGGGACAGCTTCCTTCTGTCCCTGGGCCACCCCTACACCTCACCCCTCCCCTGCTGAGACTCCATGCTTCGCTCTCGCCTGCTGGGACCCCACCTCACCCTCCCCTGCTAGCTCCCAGGACTGCCCTCACCTGCTGAAACCCACACCCCGCCCCGCTGCGGGCCCCGACCCTGCCCCACCTGCTGGGCCCTCAGTGCATCCAGCTCCCGCTCCAGCCAGGTGCGCAGCCTCTGCTCCATCTGCTCGCGCTTCTCGCAGGCCGCCTGCAGCTGGTACAGGGCCTGCTGCAGGTTCTCCACCTTCTCCACGTACGCCTGCTTCTCCCGCAGCTGCGTCAAGGGCAAGGGCATGGTCAGAGAAGAGGTGCTGGAAGCTGGACAGGATGCCAGAGGGTTCAGAAACCAAGGCCTGGGCAGCTGCTAGCTGTCCGAGCCCACCGCTGGGCCACGCTGTTCACTACAGGCCACAAGGAGGGAAGTAGGGTGGACAGAAGGCCATGGGGGACGAGGAAATGCTGCTTCTATGCTGAAGGGGAAAATCGAGCAATAAAGTTGTAAGTGGGCTGGGAAGACGGTTCCCAAGGCCATGGAGGAGTCCTGGGTCAGCTCTGGTTCCATGTAGCCGCTCAGGCACGCTGCTGTGGCTCCAGCAAAATCTGTCATGTAGAACCTCACCACAGCCATTGTAGGGCAGGATTTGTCTGGCAAACACACGTATGTGCAAGGGCTAAAACGACAGACACTGTGTGTGTGTGTGTGTGTGTGTGTGTGTGTGTGTGGGCGCGCGCAGGAACTAGAACAACAGGCACTGTGTGTGTGGGCATGTGTGTCTGTGGGTGTCTGTGTGTGTGTGCAGGAACTAGAACGACAGGCACTGTGTGTCTGTGGGTGTCTGTATGTGTACGTGTGTCTGTGTGTGTGTTTGTGTGTGTGTGCGCGCGCATGTGCATATGTGGGTCGGTGCCTGGGCCTAGAGTGTGATGAGCAGCCTCAGTCACCCAGGCCTGTGAGTGAGGGTGGGCAGGGATAGGTAGGAGAGGAGGGAACGTGGGCAGGCGTGAGCACAGGAACAGGCCCGCCCACCCCCCTCTGCAGGCCACCGGTGCCCATAATCTCAGGCCGCTCTGCAGCAGGTGGCGGAGACCCTGGCTGGAACGAGGGCTTGGACCCCAGGAGGGGCACAGGAGCCACCTATGGTGCCTAGCGGTGCCCAGCTGGCAGCATCACCAGGAGCTAGTTTCTGGCGAGTTCTACAACAGAGCCGCCTTTGACCCTCAGTCTGCCTGGAGGGCCAGCCACAGCCTGGGCCCCGTCCTGGCCCTGTCAAGCACTCACGGCCTGCACTTGAGCGAAAGGCTGGAGAAACCACCTCTTCTCTCCATTCCACACCTGCTGACAGAGTCCCACGGGGACTCCAGAGGCCACTGGCCTCCCACCCCCGCGTCCCAGGTCATTCTGGGGTGTGTTCCTCGATTCACGAGTCTCAGTGGGACCAGCAAGATGCCCTGGGCTGGGAGCTGGGCACAGGGGTGGGCAGCTGGAGCTGAGAAGTAGGTTCCCCTGGGCTTCGTCTGCTGCCTGGCTGGGGCACAGCGGCCCTGGCCCTGCCTCCTGTCTTCGACAGCTTTCTGCTGAGCACATGCCCGTGTCCAGGCCAGCTGCGTGTCCACAGGCACCTGCCTTCCCCGCCTTACCTCCTCCTCCAGCTTTATGACCCTGCCCTGGGCATTGCTCAGTGCCTGCTCCAGGATCTCAATGTGCCTCCGGTGGTCCTCACTCGCAGTCCGCACTGCCGCCAGCTCCATTTCCAACTTCTCCTTTTCCTTCAAGAATTCTCTATCTGGAAGGGAGTGAAGGACAAGCCTTGCTTTGGAGAGCCCAGGCCTGGGGCTGCCAGCCAGGACAGAAACAAGGGGCGTGTGGTTAGCTTGGCGGGCTGCGCAGTGAGGGAGTGTCCCGGTCCTGCTGAAGGCTCAGAGACGGTGGGCACCCTGTGCGTCCCCCCCTCAGTGCCCCCGGGCCTACGCGTCCCCCTGAGCTCTCACATGTCCCCCCTGGGCCTCATGCCCCTTGCTCACAGGCCTGAGATCCAGCCAGTGAAGAGCCCCATCAGACAGAGGGAGGGGGGGCGGGGGGCAGGGTCCTGCTCAGCAGGGCAATTGGCCAATGCTCAGGGTTCAGGGAAGCTGCTGTCCTCTTGCCCAGTGACGGGCGCCTGTGGCACACGCAGGAGGGCCCTGGGGCCACAGAACCCCCAGCACTCCCTGGACCATTCCCCAAGCCAAGGCCATGCAGCCGGTCCCAACAGTCCATTTAGGTGGCTCAGGACAGGATGAAACGACCCAAAAGGACGCCAGGCCACTGGTTCTCACACTTGCAGTGAACCTGCCGGCTGGCACGGGGCCTGGATGGGCAGTGGGAAACTGTTGGGCTTCCTCATGAGCCCCACTAGCTCAGGGCCAGCACCAACACCAGAGAAGGGCCAGGACGGCAAAGTCTGTAGGGGTGCCCGTCGGCGGGAGGCTGACCCCTGGCCATTCCAGACACTGCTCTCTGAGCCTACCTGTGCCACAGCCTGGCCTGTCACCCGGTCCTCCTCAGCCCAGAGACACGGCATGTATGCATGCACACACAAACTCATGGGCACACACACTCATGGGCACAACTCAGATACACACGCACATTTGTACACACATACACAAGAATCCCAGCACCCATCTTCCCCTGGAAGACTGGGACAGCTTCAACCACTCGAAGCCTCTGTCCCTCCTAGCTCATGGGGAAGGACATGTCTCCATTACAAGCTGCGAGGCCCTGGCTCCAGACAGTCCCCACACCTGGGCATCTCAGCTACTGTTTGCATCACCATAGCTCCCTGGGCGGAGAGAGTGGCTAGCACCAAGAGTCACCCCACCCAGTACCTTGTGTACTGACAGTTCATGTCCACCACGCCTGGGTACTAATGCTCACCCTCTCACCGTGTACTGATAGTTCACATTGAACTCCACCTGAGTATACTCACCCCCACCCCCACCTGAGTACTGATGCTCACACCCACTCATACCCGAGTACTGACACTCCCAATCACCCCTCACCTGAGTACTGATGCTCACATTCACCCCCACCCGAGTTACTGACGCTCACACTCCACGCCCATCTGAGTACTGATGCTCGAACTCACTCCCACACAAGTACTGATGCTCACCCTCACCCCCACCTGAGTAATCATGCTCACACTCACCCCCACCTGAGTACTGACAGCTCACCCCCACCTCCACCTGAGTACTGACGCTCACACTCACCCCCACCTGAGTACTGACACTCAGCACCATCCCCACCTGAGTACTAACGCTTATAACCCCTCATCCATGTGCTGATAGTTCACACCATCTGGGGCTCTGTAGTGTTCCTTAGGGGTGGGAGTGCAGTTGGTGGCCAGAGGCTTTCCAGCTGCTGGCCTGGGCCATGAGCAGACATAGAACGTCTTAGCAGGACGGGGGCCAGGCTACAGGGTCCAGGTTAGTGTCTCTCCCAGTGCTCCCTCATGCTGCTGGGACATTTAAAGAGCAGGGAGAGTCCAGACGAGGGTCCCCTGGGAGGAGCCACCTCGAGAAGCCCCCGTCAGTATTCTGAAATGCATCAAGGATGGGCGAGGCGCAGTCTGGGGCCTGGGTGCTTTCGTGAACAGCTCCTTACATGCACGGAGTATCTGTGCTTCTCAGTTTTGCCAAGCGTGGCCCCATCTCACAGCACCCCTGTCTCACGCTGGGTCTCCAATTACACGTGATTTTCTATGGGATACTCTGGGGGCCCACAGGGGGTCATATGGCCCTTGGTTAAGAAACGCTGGCTTCTGCCCACTGTCTGGGCCCTGCAGAATGTTCCTATGCGCCTTGAATCTGAGGAGGTCCCATTACTTCTCCATGTAAAATAACAGTAACAGGATCCCTGAGCTCTCCCCTGCCAGTAAGCACCAAATCATACCACAGAAGAGGTTATTCTACATCACAGGCACTGCCGGACAAAGCTCGTGGCCCAGGTGGGCAGCCTATGATGCTGGGTGGCACGTGCCCTCACGGGAGCAGAGCAAATGACTCTGCCACAGCTGAGCAGGGCTGGCAGGCCTGGGTTCTGGGTCGTAAATAAAGACCCCAAATGGGGAGGCCCAAGTGAACCAGTCTCCTTAGCAGCCTGAAACAGCCTGATTCCAATGTAAAAGCCCTCACTGGTGAGCCTGATTCCAATGTGTGACCCCTCACTGATCAGTCCAATTCTGATATTCAGACCCCACACACATATTCCTTGCAAACATCTAGATCCTGGTCAATAGTCTCTCAAAACTGTTGGATGATACGATCTGCCTCTGGTGACAAGGAAATACTCTCCGCACAGACCTTGAGGCCCAGGAAGGGTCCCTGGACTGTTGGAAGGAGCACCGCATGGGGATGGAGCCCCAGTGCAAGGAAGGTTGATGCAGCTGGTAATGTCCAGCGGAGAGTATGGCAGGACTGGGAAGCCCCAGTCCCAGCCGCTTCCTCTTCAGAGAGGAGGCGTGAGCCTCAGGCCTGCAGCCGTGGAGGCTTCCCCTGGGGGTCATGGAGACTGTGCACAGAAAGGGGAGCGAGGAAGGATGCTGGGACCACCCTTATCTCGAGGCCGGGCAGCAGATGTGCCAGCTACCAAAACAGAGCTGACCTAGACCCCTGCAGCCAACAGGGGCCTTTCCGAGGCAGCAAAGGGACAGGCAGCAGGGCCCGGGTAGTGTGGGGCCGGGCAGTGGGGTGGGTAGTGGGCCGGACAGTGGGCCGGGCAGTGGGGCCAGGCAGTGTGAATGAAGTGGGCAGTGTGAGGCCGGGCAGTATGGGATGTGCAGTGTGAGGTCGGGCAGTGGAATGGGCAGTGGGGCGGGCAGTATGGGATGAGCAGTGTGGGGCCAGGCAGTGGGCTGTGTAGTGGGCTGGGCAGTGGGTCGGGCAGTGGGTCAGGTCAGCAGCAGGACTCACTCTGCGACGCGTAGAGACCCTCCGCTGCTCTCTCCTGTAGGCCATCATGCCCCAGGCCGGACAGCTGCCTGTTGGCGGTCTCCAGGCGATCTGCGCAGGAGAGGGGATGGTCAGCGAGACCCACACCACACCAGGAGGGCTGGGTAGGGCCCAAAGCAGCCCCCGAGGATGAGCCACATGCCTCGGAGGTCTCGGTTGAAGTCGTGCAGCCGCCGGATCTCGCCTTCGAGCTTGTCCCTCATGGCCTTGTCTAGAGACTCGCGCTTGCTGCTGGACCTGACCAGGCTCTCGTAGGCCTCGGAAATCCTCTGGAGCTCTTTCTCAAACTGAAATAAATGGGTGTCTGAGTGGGGACTGGGAAGCCCCCACACCAGGACTCTGGCAAAGAGCGAGCTCCTGGCACGCCAACACCGCAGACATCCGCATGGAAGTTAGGGTCGGGAGCAACACCCCCGCAGTGGTGGTCTCAGGCTCCCGCAGAAGCATGGCCACGGGCAGGCGTCCCCAGCAGGACACACCCCGCTGGGCAACTCTGTGTTCACAAGGTGGGACTTTGCTTTTAGTTAGGGCCCCATCGGCGATGCCCGGGGGGTGAGTCTTGGCTCTGCACTCAGGGGTCGCTCCAGGTGGTGCCCAGGGGACCGAGCCTGGGTCAGGCGTGTGCAAACAAGGCCAGCACCCTCTCCACATTCTCTCTCTCCAGCCCTCCGGGCTGGTTTTCTGTACGGCAGAAAACGTCTTTTAAGGAATCAACAGGAAGTGGAGTAAAGGCAGGCGACCCTGCCTGAGCTGAGGACTGGAGCGGGAGGCCTGGAGACACAGCTCATAGCAACTCAGAGGGAGCCGAGGCGCAGCAGGGCGTGTCTCATCCCACCAGGCTCGTGGCAGGCGCGAGAGTAACTGACTACTGTTGGGAAGCACCCTGGGAAGTATCTGCAAACAGGAAGTCTCCATCACTGCTGGCGGCAGCTGGAAGCAGAGGCGAGGGCACGGCCCATACTCCGTGCTTCTCACGCTCTCACCTGCCCAGTCCCTACACCCCTCGGGAGGGCTATGAGCCAGTGCCCAGCCAGCCTGTCTCCCGGGCACAGACACCCTACTGGGTTGACCCCCGGGCACACATGGGGGTGGGCCATTTCCTGCCAGTCCTCAGCACCCCAGAGCCACCCCAGCCCCTCAGCAGGGCTGGTCTTGGGCCAACGCACATTTCCGTGGCCCACGTGGCTGTGCGTCCCGGTCCCGTGGCTGCAGTCTCCGCTCCTCTCAGCAGTGCCACCGCTGGGCACCTTCTCCTGAAACTCGGCCCCTGCCCGCCTCACCAGCCAGTACCTTGTGCAGCTTCTCGGAGCTGTCGCAGTGGGCCTGGAGCTCCTGCTGCAGCGCCCGGTTCTCCTTGGTCAGGATCTCCACCATCTGCTGGGCCCGCTCCACGATGGCCAGGGCGTCAGGGCCCAGCTGCGGACCCGGGGAGGCGGCTGGCAGCGGCGGGGGCAGGGCTGCCAGGGCCACGGGCAGTGGCAGCGGCAGGGAGACTGAGTGCAGAGGCCCACTGACCACAGAGGCCTGGGAGGGCACAGGGCTGTGCGGTGGGACCGTGGCCGGGAAAGGCAGCTGGCACGGGCGGCTGCAAGGACAGAGAACAGCACTCAGGTTGGGCACGTGGGTGGCACGGCCCAGTCAATGGGCACCGCCAGGGCGGGGTGGCGCCCTCACCCCTCTGGCAGGATGGACGTCCCTGCTTCCAGCACCCTCCTGGGGAGAGACAGGTGTGGCGCCCAGCGATGCAGAAAGTGTCCACTACCAAGAAGCCGCGTGTCTCCTGCCAAGGGCAGGGCAGGTGGGCAGGGGCACAGGCACCTGAAATACCCCTCTGGCAGTCAGCCAGTGGTCAGCAAGTGCCTTAACCTGCCTTCACCGGAAACTGGGGTAGGGGGACTCCTGCTCAGAAGTCCAGCGTGGGAGCTAACTGAGGCGGCCCAGATAGCACCACGAGAGGTGTAAGGACTCTCCTCTCTGAGGTGCGGGAGGCCAGTACATGGGGTCAGGAGCCACAAATGGGCCCCACCCCACTTATGCCTCCAGCCTCTGCCTTGAGGAGTCCCATCCTCGCCCCTCCTGCAGCTAGTATGCATAGCCACGAGCTGTATTCTCATAGACAACAGGGCCACATATGCCATGTGCCAGATCCTCACAGACGACAAGGCCACACACAGCCATGTGCTGGATTCTTAGACGACAGGGCCACGCGTGCCATGTGTCGGATTCTCACAGACTGCAACTCCGCTCAGCGCAAGCATCACAGCCTTGTTTACTCTGGGGAAGCAGGTCAGACCCTGCAGGCTGAGCTTACCTTGGCTCTGCATTCAGGAGTGATTCCTGGCAGCGCCAGGACCCAAACCAGGGGGGACCACATGCAAGGTAAATGGCTGACCTGCCACAGGGTCTCTGGCCCCCCACTGCCCACTCCAAAGGCTCATGGTCCTCCCGGCAGACCAGAGCCCCCGTCTCCAGAACATGCTCTGGTCACACCGCTGCACGGCCCAGACGTGTGGTGTTTCCAGGGCCCCGGCGGGGTCCACAGCACACTCCACCCCATCTAAAGGGGTCAGGCCTCCTGCCGAGCACTGCAGGCTGCAAGCAAGGCAGCGGCTGAATGGATGCAAGCAGACACAGCAAATAAGTACTCAGCACGAAATAATGCAAAAGGGACCAGGGAGGCAGCTCGGGGGTTGAGCACACACTGTGGGCACGGGAGCCCCTTCGCCTTCGCTTCAATCCTCAGCACCTCTGGGAGGGGCCCTGAGCACCAGCAGGATGATCTCAGAAACAGGGCACAGATTCCCACTGTGCTATGTGCGCATGTGCTGTGTCCCTGAAGCTTCAGCAATAAGCACGTCACGGTCATTCAGGAACAATCTCAGACAAATCAGCACAAACAAGTCAGGGGGAAAGAGGCTCAGAGACTGTACAATTCAGAACAGAGTGGAAAATGAGAACAAAACCCCCCAAACTATCTCTCCCCAAACCACAAGGACCCACTGGACCTCCCAGTAAGACTCGTCCTGGTGCACACAGACTCAACCCAGAAGACCACAGTCCAAGAGACAGGGACGGCGGTCACTGATGGCTGTGCCACAGCTGATCCAAGAGGCCACTGTGAGAACAGGATAGTGGTCACTTAATAGCTGTGTCACAAGGTGCTCCAAATGGTCACTCAGAGGATGGGGATGGAGACCACTCACAGCTGCATCACAACTGGCATAAATGGCCACCGTGGGGACGGCATGGCGGTCACTCACAACTGCTTCACAGGTGGCCATGTGGCCACTGTGAGGATGGGGGTGGTGGTCACTCACACTGTGGCACAGCTGGTCAAAGTGGCCACCATGAGGACAGGATGGCAGTCACACATGCTGCAGCCCAGTTGAACTGTGTCTGTCCTGGGAGTGAGCTCATGTGGCCACCCCTGGAGACCCTGTGTTTCTCAGGAGAGTTAGCACTCAGCTCAGTCAAGTAAAATCCAGCTTCGAATCTGGTGGAGCTGAGTTCTGACTCTGGAGCTCATGTGTAGGGCCAGGCCTCGCTGGGTGGGCGTCCCACATGAGAGTCGCCCTTCCACTGCATAAGAGGCCAGTCAGCTTCGCTGTTAGAAGCCTGTGAACTGCAGCATAGTCCTTTCTCCTGCGTCTCCCACTCAGCGACCAGACCACCAGGTAGAGCCCCTCCAGCCCAGCACTTTACAGATGAGGCTGCCGTGGTCTGAGGGCCTCTCCCTGCACCATCACTGCCCCCACGGAATGTCGCTGACAGACTCTGGTTGGGATGGGGAGCGGGATCCAAGGCAACAGCAGCTGTGGGACGGGCCTTGAGGGTTCCCTCCACCCCCCACTCCTGCCCAGTGAGAGGAGGGGCCTGGGGGGCCCTGAGGGAGGAGGGTCCATGCACAGAGGCCTGTGCCCTCCGCCTCACTTGTGCACAGCAGGTGCCTCCACCCGAGTCCTAAGGTGCCCCTGCAGGGGTCAGCCATCACACACACCCTTAGGAAGGCGCTGCCCATGCCGTGTGCTCCTTCATGACGAGTGTCGCAGGAGCGAGCAGCTGCCTGCTCCCTGCAGCTGGACAGCCACGAAAGGAAGGGCCAGCCCGGGCAGCTCAGTCGGCTCGGGTGGGGTCAGAGGGGGCAGCCCAGGCGTTGCCCTGACACCCCACCCAATTTCTCTCCACATGACACTGGGGCCATGGTGAGAGGGGACAGCGGGGCCGGGGGCAAGAGGGGACACAGCTGGGGGACATCCAGAGCCCAGCAGCAGAGAAGACTTTTGGGCTCCCAGGACAGCCCAGCTGGCCACCACACCGCAACCAGGCTGTGATGGTCCATGTCCCAGGGAACCTGGCCGAGGCTCCCCGAAGGGCTGACCTCTGTGTCCCTGTCACATCCATGGGCGGCCATGTCTGGGCATCAAGTACAATGCCCCCATGGGAATTTTGATTTCCAACCAACTCTGGAGGCCGAACCAAACCCTCAGAGGCGAGTGCGAGAATCCACAAGAGTGACTGTTACCAAAAAAGACAGAGGGCGTGGTGGGGCTGTTGCCTCCTCTTCAGAGACAGGCCTACCTTCCTGGGGCTGTCCCCAAGCCCCACCAGAAGCAAGACCTGAGCACTGCTGGGTGTGACACAAAAACCAAAACCAACAGGAGCCCTGGCCAGAGAGGACAGGTTTGCACCCAGCACCACAGGGTCACCGAGCATTGCCAGGAGTGGGCCCCGAGCGCAGAGCTGGAGGGACTCTGAGCACTGAGGGAGCAGCCTTGGACACTGTATGTGGGGTCCCACCGGGGCCCCAGCAGTCCCGAGGGCAGGGCACACTGCAGTGTGGCTCCTTCAGCTCCCTGTACAGGACAGGTGAGTCCCCCTGCACCGCACCGACAAGCAGGATCTCACGGAGTCCCATCCTTTCCCTCGAGACCCCGTTAGTGATGGTGCATCTCCAGGCCCTGGGAGCATCTGGAAGCCGGCCAGACCTGGGCTCTCCCTGGTCCATGCCTCGGCCACCCCCTCAACACCCCCAGGCCTCACCCACGGGGACACTCACTCATCTGGGAGAGACATGACACCCCCAGCTCCCTGCAGGTCCCCCTAAACTGCCATCATGACAAGACAGAAGATGCCGGGAGGTCCTGGGACAACCCCAGCAGTGGGAGGAGGGACAGGCGCGGGTCAGCAGGTAGGTGGGAGCACTGCTGGGGGTGGGGGCAGTTCCCTGGGGCCCCCAGCCCAGCTCCAGCCTCACTCCCTTCCTCCCTCCGCCCTGCAGTCTGCCCCAGACAGGGAGGCTCCTCGCTCGCTGACTCAGTTCTGTACCCACGGGAGGGACCCCCAGCTGCAGCCTCACCTGGTGACCCCGTACTCCGGGGGTGGCTGGTAGCGCAGGACGGCCACCTCGGTCCTCACAGGCTGGGGCGCCGGGTAGGGCTTGAGCAGCTCCGGCAGCATGCCCGCGTGCTCAGGGCAGAGCAGGCCCAGCTCCTGGGGCTTGCCCACGGCGGCCATCGCGGGCTTGCTCTTGAAGGGGTACTCAGGGGGCGGGCCCCGGGGGTCCTTGCCGGCGGGCGGGGCCGGGGGCGCCTTCCCGGGGCCACCGCGCTCCAGGGACATCTGCATGATGCGCTCGCTGAGGGAGCGGACGTGGCCCTGCTTCAGCTCCCTCAGTGCCTCATCCTTGAGCGCCTGGCCGCTGTGGGCGCGGCTGACCGACGGTCGGCCCTCGGAGCGTGCCGGCTGCCCGCCACCCGCCCGGTAGTAGCCCTGCGGCGGCCGGAAGAGCTGGGACTGCGCCTTGGCCTCCTCGTACGTGGGCAGATCCTCGCCGGGCGGCGGCACGGGTCGCGCCTGCTTCTCCATGGCCGCGCCGTCCACCTGGTGCTCCTGGCCCTGCGGTTCCTGGCGCGCCGACTGGTGGACCATTGGTGGGTCTTCCGGGGCGAGGTTCTCTGTGGAAGGGAAGCCGGGAGGGCGGGCCGGCCCTGCGCTGCCCGTGGCCTGCTGCTGGAGGGCCAGCAGGCTCATGGTCTCAGTCGGGGGCCCATAGCGCAGCTGCTCCTGGATCAGCCGCTGCAACACGGTTCCAGGGGCCGCGTCCTCCGACCCTCTCATCTCCACCTCTGAGACCCTCGGGAAGCTCCCGGAGCGGGGGTTACACAGAGGGTCCTCGCCTGGAAGAGAGGTGGGGAGGTCACCGGCCGCCCCCGTCCCTCTGTTCCCACCTCTGACCCCTTCCCTGTGTGATAGCCGCACATCCCCGGCCAACTTCTCAGTAAGGACAAACTGACCCCAAAACCAAGCAAAAAGAAGCTGCATCGGACACACTCATGCCTGCTGGCTGCGCCCTCCGCCCCTCCGCCCCCCCCACCCCCCGTCCTGCAGTGCCATACCTGATCCTCAGCTCTGGTCAGCGCTGAGACCCCAGGGCCATGACCTGAGCAACCCCACATCGGGTGACATGGCACAACGCACATTTCCCCCGCCCCCACTGGGTCCTGCTCCCCTTCCTGGCTCCGCCCTGCCTCTTGGGGCCTTTTCCCCACCTGCCTCACCTGGTCTGCATGTCCCCAGGGGATCTTGGCCAGCCAGCTGAAAAGCGCGATGTCAGAGCCCAGAACTGGGGCTAGACACAGTGCAGGACATCACCAGGCCCCACAGTGCTGGGCTCAACACCACGTCCTGCATGTATGCATATGCCCCATCCGAACATCCTTCCCTGCGAAAGTCTTCGCTGTCGCCCAGGCTGCACCCCTCACGGTTGGGGGCACTAATGACAGCAACGTGGCAGGTGGTACACACAGGCCCCAGCCAGTGCAGCGCACACCCTCGCTGCAGGAGCACCCTAGGCTGCCCTAACTTCAAGACAGAAATAATGCCTCCTGGGCCCGGCCTCTGGCGGCTGCTTTGTCACACGAATTCTGTCACTTCCTCTGTAGAATTAAAGCCCAAGGGAAGAGTTTTGTTCGATCCCCAAGCTGTGCCTGAGTAACAAGTAACACTCTTTAGTAACAAGACACAGTAGCACTCGTACCAAACCAACACGCATGTACTCACACCCACACTACACACATCCACACTCACATATACATATAAACCACAGTCATCACACACAGCCACCACATACACTCAGTCACCACACACACAGTCACTACGCACAGTCACTACTCACACAGTCACACACAGTCACCATACACACAGTCACCACAGTCACAGTCACCACAGTCACAGTCATCACCACAGAGTCACCACACAATCACCACACACACAATCACCACACATACTCAGTCACATACACTCAGTCACCACACAGTCACCACACACATTCACACATACCACCCTACATCCACCCCACACAGATATACACCACAATCACCACACACACTCAAACATACCACACACACCACACATATTCATAGTCACTACACATGCATACCACACACACACTGCATATACTCAATACTCAGAGTCACCACTCATACATACCACACTCACACCACATATATTCCATCACCACATACTCACACACACACAAGCACACACGCACCACACATACTCAGTCACCACAGCACTCAAACATACATACACTTGTAACACCACACAGACAATCACACTATACACACACACACACTCAGCTCTTAAAGCCACACTGGGTGTGACTCAACTGCTCTCCCTCCCAAAAGAAACTCCCAAAAAACCTTTGTTTTGTTTTTGTTTTGGGTCACCCCTAGCAGTGCTCAGGGCTTACTCCTGGCTCTGCGCTCAGGGATCACTCGCAGTGGGCATGGGAGACCTTATGGGCGCTGGGGGTCAAACCTAGGTAGGCTGCATGCAAGGTAAAGGCCCTACCCCCGTCCTATCATTCTGGCCCCAATGAAACATTTTAGCATAGCTCCTTGGAAGCCCACACAGAGAAGCTGCCAAACGGCTGTGCTAATGAGGACGCCTTGCCTTCGCCGGCTGCCAGCACCTGCTGCCTGTTCCTTCCACATACACGGGTGGGCGGGGGAGAAGGGAAAGGTCTCACCCTCGGGGCAGCTAATCCCCAAAGGATGCAGCAAACACAAGTCAAAATTAACGATTCTGAAGAAAAATTCAAACAAAACGTAGTTCCCCACAGACAAGATCTTTGGGGGATGATGAAGAGCTGGCATCTCATCCAGCGTGCCAATGAACTTTCATTTCATCCCTTTCATGAGCTCCTTTGCCAGAAATCTGGACTCTCCCTACAGATCCCCTCACGGCTTTACCTCAGAAGTCCTCACATACAGGCAGGAAGTTCTTTAAAAAGGCCACAGTCCCTCCCAGCAACCACTCTGAATGTCTTTGGAACCTCCCATTTACTCGCAGAGATCAAAAAGAAAGCAAAGAGGAGAGAAGAAATGAAACGTCCTGGAGAGGCGAGAAGTGCACTGCCGAGGCATGCAGGTTTGACACACACTGTCCTACAGTCAGTGCCACGGCAGGGCTGACGCAAGCACGGCGGAAAGCCTGTGCAGAGGCGCCTCGGCCCAGACTTACCGGCCTTGGCCCTGACGTCCGTCACGTCGGCCTCCGTCAGCGCGGCCGTGCCATGCCTCCCGGAGAAGACCTGGAAGAAGGCGCCGGGATCTTCTAGAGCTAGCACGGGATCGCTAGGGCTGTAGCAGGCTGGACCTGGGGGAGCAAAGTGGGGGTCAGTGCCCGGGAAACCCTCCCCGCTTCCTGTGTGACTCACCCCAGCTCCCAGGGCCCGGAGCTCCTTCTGATCCAGAAAATTCCAAAGTGACAGCTTACACTTATCGCCAGCCCAGCCACCCACTGCCACGACAGAGGCCAAAGCCACGGCCAGTGAGACACTTTCTAAACACCCCCACTGGAGGGACGCACAAAGTCCCCCCAGACCAAGTCAGGGGACAGTCTGGAGGGACCGCAGGAGGGGGTGGAAGCAGGAGGGAGCAGAGGGAGGCTGTGCCCGGCTCTGGTTCACAAGAACACCCGCCCCGGCCCAGAGGATAGGGTGCCCCCGGCCCTGAGCCCCGCATGACCACACAGCGGTCCGGCTCTTGCTCTGGCTGATTTGCTTCCCACTCCCATGCAACGGTGGGAGACAGCGCGGACCCCTAACCACTCAGCCAGGGCACACCCCGCCAGGTCTCCTGACTGGGTAAAAGAAACTTGCTCCCCCATGGCAAAAAGCTCCCTTGTCACACTGGGCACTTGGCCCAGAGAAGCTCCTTTGAGAAGAAAAACATTTTCCAGAGGCTGCAGAGATACTACAACAGACTAGGCGCTCGCCCTGAATGCAGCTGACCTGGGTTTGATTCCCGGAATCCCCAATGGCCCCCAAGCACCGCCAGGTGTGGACCCCAAACAAACAACAACAGATTTTTCCAGAATCCCTTCAAACCGGTCACTTGAAATGTCTAGTTCAGTGGCTATTGAACGGTTCCCCCAAGGCCAGTGCTCGTCGTTGGGAAGGGGACGGCTGAATTCCTGCTGGGGCCACCTCCTGCACCAAGAACGTCCTGTTCACTGGCTCTGCTGCTGCTCCCCTCGCAGCCCTGTAGGACATCCCTCGCTCAAGGGCGGTGGAGATGCTACCTGCCACCCATGCGGTGGAGCACACAGTGATGAGAGGGGGAGTGGACAGGGAATGGGCAGTTGGTGGGGCTGTACAGCTGTGGCCAACCTGGGAAGCTGACGGGGCTAGAGAGAGAGTCCTGGGCAGGGGGGCGATGCACTGGCCTTGCACATGGCTATCTGGGCACAACCTCCAGCACTGCCTGGGGGCCCCCCAGCTGAGCTGGGAGGAAGGCCTGAGCACCCCTGGGTGTGGCCCAAACCTCTCCCCCAGAAGGAAAAACTGAGAAGCTAAAGATAGCACTAACCTAAGATCCTCAATCCCACTTCTGGGCATCTCCCCAAGGAACACGAGAACCTCCAGGCAGAGAGCGAGTGCCTGAGTGAACACTGCAGCTCTGTCAGAGGCAAAGCGCCGTGAGGGAGGCAGACCGAGGAGGTGGGAAACTCAGCTATTGAAAGATGAACCGGACGGAAGGCGCTCGAGGAAACTGTGGCGAGCGGAGTAAGTCAGGCGTCCAAGATCAGCTCTGGGTGACCTCACCCACGTGGGCCAGGCAAGGATTTCAACAGCAGAGCAGACAAAACCATAAAAACCAACAGGGAGCACTGCAGAGGGAGTGAAGCTGCCCAGGAAGAGGGAGAGGAGGGACGGGGAGGGCTGGGAAGTGCTTGCCTTCCACGCCCCGCCCCCGCCCCGCCCCCATATACCAGGAGTGGTCCCACCTGGCACCACTTTCCACTGTGCTGGGCAGAGAAGCTCCTCTGGCCTCATTTCAGAGTCCACGAGTATGGACCCTGGAGAGGACATGGCCCCGGGAGCAGGGGCAGCCAGGCCTCGCGCCTGGAAATGGTGCTGAAGGAGCTGGGGAGGGTCGAAGGGTTCCATCCTATGGGAAGCCAGGAACTGGGGTGGGGCCCAAGCCCGAGCATGACCTTCTCTGCTCCCAGGAACTGCTTGCTGAGGTCGAGGGTTTCAGGGAGAAGAGAGGGCCTTGCAGTAATTCTCATCCCATGGGTTCTTTGGTTTTGTCTTGTTTTGGGCCCCATCTGGTGGCACTCAAGATCACCCCAGGCAGTGTCACGGTATAATATGGGATGTCGACTCGGCCACGTGCAAGGCAAGAGCCCTCCCCGCTGTGCTCTCTCTCCTGCCATCCCACATGGGCCCCTGAGTCCTACTGCCCGCACAGGTGAGTGTTGGGGCACATGGGGCGGTGTCAGCGTACACATCCAGGCTAGCCAGCTGGTATGATGCCCCCACCAGCACCTCACCATCCAGGCCCTCACCTGAGCCCGGTGCTTACACATGCCCCCTGTGGACCCTTGTGGTGGGCACAGGAAGGGGATTCTCAGCAGGCAGGGGTCTGCCACTCACACTAGCACTCCAGGTTCCAGCGAGCATGATCCCAAAGGTGCTCAGGGCATCGGCACTGAACAGGCTGCCACAAATATATGCCAACAGAATTAAGGGACATTCCAAGCTGCGGGTTCAAACGGCCCTTTCTAGGGGTGGCTGGTGGGCAGATCCTGAGATTCTTGGCCACCAGACCAGTAGATGGGTGGTCTGCCAGGGCCGTGGTCTACTCTGGCCCCACATACTGAGGTTCACCCACACCAGCTCCAGGGTTGCCTCCTGCTCAGGGAATGTGTGGGACCCAGGCTGCCTGCAGGGTGATGTCCTGAGCCCTTAGGGCCTCTCTGTCCCTGGAGATAGGTTCTTGAATCGACGGAACTTAGGTCCAAGGTGAGATTCCGACAAGTGTAACTGCTGGTCTGAGCCTCCTGGGCAGATCTGCAGTGTCCTCCCCAGCACTCCTGTGTGGGAGGCAACTTTCCCCTCCCTGCCTCCCCTTTCCTCATCCTTCTCTGCGTGAGTAGAGAACACTGCACCCCTATGCTCTGGGTCCGGTGTTTCAGCTCCAGACACTGCCTGCACCCCCTAAAGGTAAAGGTAAAGGTAAAGGCCCTCCCATTGATCGTCGATTTGCTCGAGCGGGCCCAGTAACGTCTCCATTGGAGACTTTGTTGTTACTGTGTCTGGCATATCGAATACTCTCGGTAGCTTGCCAGGCTCTCCGAGAGGGGCGGAGGAATCGAACTCGGGTCGGCCATGTTGGCCGCTTGTAAGGCGAATGCCCTACCCGCTGTGCTATCGCTCCAGCCCTGCCTGCACCCCCTAGGAGGTCTTTATTCAGACAGATGATCAAACAAGCCTTTGGCTGGACTGAGTGACTGAAATGCCGGTCACCGGGACCCATCTCTGGCCTCCCTGTACCCACAGTCTGTCCACCTAAGGAAGAAGAAACTCTTCCTACTGTCAGCTGTGTCTGGATCTTTTCCTATCACGCTATGCAGACAGCTGACACTTCATACTTCTGAACTAAGGAGAGCAGATGAAAAGCCTTCAATCCCAGAACACAGAATGACTCCACAGAATACTAGGGCCCCGCGGAGAAGAAACTGTGGGACACGCACCACTACAGCCCGGCTGTGGCGTCATGGAGCACCACCACCCTGTGGAGCACTAACACAGTGGAGCATGGAGCACCACCACCACCCCGAGGAGCACTAACACTGGGGAGCATGGAGCACCACCACCCCGTGGAGCACTAACACAGTGGAGCATGGAGCACCACCACCCCGTGGAGCACTAACACTGGGAAGCACAATCCAGAGAGCCCTACCAAACAATGGAGCTCCATGATACTAGGGAGCACTATCTCCATCATGGAGCACTATGAGACTGGGGAACACCATCCCCCTCATGAAGCAGCATCCCTCCTATGGAGCACCACCCCATGGTGCACCATCGCCCTATGAGCACTATCTCCCCTTTAGAGCAGCATCCCCCACACTCGGCAACACTTGGAGCCCCCCCAAAGCTCTGCTCCTCGAAGTACACTTTCTGGCCCTCACAAGGCTGGGGCAGTGCAGACATTCTGGTTGCCTGCACCCCTGCTCCAAACCCCAGGGGTCGCCTTGCCTCAGGTCAGACTCTAACAGGGGGGCCCACAAGTGCAGGCAGAGGTGAGCGTGTGGCCCCAGTGCAGAGCTGGTGTCAACGCAGTTGCTTCTGGACCACACACCCATCACTCACTCTTCTGGATAGGGCAGGGGATATGAGCCTAGGGGTAGGGCAGGCACCAGGCAGGTGACACTAAAAACTGTGGAAGAAATTGTGGCGAGCTGGAGTTTTGTGAGTCGCATTTTAAGCCAGCCTATGTTGGCTGTGATGAATGTAACAAGGAGGACGGCATAAAGGAGATACCTCTTTCTGAAACCTATTAGCTGCCTGGAGTACCTCCTGGAATACACCAGGAACGCTTTATGTTAATGTGTGACTTTTTAAAAAATTCGAGTTAATCAAGAGAGTCAGAGTCTTTGTTTCACAGTGGCTGAGCTGAGTGAGTACATGGGGGTACTACTACTTCAATTCTGTTGAAAATACTGAGAAAGACCGTAACAGGGCTGAAGTGCTCTTCAAGCTGCACTTGCATGCCCGTCCACAGGCTGGCAGCTATAGGCAAAGTGGTGGATGACAGTTGCAGCCTTTCTTTGTTGCGGACCAGCACTGGTCAGGGACTGCGGGTGGATGACCACTGCCCTGAGTCAGCAGCCTTCTGGCTGGAAAGGAAAAGGCAGAGGAAGCAAGACTGCTAAGCGTGGCCTGAGCCCAGCAGCCCGGGGGTCAACAACATGCAGAGAAACTGGGTTCCCTAAGAGCTCCTTTTCTTACCTATAAACGGGAATGGCCAAGCTCAGGGCTGTGAGGCTGAGGTGCAGATGCACGTCTGATTGCTCCACCACACTCCACAGAGTGTAAGTGGCATTTCCAACTCCTGATACCCGTGGGATCATTTGAATTCCATACAAAGCCCATGAGTTACAGGGGGCCAAGGGTCTGTGAATTTGATTAATAGGAAATGTGGAATGATTCACTCATCCATTTGGCTAAAAGGATATAAAACAGGCCACATACTGAAAAAAACTGAGCACATGCACAGCACACGTGTGACAAACAACTCATGTCTGAATATATTAAGAACTCTCAAAGTTTAACACCAAAAAATAAATAAATAGTAAAAAAAGAACGGTCGAGTTAGAACACAGGCAAAAGATATTTCACCTAAGAGCATCTCCAGATGGCAACTAGGAAATACGAACCCACATCTCCAGGAGCTGAAACACCTAGAGGGGCAGCTGAAATAATGAGCAACTCTTAGAGAGGGGCAGGGAAACGAGACCACTCAGCACAGCGACTGAGTCTCAACTAATTTAGGGTGATTCTGAAAAAGCGCTCTTTATTTTCTTCAAAAATGAAGCACATGTTCCATCCAGCCTGGCAATCAGACTCCAGGGCACTTATTTCCCCCAGAAATAAGTGGAGGATACTTACGAGCATACCCAAACCTGCACATACATATAATACTCAAAGGCGCTTTAACTGTAAGTGCCCAACAACCCAGGCCCTTCGCTAGGTAAATGGTTAAACAAGCCTCAGTCCGTCTGTGCATGGACTCTGCAACTACAGGGGCCAGCCAGCAACACTTGTCAGCCGAGTACATCTCCTCCAGACTACATGGGCGAAACGCAACTTCCACAAGCCAGGGAGCAGGCACCTTTATTTCTGGAACATTCTCAAAGCTGTAGAGATGACAGCTTCAGGACCCCAGTCTCGGACCTGGGAGCGGAGACTAGGACCCCAGTCTTGGACCTGGGAGCGGAGACCATTGCAGCAGCACAAGGGATTTCCTGCAGGGCAGGGTCATTCTGCATCTGAGTTTTGGTAATAGCTTCAGGAAGTTACACAATGAAAAACTGCACAGAAACATACACAGACACACAGACACACACACTCACACATATGTACTCACAAATACATACACTCACATAGACACACACTCAAACATATGTATTCACAAATATTTACAATCGTACACATACTCACAAATACACACACTTACACACATACACAAATATACAATCACACATTTACTCACAAATATATACACTCACACACAGACACAGACATATACTCATACATATATACCACAAGTATATACACTCATATACATATACTCACAAATGTACTCACACACACAAATAGTCAAATACATACACTCATACACACATATACTCGCTCATACATACACTCACATACATACACAAATATATACACATATACTCACAAATACATACACAGACACAGACATACACTCATACATATATACTCACAAATATACACACTCATACACATATACTCACAAATACACTCACACACATACACAAATACTCAAATGCATACACTCATACACACATATACTAATACATACACTCACACACATAAACAAATATACACACACATATATACTCACAAATATATACTCATACACAGACATACACATCTACACACATATACTCACAAATACATACACACACATATAAATTCACAAGTACATACACACATACATTCATACACATACACACATGTGTACTCACAAATACATGCACTCACATACACATATATACGCAGAAATACATATACTCACACACACATACATACACACTCACATATATACTCACAAATACCTACACTCTCACAAATACACACACTCACATACACACACAGAGAACATCTGCGGTTGAACCGACGCCAATTCCCAACTCTGCCTCTGCTCTGCAGTTGTGAAAGATGCCACCAGGGAGGGTGGGCAGAGCATACAGAACCTCTTGACTATTTCTGCAACTTCCTGTGACACTACAATCATTCCAAAGTTAAATTTTTAAAAGTGAATTACAGCCATTTTACTTGAAAACAAAATAAACAAACTGAAAAAGGAAACAGCTGCACTGCTGGTCAGGGAGGTCCCAAATACTGATTTCAAGACACACAACCACTGCCCAGCTCTGACGTTGTTGACCCTTAAAGCCCATTCTCCTGTCTTCCCAAGGAAACATTCTGAATCACCTGAGAGTTCCTCCCCCAGCCCCAGCCAAAGACGGACACTCAAAGCCCTAATGGAAAGTCCTGGGCAGCCTGGGAGTGCTGTCCACAGTGCCCGGATGGACCTGCCCCAACTTTCCCTTGGGCCAAGGCCACCACCCCTGGCCAGGCAGATGCAGGGGCCAGCACAGCCACTCCCCAGGGGTGCAGAGCAGCCACAGGGGGGACTTGAAGGACTGCCTTCCTCCAAGACAAAACAAAGTCAAACCAACAAAACTAAACAAAAGCAAACATGTTTTTAAATGCTAAGCTGACAAACGAAAACTCCAACCACATCAGACTATTCCCAGCAGACCTTATAATTAACTAGGCCCTTCTCTTTACCCTCCACATCACACTTCTCAAAGATTCTGTCACTGAGTAAAGCTGGGGTGTGAGCACCTACCAAAGTTAATGAAAACATTTGAGGAGAAAATTATTCCCAACGTTCCAGAGTGTCCTGACCTGAGCTTCCATATGCATTGAAAATGCAGATAGATCACTCTTTTTTAAAGTTCTTTTGCGAGAATCATGCATATCAGGACAACTAACAGGTCTTAAAAGTTCCTTTCTTCTCACGTACCGCCTTAGAAAGTCTTCCAAATTTTTATAATTTAACACTGCCCTTGTTCCCTAGGTGTCACTTTTTTAAAAAGTCCTTTTGGGAGAATCATGCATATCAAGACAACTAACAGGTCTTAAAAGTTCCTTTCTTCTCACGTACCGCCTTAGAAAGTCTTTCAAATTTTTATATAATTTCCACCAAAAGTGTCCTTGTTCCTTGGGTGCATCTACCTTTGGGAAACTTTGGTTCTGTAGCCTGCAATCATTTCCAGAGCAGCTGCATCCCGGGGTGCACTGGGCCACAGTTCCATAAACAGGTCCTGTGTGCCCAGGCCCCAGCAGTCTGGGGACAGGCCTCAATTACAGCCCTGCTGTCCTTGGGAGCTCTGGGGGTGGTGGCCAGGCAGACCCTGTCTGGTCAGCAGAGCCTTCCCACAGTCACCCACATTTCTGCGTCCGTGTGCTAATGACAGCCCTTTCCAATCTCATTCTAGCGGATATGCCCCCTCTGCCCCTCTGCCCCCCATCCATGAAAAGATGTATTTTTAAATGCTTGATCTCCACGAGCCCTTGGGAACTCTGGTACTTCCCCCAGCAGTGCCAAGCCTCAAGCATCAGGACTTCAGGGAATCTTAAAGACAGTTATGGGGGTGCATTTCCCCTTCCTCCAGGCCCTCAAAGGGCTTTCTTTGAGTAGATGTGATAAATATAGTGGGTGGGGCTCTTGCCTTGCACACTGCTGACCCTAGTTTGATCCCTAGCACCACACACGGTCTCTGAGTCCCGCCAGGAGTGATCCCTGAATACAGTTAGGAGTAAATCCTGAGCACCACCAGGTGTGGTCCAAAAACAACAAAATAAAGAAATAAACAGGTATTAAGGCTGAGTGATAGTACAGCAGGTAGGGCATTTGCCTTGCACAGGGCTCTCCTGGGTTCAAACCCCAGCATCCGCCAGTACCCCTGAGCATCCTCGGTGTGATGCAAAAAGGAAGGACGGACGGACGGAAGGAAGGAAGGAAGGAAGGAAGGAAGGAAGGAAGGAAGGAAGGAAGAGGAAGAGAATGAAAGAGGGAGAAAGAAAGAAAGGGAAAGAAAGAAAGAAAGAAAGGGAAAGAAAGAAAGAGAAAGAAAGAAAGAAAGAAAGAAAGAAAGAAAGAAAGAAAGAGGAGAGAGAGAAAGAGAGAGAGAGCGAGAGAGAGCGAGAGCGAGAGAGAGCGAGCGAGAGAGAGAGAGAGAGAGAGAGAGAGAGAGAGAGCTGTCTTCACGGTGGGCATCGCGTGCGCACGCGCCCACCCAACACGGCGAGGGCAGGCCCCTCTCCAGCCGCCCGCACCCTCTCCGGCCGCCCCCCACCTCTTCAGGCCCGGACAGCAGGGAAGGAGGCGGCGGGGAGGCGGTTCCAGGACGGCCCGAACCATCCACTTGGGCGGCCCTCTAAGGGGCCGGAGGAGAGGGGCAGGCGGGAGTGGGGACGAACCGCGCCCGGCGGGGGCAGCCAGCAGGAGTGGGGGGAACAGACGGGCGGGGGAAGGGCGGACAGAGGGGGCAGCAGAGCTGGGCCCACGCTCCGGGCGCGGCTTCCCGACAAGGCAGGTCGAGGGGCGGCTCTTGATCCCCCTCGGGCCCGGCCCCCGCGAGGCGCCAAGTTCCTGCCCGCCGCGATCCTGAGTCCCTTCGGGTGGGGGCCAGGTCCTCCCCGCTGCCCGGCCGCACGCGGGGCCGCGGTGGATGGGGAGCCCCGCGGGGCCCGGAGCGGCCCGAGACTTGGCCCAAGTGGGAAAGTCCGCGCCCCCGGCCGGGCGGTGGCCGAAGCCGCGCGCCCACCCCCCAGACCCTGCGCGCGCCCCGCACCCCGCGTCCCGCGCCCCGCCCGCGCCCACCGCGCGCCCCCCCGCGCCGAGAAACTTGTCCGCGAGAACAAAGGCGGCGGCCGGGCCCGCGCGCCGCCGTTACCTCTCCCGGAGGGCTCGCACGCTGCCCAGCGCGGCTGTGCCCGCCGCATGGGGCCACCATGGCTCGTCCAGGCCGGCGGGGCGGGGCGGCGAGGGGTCCGCCCCGTGCCCGCGGCCACTGCCCGCGCCCCGCGCGCTCCCGCCCGGAAACCCGACTCCGCGCGCGCGCCCAGCCGGGAGGTGGTCCCCGCCCCGCGGCCGCGGGACTCAGCGCCCGCCCGAGATCCGGACGGCCCCCGCTCCCTGGCTTCCGCGACCACCCCCGACGCCAACGTTTCCCCTACTTTCCTGGCGTCCCCGGGGTCGCGTTCACGGGTCTCTGTCCAGAGACAGAGTGACCCCGCTCCTGCTGGCGTCCCCCTCGCCGGCCTCTGGGGGAGTCCCCTCTGGCTCCAGAGGACTCCCCAAAGCAAAGATGTTCCTGGCGGGAAAGCGGCTCCTCCCGCACTCATGCTGCAGCCCCGCGCGCCTCTGAAGCAAAGGTCCAAGGGAGGGGAGCAGAAAGCAGGCCTGGAGCTGCCCCAAGGGAGGGGGGCCAGCAGCGGCTGCCTGTGGAGTCTGGGCAGGGGAGGAGAAGAGAGGCCACGGGGAAGGCCTGGAGGGCACTGGGGCGGTCAGCAGTCAGGCCTCGCTCTTCCAAACCTCAGCAAGCCGCAGAGGGGCCTCCAGCCCCCAGCCAGCAGGGACAGGAAGGGGATGGAGGGAGATGCTTAGCACAGACACCAAGGGTTCACTAAGCAACTGCTATTGGCCAGGGATGGGGGCATAGGAAGGGAGGGCCACCAGGTGCAGTG